GCCCACCCCGATACTCTCCCTTGTGGCAGCGACTGGCAGTGCTGCCTCCCTCCCATCCCCACGGGTACCTGCACGGCCACAGGGGAGGGGCGTGAGGGAGCGTCGGTGTTGACCCCCGCCCCTCCCTTCCACCAGCAAGGCACACACGCAGAGCTGGTCAGTGGGCAGTCTAGACATCCAGCAGAGTTGACAAGTGCAAGTCACACAGGCAGGGTGGGAAGATGAGGTCCACTGGAGGGGGCAGGAGCACAAGGTACAGACTCCAAGGGGATCTAAAGAGGTAACCTAAACCTGAACCTGAACCTGAGGGGGCTGTAGGCTAAACCTGAGGGCTTACCTGAAGTCAGGGGGAGAGTCTGTGGCTTGTGAGGCTGGCCCCAACCAGTGGCGAAAGTTTGAGAGGTAAAGAGAAAGCAAGGCGTATGAACGATGCGCAGCAAGCAAAGGTGAGGGACGAATATGAGGAGGAGTGACTTAACTGGCAGATGAAGAGCCGCCAACAGAGCTGTTGCCTCATCCCTCCCTCCCCTCCCCTTCTCCTCTCCCTTCTCTACTGCCTTTCCACAGCTAAGAAAGCCTCCGACAAGGCTGCCTCCGCGACTGTCTCCTCGCCTGCCTCCTCGCCCCCCGTCCGTTGAGCCACGTTCGCGAGGCAAAGCGATGGTCCCCAGCAGGCACTGAAGAGTCAGGGAGGGGAGGGGGGGCGATGCAGGAGGTGGCTGGGCTGGGTGCTAGAAATACGAGCAAAGGGGGGAAGTCCGGTCCAAGGGAGACGAGCGCGCGTGGCCAGATACGAATAGAGGAGGGGAGGTATAGCTTCTGTGGCACACCCAAGGGAAGTGAGTGGGTGATGCTGAAGAAGCAAAACAAATTGGTACGGCAGTATGTCCTACCTAGACAGAATTTGGAACACGAAATCAACGGTTGTGCGGTGGTGAACGAGTATGTACGGAGTGCACCTGTACGAATGAAACCACAAACTAGTACCAGCGCCTGTAATAAACTCTGCTACAAGGACTGCCGGGGCAGATCACACACGAGCAAGGGCTGTCAGTGTGCACATGCTTCAACACGGCCCCCCACAAGACACACACACGCGCAGGCGCAGCACCTCACATGTGGATGGGCTTGCCATGCGTGGGGTTACAAGTTTTGCACCTACCAAGGGGGGTACCTGACAGAGTTGACCTTTACCCGGAAAAAATAGGGGAAGGGACGGACTTGGATGCGCTACAGGCAGCTAGAGTGACGAGGCAGCAAGCATGTGAAACAAACAACACGCGTAGAAAAAAAGCCGCCTCGGATACAAACATAGAGGTGAAAGGAGGGACAGTGGTGGCGCGATACTCATCTGTTGGTCCGCACTGTGCACCCCACGACGACCCGCTGCTGCCTCCGCCCCGCGTCCCCACGACACCCACGCTCCTTGATTGTTTGGAACGAAGGTCCTAGTGGGCAGCAGGTAAACTGGTGGACAGGGAGGGGTAACGGGCGAGGAGGTCGGGAAGGACGGGGGGAGGGGGTGATGAAACAAGGAGGACCGCAGTCGAGTCACATGCGAGAAACGGAGATTGGTGTGGCAAATACGGGAGGGGAGGTATAGCTCCTGCAACACACCCAAGGGGAAACGGGGACCTTTACCTTACTGTACCAGGGGAAGTAAACTTCGCACCTACCAAAGGGGGTACCTTATAGTCTGAACCTTAAAAGAAAAGGGCGGGACTCGGGCGTGCTGCAGGCAGCTATAGCAAGAAGAGGCAACACAAGTGCGAGGGTTGGGAGGAAAGAGGCAGGGCGAGGTTCTTAGCTTAGCTATGGGTGGGTTGGGTGGAGAGCAGCGACGTGTGACGGAAGAGAGAGGTTCAACTGCACCCGTCCGGGGGGGGTTGGGCAACGCCGTGACGCGCGGCGGCCTGCAGTGGTTGTGAAATCGATCGGGAACAGTACGTCGGGGAAGCAGCTCGCGAAACGACGTACTGCGATACGAAATCGATCTGCAAATTAGATCGCGAAATTGAAATTCGGGATCTAGTATTGCAGAGTTGAAACGGGAAACTGAAACACGACAACTGTGTACGAAATCGACCGGTGAATTTGCTCATCAGGATTGAAACGCGAAACGGAAAAGCGAACGCTTGACATGGGCGAAGTTGAATCGCGAATTTGACTATATATGTACGGGTGTGGTTTCGCGAAATACCTGAGCTGCCAGACGAAGCGAATCTGTAACGCGCACGCACTCCCCGAAATCGCCCGGAGAACGAGATGGCGATTCTGCGACATGTCGCCTCGCCCCGGAACAAACCTGCAAGATGCAGCCGCCGTCACGTCAGACGCGCCAATGAACAACCTCGCGTGCGCTAAAACGAAAGTATGCTACACAACTAGAAAAAACTCGGATTCGTGGAAAAAAACACTCGCACGCGGACGTACCTTGAATACGAAAGTCGCCATCCTCGCACTTCGTTCTTTCGTAGTCAAAGTTTCCAGCGCGATTTCCTCCTCCCGACACGCCGTTTCCTCTTCCCGACACGCCGTTTCCTCTTCCGGACTCGCCATTTCCTCTTCCCGACTCGCCGTTTTCTCTTCCCGACAAGCGATTTCCTCTTCCGACACGCCATTTCCTCTTCCTGGCATGTGATTTCTCTTCCCGACACGAGATTTTCTCTTCCCGTTATCGCAGCTTCTACATTAAGCCAGGCCTGGAGCAGATCGAGACTGAGATTTCCTAGCGGCTCGCCTTTTTGCGGTAGCAGCAGCTCTAAGAAGCGAGCAGAAGAAGCTGAGCGTGAGAAAATGAGAGCAAGAGGCGAAAGCGGTGTGAAATCCGAGGCTCAGGCGAGAATGAGGCGAGAGACGACGGTGACGCTGGAACGAGGCGGAGGGGTCACCAACTGCCCTCTCTCCTCTCCTTCCCTCACAACACCCCTCTTCAGATCTACCGTCCAGAGTCACTGGATTGACTGAAACTCTCTCGGTAACTCAGATCTCAGCCGTAGGTTCGGACCTTCTGCCAGTGTCGTCACCGCAACCCTTGTAAGTTTCGCATTGGTCTTCAGGCCAACCGGCTGCGTTGGGTCGCGAGGAAAAGTGACGGTGGAGGCGAATGGTTGGTCCGGTCAGGCTTATTTTTTGTCGATGACAGGGAGATTTGAGATTCCACTTCGGTGGCTGGTTGAAAATCGTCCGCGTGGCACATAAATCTGTCGGTCAGCAAAGGGAAAAGAAAGTTCCCAAGTTTACGTCGATCGCTTGTCACCGCCTTTCACCTCAGCACCTACTTGAGACAAACAACACCGACTCTTTTCAGCAAGATTCCGTTGACAAAGGCGGGAGCTGCGGGAGTCCGCTGGTGAACGTTGGACTCCGTGATCTAGGAGCCGTTGATTGTCCTCCCATCTGGAGCCGCAGAGTCATCGTGTCAGTTTGGTACGCGGCAAGCCCAATGGCTTGAATTTGAAGCCGTGGTTCCAGCCACAAGCAGCGAAGTCAATCTTAGCCGTGGATACAGATTCTAGACAAGCGGTTGCGATTGAGACCTGGGGTTGAGGCTGTCTATCCGATCTGACCTTTGGGGGAAATTGGCGAAGTTGGCGAACGATCTCTGCTTCTCACTTATTCTGTTACTCATCGCTGATTCGACGGAGGACCTGCCTTTCCTGACACCACTGATCTGACCACCAACATAGCAAAACGCTCTCGAAGCTCGCGAAATTCCTCGCGATGGAAACCTCATCGCCGAGTGGGCGGAAGTGTTCGCTCATGAACTCGCTATTAGCTGCTCTTCTTGTATGCTTATCTTGGGCCAGAAGTGAGAACATGTGTACGTAGTTTTCCGCGTACATACGAGTTGTATTTCTGTAGTGTTCCGCTGACATCCGCTGCACCAATCAGCATCACCCCAGTTACAGCTCCCCCAACCATATCTGCTGCCTGCCATCTAGTGCGTACGCAGCGCAAGGCGGTGATGTATGTAGTGAAACATTACCGTACCCCAACTTTCTTTATGGTATCGTAACGTACCATACCGCATTGCATCATACACCATCATGCAATGCCATCACTCACTTCCATCATTCCCATCCCATCCCATTCCCTTGCTTGTTTCGCCAGTTTCTCCAGCCACCCTTGACATTCTCCGCATCTTTTGTTACAACCTAGTACTTTCAGATTTCCAAGAAGCAAGTGCGGTTATTCCACCTTAGGAGTCAAAGCCGACTAGCTAACTAGCTGCAAGGGTACGCGTCAGCGGTTCAGGCGCTTCAAAATGGCCGCTTCGCCAGCCGTCGGATCTCGGCGGTTGGGTAATGGAGCCCTCGACGATATCGATCACGCGATGCAGGTATTCTGCCGTGACGCTATGCGACGCACAGCAGGGCCATCCGTTTAGACGCAGCTCGCTTTCGCGTCGCTTAAACTCCACGCGTACTCCGCGTTTGATGTTTCACGATCCACGTTCTCCAGCTGACAAGTGTCAGAACGCTAGGCTTGTCACATCTGTCAGTGAAGGTCGGTAGGATCTAGATCCGTTTGCTCGCAGCGCATCGATAACACCACCGTGCCTGGTTCTGTGGGATCCTTGGTGTAGCGAAATCTGACACCCGCATGATACAAGTCTCCCAACGGCAATGCTTTGATTAGATGTATCACGCATCTAGCCGTAGAGAGCACGGGACCTCGGGATCCCCTTGTCCCACATCCGTGCATGCAGTTTGATCATGCGCCTTCGCGCTTCCTCGAGCCTGCCTCCATGCTTCATTGTCCTCTCACAAACGCGCTGTGCTCTCCGTTCCCAGTCTCTTCTTTCCGTCTCGTCAACCCTCGATTCGTCCTACATCATTCGCCCGCATATTCTTCGTTTCACCAAACCCAACCTCCATCCCTCCGATTCGTTCGCCCTCCCTGGCATCTCATCTCGGACGTGCCACCCGGCTGCATGACGTGGCATGGTTCCATGACGTGGCATGGCTGCATGACGTGGCGTGATCTCCCGACCGTAGTCCAGCAAGGACGCGCATCTATCCGGCTTCCGTCTCGCCTCCGACATCACCACCTTCCAGAACCGTCCAGGCAGCGCCGGCCGCGAGCCCTTCATTATCGGTCAGTCTGCTAGCCCTTCATTATCGGTCAGTCTGCCAGCCCTTCATTATCGGTCAGTCTGTCAGCCCTTCATTATCGGTCAGTCTGTCAGCCCTTCATTATCGGTCAGTCTGTCAGCCCTTCATTATCGGTCAGTCGGTAGGCTGCACTGGGGAGAGAGGACGTCTGTTGAGTGAGCTGAGAGGGAAGCGAGAGGATATTGCCTCATTTGCATTCTGGCAGGCTTCTGCACCGCACGAGACCTCGTCCCGCCCCTTCCATCCCCGAGATTTCCACTGCCAAGTCCCAAACCCAGCCCCTACCTCCGTCCCACCCTCCATGTCACTCTCCTGCTCGCGGTCACTCCCTCCCGGCAGGCGTGTCAGGCGGAACAGCGTCTGGCAAGACGACGGTGTGTGAGCAGATCATACAGCAGCTGTTGCACTGCATACGTCGTCCTCTCCTCTATTTCCTACACGTGTTGCCACCCCTCACTTGTCACCCTTCACTTGTCTTGTCTTACTTCAGGCGTGTCAGGGGGAACGGCGTCGGGCAAAACGACGGTGTGTGAGCAGATCATACAGCAGCTGTTGCACTGCATACGTCATCCTCTCCTCCATTCTCTGCCGCACACGTTTGCTGTCACCGTTCATTCGTGTTGTCATATCTCACTCCAGGAGTGTCAGGGGGAACAGCGTCGGGCAAGACAACAGTGTGCGAGCAGCAACAGTGTGCGAGCAGATCATACAGCAGCTGAGGGACCACCGCGTGGTGCTCATCGACCAGGACTCCTCCCCATCCCTCTGCATCCCATTCTCTATATCACACCACCATTCCCTTCCAACAGGAGTGTCAGGCGGCACGGCATCAGGCAAGACGACGGTGTGTGAGCAGATCATACAGCAGCTGAGGGACCACCGCGTGGTGCTCATCGACCAGGACTCCTTCTACCGCTCCCTCACGCCCGAGGAGCTCGATAGAGTCACCGAGTACAACTTTGATCACCCAGGCATGTTCTCACTCGCCTCATAACACGCCTTTCACCGCCCCCTCACTCCGCAAGAGATTTTCACACGGGTTGAGCGCAGCTTTGATGTCCACCCTGGCACGCTGCTGCTCCGCCATTGCATTCCTGTTGGGTCTTGACTCTCGCATGAGATTCGCTGGCTTGGATCGGTCGTTCATTCGCATTGGATCCCATTGACCCTGGCTTACCTGGTTCAATCACGATTGCCTCGTGTGCATGTGCGCGTTGCGGCGTGGGCGTGTGTGTGGGCAACAGACGCGTTTGACTCGGAGGCGATGTTGGAGACGATTCAGGGGCTCAAGGAGGGGCGAGCCGTGGACATCCCCACCTACTGCTTCAAGACGCACCGCCGCGGCACCGCCAAGCGCCAGGTGAGACCAGTTGTGCGCCCACAAGCTGTGCCTGTGTTGAGCATGTGCTGTGCATGTGTTGTGCATCTGCTGTGCATGTGCTGTGCATGTGCTGTGCATGTGTGCATGTGCTGTGCTGTGTTGTGCTGTGCATGTGCATGCACATGCAGATCATGCAGTACCCACCCCATCGCCCTATTGATATGTCCTACTGTCTCCCTGTCACCCTCTCGCCCTGTCACCGCATGTCACCACATGCTGTCCTCTGCAGGTGAATCCAGCGGATGTGGTCATCTTGGAGGGCATTCTGATGTTCCACAATCCAGCGGTGCAGGCGCATATAAACATTTTCCTGTCCCCCCTATCCCCCTGTCACCGCACGTCACCGCATCTCATCTACCTTCAGGTGAACCCAGCGGACGTGGTCATCTTGGAGGGCATTCTGATCTGATGTTCCACGACCCAGCCGTGCGGACATGAACATGAAGATTTCCGTTGACATCCTGTTGCCCTCTCCCCCTGGCTCCCTGTCCCCTTGTCACCCTGTCACTCCCTGTCAACACATGTCACTGCATGCCACCGCATGTCATTGCAGGTGAGCCCAGCGGACGTGGTGATTCTGGAGGGAATACTTGTGTTCCACGACCCAGCTGAGCGCGCACACATCAAGATCTTTGTTGACACCTGTTGCCCTATCCCCCTGTCCCCTGTCACCCAATGTCACCATGTGTCACCGCATGCCACCGCATGTCACCACAGGTGAACCCAGCGGACGTGGTCATCTTGGAGGGCATTCTGGTGTTCCACGACCCGGCGGTGCGAGCGCACATGAACATGAAGATCTTTGTTGACACTGATGCTGACGTGCGCCTGGCTCGGCGCATTCGCAGAGACACCGTGCACCGCGGGCGAGATGTGCAGAGCGTCATCGAGCAGGTTGGGGGTGGGGGGGGGGGTGTGGAGCAGGTGGGGGGGTGACCCGTGAGGCACCTCAAAAGTCGCTAGGTGGATTCGCAGAGACTCCGTTCACCGCGGGCGCGACGTGCAGAGCGAGATTGAGCAGGTGGGGGGGTGGGTGAAGTGGAGTGGATGGGGGTGTGGACTGGAGGTGGGGGGTGGGTGAAGCTAGTGTTCTCTAGGAAGGGATGTGCAGAGCGTGATTGAACAGGTGCGTAAGTGGGTCTTGGTGAGAGTTTGTTTTTGATCCGGGTGTGGAGCAGGTTGTTCTGGTGCTGACGCCCTCACACCCTCATCCTCTCCCGTTCCCCTCTCCCCTGTCCCTGCATGCACCGTGCCGTGCCATTCCATGCCATCTGCCATGCTATCTCCGTCACCCTGCCACGCCATCTCCCCACCCCGCCATCCCGCCAGTACGCCAAGTTTGTGAAGCCCGCGTTTGACGACTTTGTGCTTCCCACCAAGTAGTTCGCTGACATCATCATCGCGCACGCCATCCGCTTATCCCCTCCGCTCTCCTCTCCGCTGTCACGGCAATCCCTGCCACACCTTCTTCCCTCCTATCCCATCCGCCAGTACGCCAAGTTTGTGAAGCCCGCGTTTGACGACTTTGTGCTGCCCACCAAGATCATCATTCCGCGTGCCATCCCTTTATCCCCTCCCGTTTTCCTCCCCGCCGCCCCTCCATGCCACACCTCACCATCTCCCCACCGCCAGTACGCCAAGTTTGTGAAGCCAGCGTTTGACGACTTTGTGCTGCCCACCAAGAAGTTTGCCGACATCATCATCCCGCGGGGCGGAGACAACCACGTGGCAGTGGACCTCATAGTGCAGCACATCCGCACCAAGCTGGGCCAGCACGACCTCCGGAAGATCTACTCGAATGTGTTCGTTATTGAGTCTACCTTTCAAGTGAGTGGCGAGCACATGCGCAGAACTGTGAGTGTGCCTGTAGACCAAGGTGTCGGAGACAACCACGTGGCAGTGCACCTCATCGTGCAGCACATTCGCACCAAGCTGGGGCAGCATGATCTCGGGAAGATTTATTCGAACATGTCCGTCATCGAGTCTACCTTTCAAGTGAGTGTGCCTGTGCACCAAGGTGCGGGCGAGTGTGAGTGGCGGTGGACCTTATAGTGCAGCACATCTGCACCAAGCTGGGCCAACACGACCTGCGCAAGATTTACTCGAATGTCTATGTGATCGAGTCCACCTTCCAGGTACAGCGGAGTGAGTGAGTGGGCCTGGCAGACAAGCAATCTCGTCATGCAACCTTCTTTTATCTGACAAGACAGAGTGAGTGGAGCCTGGCATCGTCATCCCACGTGGCAGTCCACCTCATCGTGCAGCACTGCACCAAGTTGAGGAAGATCTACTCCAAGCGTCTGAGCGTGATGTAGGCCGTTACGCTGTTCGGCTGTTACGCTGTTAGGCTGTTACGTTGTTAGGCTGTTACGCTGTTACGCTGTTAGGCTGTTACGCTGTTACGCTGTTAGGCTGTTACGCTGTTAGGCTATTACGCTGTTAGGCTGTTACGCTGTTAGGCTGTTACGCTGTTACGCTGTTAGGTTGTTACGCTGTTAGGCTGTTACGCTGTTAGGCTGTTACGTTGTTAGGCTGTTACGCTGTTATGCTGTTACGCTGTTAGGCTGTTACGCTGTTACGCTGTTACGCTGTTAGGCTGTTACGCTGTTAGGCTGTTACGCTGTTACGCTGTTAGGCTGTTACGCTGTTAGGCTGTTACACTGTTAGGCTGTTACGTTGTTAGGCTGTTACGCTGTTACGCTGTTTGGCTGTTACGCTGTTACGCTATTAGGTTGTTACGTTGTTACGCTGTTAGGCTGTTACGCTGTTAGGCTGTTACGCTGTTAGACTGTTACGCTCTTAGGCTGGTACGCTGTTACGCTGTTACGCTATTAGGCTGTTACGCTGTTAGGCCGTTACGTTGTTAGGCTGTTACGCTGTTACGCTGTTAGGCTATTACGCTGTTACGCTGTTAGGCTGTTACGCTGTTAGGCTGTTACGCTGTTAGGTTGTTACGCTGTTACGCTGTTACGCTGTTAGGCTGTAACGCTCTTAGGCTGTTACGCTGTTACGCTGTTACGCTGTTACGCTGTTAGGCTGTTACGCTGCTAGGCTGTTACGTTGTTAGGCTGTTACGCTGTTACGCTGTTAGGCTGTTACGCTGTTACGCTGTTAGGCTGTTACGCTGTTAGGCTATTACGCTGTTATGCTGTTGCGCTGTTACGCTATTACAATATTACGCTGTTACGCTGTTAGGCTGTTAGGCTGTTACGCTGTTACGCTGTTAGGCTGTTATGCTGTTACGCTGTTAGGCTGTTAAGCTGTTAGGCTGTTACGCTGTTAGGCTGATACGCTGTTACGCTTTAGGCTGTTAGGCTATTATGCTGTTACGCTGTTAAGCTGTTACCATGCTGTAGCAATAGACCATGCAGCAGCAATAGACCGTGCAGCAGCAATAGACCGTGCAGCAATCGACCGTGCAGCAATAGACCGTGCAGCAGCAATAGACCGTACAGCAGCAATAGACCGTGCAACAGCAATAGACCGTGCAGCAATAGACCATGCAGCAATAGACCTCATACGCTATAGACCGAGCAGCAATAGACCTGATCCGCAATAGACCGAGCAGCAATAGACCGGATCCGCAATAGACTGAGCAGCAATAGACCTGATCCGCAATAGACCGAGCAGCAATAGACCCGATCCGCAATAGACCGAGCAGCAATAGACCTGATCCGCAATAGACCGAGTAGCAATAGACCTGATCCGCAATAGACCGAGCAGCAATAGACCTGATCCGCAATAGACCGAGCAGCAATAGACCCGATCCGCAATAGACCGAGCAGCAATAGACCCGATTCGCAATAGACCGAGCAGCAATAGACCTGATCCGCAATAGACCGAGCAGCAATAGACCTGATCCGCAATAGTCCGAGCAGCAATAGACCTGATTCGCAATAGACCGAGCAGCAATAGACCTGATCCGCAATAGACCGAGCAGCAATAGACCTGATCCGCAATAGACCTGATCTGCATATACCTGATCCGCAATAGACCGAGCAGCAATAGACCTGATCCGCAATAGACCTGATCCGCAATAGACCGAGCACCAATAGACCCGATCCGCAATAGACCGAGCAGCAATAGACGTGATCCGCAATAGACTGAGCAGCAATAGACCGAGCAGCAATAGACGTGATCCGCAATAGACCGATCAGCAATAGACCCGATCCGCAATAGACCTGATCCGCAATAGACCTGATCCGCAATGGACCTGATTCGCAATAGACCGAGCAGCAATAGACCTGATCCGCAATAGACCGAGCAGCAATAGACCTGACCCGCAATAGACCGAGCAGCAATAGACCTGATCCGCAATAGACCGAGCAGCAATAGACCTGATCCGCAATAGACCGAGCAGCAATAGACCTGATCCGCAATAGACCGAGGAGCAATAGACCTGATCCGCAATAGAGCGAGCAGCAATAGACCTGATCCGCAATAGACCTGATCCGCAATAGACCGAGCAGCAATAGACCTGATCCGTAATAGGCCGAGCAGCAATAGACCTGATCCGCAATCGACCGAGCAGCAATAGACCTGATCCGCAATAGACCGAGCAGCAATAGACCTGATCCGCAATAGACCGAGCAGCAATAGACCTGATCCGCAATAGACCTGATCCGCAATAGACCTGATCCGCAATAGACCTGATCCGCAGTAGACCTTATTTGCAATATACCTGATCCGCAATATTCCGAGCAGCAATAGACCGAGCAGCATTAGACCTGATCCGCAATAGACCGAGCAGCAATAGACCTGATCCGCAATAGGCCGAGCAGCAATAGACCTGATCCACAATAGTCCGAACAGCAATAGACCTGATTCGCAATAGACCGAGCTGCAATAGACCTGATCCGCAATAGACCGAGCAGCAATAGACCTGATCCGCAATAGACCTGATCTGCAACAGACCTGATCCGCAATAGACCGAGCAGCAATAGACCTGATCCGCAATAGACCGAGCAGCAATAGACCTGATCCGCAATAGACCTGATCCGCAATAGACCTGATCCGCAATAGACCTGATCCGCAGTAGACCTTATTCGCAATATACCTGATCCGAAATATTCCGAGCAGCAATAGACCGAGCAGCATTAGACCTGATCCGCAATACACCGAGCAGCAATAGACCTGATCTGCAATAGGCCGAGCAGCAATAGACCTGATCCACAATAGTCCGAGCAGCAATAGACCTGATTCGCAACAGACCGAGCTGCAATAGACCTGATCCGCAATAGACCGAGCAGCAATAGACCTGATCCGCAATAGACCTGATCTGCAATAGACCTGATCCGCAATAGACCGAGCAGCAATAGACCTGATCCGCAATAGACCTGATCCCCAATAGACCTGATCCGCAATAGACAGAGCAGCAATAGACCCGATCCGCAACAGACCGAGCAGCAATAGACCCGATTCGCAATAGACCGAGCAGCAATAGACCTGATTCGCAATAGACCAAGCAGCATTAGACCTGATCCGCAATAGACCAAGCAGCAATAGACCTGATTCGCAATAGACCGAGCAGCAATAGACCCGATCCGCAATAGACCGAGCAGCAATAGACCTGATCCGCAATAGACCTGACCCGCAATAGACCTGACCCGCAATAGACCTGATCCGCAATAGACCTGATTCGCAATAGACCGAGCAGCAATAGACCTGATCTGCAATAGACCGAGCAGCAATAGACCTGATCCGCAATAGACCGAGCAGCAATAGACCTGATCCGCAATAAACCGAGCAGCAATAGACCCAATCCGCAATAGACCGAGCAGCAATATACCCGATTCGCAATAGACCGAACAGCAATAGACCCGATCCGCAATAGACCGAGCAGCAATAGACCTGATCCGCAATAGACCGAGCAGCAATAAACCTGATCCGCAATAGTCCGAGCAGCAATAGACCTGATTCGCAATAGACCGAGCAGCAATAGACCTGATCCGCAATAGACCGAGCAGCAATAGACCTGATCCGCAATAGACCGAGCAGCAATAGACCTGATCCGCAATAGACCTGATCCGCAATAGACCGAGCATCAATAGACCCGATCCGCAATAGACCGAGCAGCAATAGACCTGATCCGCAATAGACCGAGCAGCAATAGACCTGATCCGCAATAAACCAAGCAACAATAGACCCGATACGCAATAGACCGAGCAGCAATATACCCGATTCGCAATAGACCGAGCAGCAATAGACCCGATCCGCAGTAGACCGAGCAGCAATAGACCTGATCTGCAATAGACCGAGCAGCAATAGACCTGATCCGCAATAGTCCGAGCAGCAATAGACCTGATTCGCAATAGACCGAGCAGCAATAGACCTGATCCGCAAAAGACCGAGCAGCAATAGACCTGATCCGCAATAGACCGAGCAGCAATAGACCTGATCCGCAATCGACCGAGCAGCAATAGACCGAGCAGCAATAGACCTGATCCGCAATAGACCGAGCAGCAATAGACCTGATCCGCAATAGACCTGATCCGCAATAGACCTGATCCGCAGTAGACCTTATTCGCAATATACCTGATCCGCAATAGACCGAGCAGCAATTGGCCGAGCAGCATTAGACCTGATCCGCAATAGACCGAGCAGCAATAGACCTGACCCGCAATAGACCGAGCAGCAATAGACCTGATCCGCAATAGACCGAGCAGCAATAGACCTGATCCGCAATAGACCGAGCAGCAATAGACCTGATCCGCAATAGACCGAGGAGCAATAGACCTGATCCGCAATAGAGCGAGCAGCAATAGACCTGATCCGCAATAGACCTGATCCGCAATAGACCGAGCAGCAATAGACCTGATCCGTAATAGGCCGAGCAGCAATAGACCTGATCCGCAATCGACCGAGCAGCAATAGACCTGATCCGCAATAGACCGAGCAGCAATAGACCTGATCCGCAATAGACCTGATCCACAATAGACCTGATCTGCAATAGACCTGATGCGCAATAGACCTGATGCGCAATAGACCTGATCCGCAATAGACCGAGCACGACTTTGTGTTCTATGCAGACCGCCTCATACCCCCTCTTTTGCCGTCCCTTCCCCTTCCCCTTCCCTCCCCCCCTCCCCCTTCACCCCACCCATCAAGATCCGAGGCATGCACACGCTGATTCGCAACCGGGACACGCGCAAGCACGACTTTGTGTTCTACGCAGACCGGCTCATCCGGCTGGTGGTGGAGCACGGGCTGGGCCACCTGCCCTTCGTGGAGAAGCAGGTCACCACGCCCACCGGCTCCACCTACGTTGGCGTGGACTTCTGCAAGAACCTCTGTGGGGTCTCCATCATACGGAGGTACTTTCAAAGTGGTATTCTTGGCATTCAGGCACAATGAGGCACATCCAGGCTCATTCAGGCACATTCAGGCACATTCAGGCACATTCAGGCACATTCAGGCATATTTAGGCACATTCAGGCTCATTCAGGCTCATTCAGGCACACTCAGGCACATTCAGGCACATTCAGGCGCATTCAGGCACATTCAGGCACATTCTGGCACATTCAGGCACATTTTGACACATTCAGGCACGTTCAGGGACACCTGGGCATCCTGCTGCATTTGCCATGTCCTGTGTTTTTGCAACGTTATGATTGTCCTTACATGCTGCCCCTTGTACTGCCATGTGCTGCCATGCGTGGTGCCATTTTCACAACTGCAGTGGGGAGAGCATGGAGAATGCGCTACGAGCATGCGTGAAGGGCATTCGTCTGGGGAAGATTCTCATTCACCGTGAGGGGGACGATGGGAAGGAGGTGAGAAAATTTGGAAGGAGCTGAAATATCATTGGTAAGATCTGAGCTTAGGAACGTATGAAGGCTTGATTGCTCTCAAGATTGCCACTTGCCTCTTCCTTGCATTTGTACCTTGCTTCTTTGCATTTATGCGGCTTCCTACTGCTAGTCACAGTCATCCACAATGCCACATCCAACAGGTGATCTACGAGAAGCTCCCGAGCGACATCGCGTCGCGCCATGTGTTGCTCCTCGATCCCATCCTTGCATGCGGTATGTCTGTGCTCGGTACCCTGTGCTATGTGCTTTGACCTGTGCTCTGGTCTGCTGCTCAGTGCATGAGATTCCCGTTTCCAGTAGCCACTCATGCGTTCAATGCCTGCCGTGCATGGCTGGGCTTGCGTGAGCATGTTACTAACCTGGATCATGTGTCCCCTCCACCACCACGCACAGGCAGTCCAGCCATGAAGGCCATAGAGACGCTCATTGCCAATGCGTGCCATGCTTGACGGTACTTCCAAGAGCGTGCCTCACTTGTGCTACTGGCCCTGTCCACCTGTCCCCTCCTCCACCACGCACAGGCAGTTCAGCTATGAAGGCCATTGAGACGCTCATAGCCAAGGGGGTGCCGCAGTCCCGCATCATCTTCCTCAACCTCATCTCCGTGAGTGCCCTGCTCCATATTCACTACCCTGTACAGTCTCGCGTATATGATGATTGCTTGTTCAAATTTCTCTTATCATTCCCTTCAGCCAGTGCCGCATACCAGCTAGCCTGTAGCCTACCCAGGCATCGTTCCCACTTCTTCCCCCCCATTTTTTCCCACCCAACCACTTCCTCTTCCCTTTCACCCCACCCACTCCATTCCCTCCCCTCCTCCCTCCTGGCCCCTGAGGGCATACACACGCTGTGCCATGCATTCCCGCGCATCAAGATCGTGACATCAGAGATCGACGTGGCCATCAACGAGCACTTCCTTCCCCCTCCTTCCCCCCTTCACCTTACCCCCTATCCCTCCAGGCCCCCGAGGGCATTCACACGCTGTGCCACGCGTTCCCGAGATCAAGATCGTAACATCCGAGATTGACGTGGCCATCAACGACCGGTTCCTTCCCCCTCTCCCTCCCTCTCCTAACCCCCTATCCCTCCAGGCCCCTGAGGGCATTCACACGCTGTGCCATGCGTTCCCGCGCATCAAGATCGTGACATCGGAGATCGATGTGGCCATTAATGAACACTTCCGGGTCGTGCCGGGCATCGGCGAGTTTGGCGACCGTTACTTTGGCACCGATGACGACGACGAGGACGGTGGAGCCAACGGGCTGCCACTGGGGGAGAGGAGCGGCAGCAGCAGCCGGTGAATCTTCGAGTCAGGATGGGTTGGGTCTGGGTAGATGGAGCTACTTTGGCATGGATAATGATGATGAGGAGTGCGGGGCAGACGGGTTGCCGCTGGGGGAGAGGAGTGGCAGCAGCAGCCGGTGATTATTGAATATGAGTCAGGATAGGTTGGGTCTGGGTAGATGGAGTTTGGTGACCGTTACTTCGGCACCGATGATGATGACGAGGACGTCGATGCCGGGACAGGAGTGGCAGCAGCAGCAGGTGATCTTGGGATCCGAGTCTGGTTGTGAGCGAGTCTGGATGTGAGAGAGCATGGATTTTCGTTTGACAACTTTCTGTTTAAAGAATGGTGCCGGTGAGGAGGATGAAGCCAGTAGGAATGGGACGCCTTTGAGAGAGAGAGAGGGGAAGCGGCAGCAGGCGATGACAGCTGCAGTGCAAGCAGAAGGGTGGATGCTAGTTGTATCCAAATAAAGGGGTGCCTTGCTCCTGGATTGCAGCAGCGAGGTTTTTGAAAAAGCTTAATGGTGTTACGAGGAAGTTTGTGTGCGGCAACACCTGTATGAAGCATATCTGCAGAGATAATGGTAGTATGTATTTTAACTCTAAACTGGATTGGGCAGCATATCCTCCCATGAGTGTCACTGTGAAGCTGTACTATGTTATGCAGGTTGCCAATGAACCTTACTTGTTTTTGTGTTTACCAGGGTATAATTCATTCTTTATGAACCTCGTTTATTGGTCCAATCCAATTGTTAGCTTTCAGAGCAAGGCCAGTGTAAGATGCTCACATTCTCGCAATCACAAAGCAAAATATGTTGATGCTAATTATGAAGATTCAAGCTAGCTAGCACGGATGGGCTGGTGGTACTGTATGTTATCTTCTCTAGAGATATGTGCTATTACGACAAGTACACTAAGCTTGCGTCTTTTGCGGCGAAGCATGCGCGGAGCCTCATCTCAATGTGTTTTGAAATCCCCAACGTGATCTTTCCAAATGCCCGCTGGCGGGGACAATTTTCGTCCCCCAAACTCGAGAATTGCTGGCGACTTTTGAAATGCCGTCGTTAGGCTTGCGAATTCGCTATGAACAGATGCGAGAGCGACAATTCCGAGGTGGCACGTCAACAAACCAGGAGCGTCGTTCAGACCAAAACGGGTAGGTGGCTACCAGACCAGGCGACGTCTTAGATCGCAGGCCACTTTCGCAATGTCGCATGGCTGTGGGCGGGGCGCGGGCTGCCCACACGATTTCCCCAGCACTCGAAGAAGACCATGCGAAAACGGTTGCAGACCGCACTAACTGCCCGACAATTTGGCCTCAATGCGACTTCTGTCAGCGACACAATGTCCTTCACCCTGCGTCGCAAACGGAAAAGAGGAGTATCAGGCGACATTTTACGAATTTCCCTTCGCGATGTGGATGACGCCTGGGGCAATCCTGGTTGTCCATCTGTCGCTAAATTTGTCACAGGCCGACGTGCACGTCGCACAGCGTCGTAAGCTCACACCTCAGGCTCAAATTCAAACGTGAGGGGGATGGCTTCGTCAGCAGGGCACGCCCAAGCTGCATGCGACGCATGCCATCGCAGGATCCCCAACTTTCCGAGACGCGCTCGGTAACCAACATTTCCATGTTGCGAATGGCGTCTCGGCTAATGAGTGGAATGTGAGAGGGGACCCGGACCGCGGGCGGTACGGCTTATTGAATGTGGAGCGCGAGAGGGGCGATTTCTTTGTGAACTGCTCTCCCTCTTGTCACACCCTATCCATCTCCGAGCCATCCCAAACCCAACTCCCCAACCCGCGCACCACATAACTCATTCCTCAGAAGATCCCTTTTGGCTCTTTATTACCCGCTTGCCTCCACAGCCTTCGCAGGTTGTGCGCTCACATTTCACAAAAGAGCAGCAGCCGTCAGCCTCCGCCGTCGTGTTGCCTTCAGCCCGAACCTTATCACGCACCACTCAGTCTGGCATATCTATTCACTTTGAATCATTGTCGGTTCTGTTCAGCGATATTCCCGTGTCACGGAATGCAGTAATCGATTATCGATTACTCTCACACCGTAGCCCGTACCTAGCTTGGTCGTTCGCACAACTCTATCGCAAGTTACGCAGGATCTTCGAGATCCACCCTTCACTGCTTCAGTCGTCGTTGTCCGTCGACAAAGATTGCGCAGTTTTCAGCATGGCAGCGATCACCGCGCCCCAGGTCACCGCCCTCAACCCTTCTCCACACCTCGTTCGTCTATCCCCGCATAATCCGCCGCAAATGACTGTCGAAAGCCAAGCAGGCGCTCGTTCGGACGAAAGCGCGGCTGGAAACCAATGTCTAGCAGCATGCACCGATGCTCAGATGCAGATGGTGCATCCGCGCAGCGTCGAGGCTGCTCTTGCAGTCTTCAGCCCCAGCAGCAGCAGCCGGCAGCCGTCAGTTTCCCCGCCGGCGCAGTCAGCGTGCCGGTCAAACAGCCCCGATGCGATAGCGATGCAGGTGACGGGGGAGAAGCGGCCGGCGGTAGACGATCCGAGCGCAAATGACGCCGCCGCCATGCGCCCGCGGAAACTCTTCGCCGCATCGATTCCGCCCCTCACCATCCCCGCCGCGCCATCCACTTCCGCATCTCTAGCTGCGCTCAGCACCGCGCCTCTCCGCCTACCTTCCCTTGCGCCCGCGCCTCCTCCCCCGCAACCCCAAGCGGCACCCAACCCGCCCACCCCTGCCACCGTCACTCTATCAATCTCCTACCCTACCACTCCTCTACCCGTTCTCCCGCCGCGTACGCGTTATGATCCGGTTGCGTTTGCGCGCGGGATGCAGGCTCTACAGGGCACGCCCCTCGGCCGGCTGCTCAACGCCACACCCGATATTGTCGTGGACGGCGTTCCTCGTCGCGTAGTGCCCAGTAAGCCGCCCAGTAGTCCCGCGACGCAGGGTGCAATGGGACAGTCTGCATCACCCGTTCCCCTCATGCAGCTGCCGTCGCGACTCGCCGGGAATATCGGCGCCAACAGCGGTCCCCGCGCGAGCGGGCCAGTCAAGCCGCGTCTTCTCGTGCCGTCGCCTGCCGCCATCGCCTCCGCCATCGCCGCAAATGCCGCTGCGCCATCCACTGCCCGCAAAACCGAGCTCTTCCCCCTGCCTTCCGCTTCCCCAACTGCTCCCGCGCCCGCATCCGCTTGCTTTCCCCCTGCTGCCGCTCCTCCAACCCTCTTGACCTGCCCTATTGTCCTTCCGCGCATCTGCACTTCCGCCGCCCCAGCGCCGATCCGCGACACAGATGCCGGCGCGCGTGCGGCCGGCGCGGCGTTTGATCCGCTAGTGGAGTGCGAGGAGAGTCTCGATAGCTTATCAGATCCGTCGGATCTGACCTCCCCCACCGCCACTAGCGCGTGCAGCAGAGGCGGTTGCGACGCCGAGGAGAGCGGCGCGAAGGACGCGATGTCGTCCGTCGCCCTGCCACGTGGCAGCAGCAGCGGAAGTGGCGCACGGTGGGGCCGCAACCGGTCCGTCACAAGCAAGCAAACGGCGGCCGGCAGGAGACGGCAGGTTAACGGCAAAAGTTCCGGTGCCGTCAAGGTTAGCGGAGGTGCGAGCGCGGGCGCTGTTGGAACGGACGGAACGGGGGCGTGTGTGGTAACCACATCGGGGCAACGACCGCTTCACACACTGCATCCCGCGCCTGCTCCCCCCGCCACCGCTGCCGCGCGCCTCCTCCTTCACTCCGCCTCCGCCCGATCCACCAGCGCCAATCCCGCCGCCGCCGCCGCCGCCGCCGCAGCTGCAGCAGAAGCAGCGGCTGCGGGTTTCGGGTTCGTTTCGCAGGAGCGCGGCGCTGCAGGTGTGGGTGGAGGAGCGGAAGCAGCGGCGCAGATGGGCGTTGCGCAACAGGGGCAATGGCGCGGAAACGGCGGAAACAACAGCGCGGCGCAGCTCATGGTTCTCCCGCAGCAAGTGGGGCTTCCCCCAAGAATGGGCGTTTCGCCGCAGCAACCGCTGCTCTCCCTCTCCCTGCCTCCGCCGACAGCGCGGAATCAGGGCTTCATGTGGCAGGCCCCGCGGCCGATGTATGCGGAGGCGGCTCTTGCGGCACCGGACGCGGCGTGGAACGCGGCGGGAGATGCGGCAGCGGAAGTGGCCGGGAATCGCGGCCAAGAGGCGCTGCCAGACACTCAGCTGACTCTCGGGCGCTCCCTGCCGCCTCCCGTGCCGGCCGCTGGCGCCGCTGCGCACGTGCTGGTTGGCTCGGGCGACTTCTCCGAACCTCCTCGTGCCCAGCCTCACGCGCTGGTCGGGCCGAGCCTCGCGCCGGAGCAGTCAGCCTCGGTGTCGTCGTCCGCGTCGACGACGGTGGTCACTCGCACGGAGTCGCAGGGGTGGAGCGACGAGACGGGCGACGAGGACGACGACGAGTGGGGGGAGGGCGACGGGGACGAGGCGGAGAGCGAGCAGTGCGGGGGAGACGACGGGCGCGGGAATGGGGGCGTGATGGGGGAGATTGGGGAGCATGCGGAGGAGGAAGCGGAACCTGATGGCGCTCACGCGCTCGTGTCCGCCGCAACCCCCGCGTCTGTTACCGCGCGCCCTGCGTCGCTCGCTGCCAATCACGCACCCGCTTCTGGAGTCATCGCGCCTCGTGCGTCGCGGCTCGTCGGATCGCACATCACGATCAACGGCCTGCGTGCGTCGACTGAAACCAGCCAATCACCAACGGGAGGCATGCACGGAAGTGGAGCCATCCGATCGGTCGGGTCCGCAGCAGCAGGGACGGCATCATCAGAGCAGCTGAGAGAGAGCATGGAGCAATCACCCGTCCCAATGGTGTTTGCGAGCCTACCATCACGTCCCCGCAGTGGGCATGCAGTGCAGGTGGGAGAGAGCATGACGGCGCTGTGGGCGAACGGCGCCTTTCACCGCCTCGTGGGGCTCCCCTGCTGCTCCTGGCTGCTCTCCCTTGGTGCTGCCTCGCTCCCCACTGTCACGCTCGATACAAGCAGCATGAGCTGCATAAGCTTGCGATTACAGGGAGCGGCAGGGGGGTGCCCTGCTGTGGTTGAAGGAGGGGTGCGGGTGCGGTGGCAGGGAAGGGAGGGGGGGCGAGGGGGGGAGAAAGGGGAGGGGGAGGCTGTGGGTATGGCGGTGGGGAGGAGGGTGGAGGATAGTGAAGGGGCGGTGATGGGGTATCTTTGGGAGTTGAGGCTGAGCGGGGAGGGTGATGAGGTGATGAGAGCTGGTGTGAATGTGGGTGAACAGGGGGAGGGAGAGGAGGGGAAGGGGAGGGAGGAGGGGGCTGAGGACGAGGATACGCTGGCAGCAGAGTCACTGCTTCTCTTCACTGGAGGCATGGTGGCATGAGTGTGGGTGAGCAGAATAGAATATCACACGATGGCATTCAGATAAGATGGAACCGGCGTGCTGGCGAGACGTGCAGGGGAGAGGTGTGGAAGGGCTGGCTGGCCGTCAGAGTGTAGCGGAGTCGGGAGTTGACTATAGAATCAGGATCACCCAGCGTATTACGGGAAAGTCATCATTCAATTCCGGCCATATTTTGGTAATAAGCTGGCCTGCTCTCTAGCCTAAGGCACAGGGCAAGGTTGGTAGAAATAAGTTATGTATACCAGACATTCATTGAATTCATTCCGCTTATTGATTTGCAAACTCGTGTAAAATGCTGCAAATAAGAAGACCAGCTCTAAAGGTACTATGTTCCCAGCCCGTGATAGGCAAAGTCACTCATATGGCTAACACCAGGATTTCAAATTGTAAAATGTACTCAACATTACTGAGAAAGCTCTACAAGTACAGTCTTATCTACATTCAATAAAGGGAGATCTAATCCACCTACCTCCCAGTGCGTGCTCGTGACCTCACCACCCTCGAGAACGGCCCAACTCTGCACAAAATACCAGACATACATGGCAGAAACGCAGCAGACGACGCAATGAGCTCGCAAGGTACTCAACGCAATAAAAGTGCACGAGACGGACGTGATGCATTCTCAACTGGCGGAAAGCACGCACCTCCTGCGACGAGATAGACCAACACGAGCGCGGTCGCGACGAGTATTAGAATGGCCGGGTGCTGTTCAAGAGCCGCCTCGAGGCTCGACAGCTCGAACGGCGACGGTGCTTCCGCGAACGCCGGGGTTGCGGAGGACGACATGAGCGAGACTGAAGCGTCACCTGACGGAGCAGTGACGGGAGTTCCGTCGGCAGCAACAGAGACGTCAAACGGTTTCTGAGAGACGTTAACGTTGTCGTTAGAGGAAGCAAGGGTGACAGTGATTGTCGGAGCCGCTTGACTGCTGGCGGTTAAGCTGACGGAATTATCTATCAAACCGGCGGGCTCTGCGACGGCCGGAGACGGGGTAGGTAATGCTGACGTGTCAACCTGTTTGTCTGGCGTGGAGGAAGCCGCGACGGCTACAGCACGACGAGTGACGCATGTTCTTGCCGAACGTCTGATTGGATGAGCTTGAGTGCTTTGAACGAACCAGCGAGAGCTTGAGAGTTCTATGGAACTGTGTCGAACCGCAACACACGCAGAACGAGATGCTACTGCCATCTATGCGTCACCATGAAAAGACAAGGCTTTCACAGTATCGTCCTCCTGACTTCGACGTTGGAGCTGCGAAGAGGGCTCGTGTCCACCTACCAGTAGCTAACGACGTGTTGCGACCCACCCGGGTCGGATTGATCACCCCCCGATCCCGAATTTCTAGGAAGCCCTCACTGCCGACCTACCCGATCAGGTCGACCCGACCCAACCCAACCCGGGTTGGGTCGACCCGGGTCAACCCGGGTCGACCAGGTCGGATCGACCAGGCCGACCAAACCCAACCCAGCCGAGCTGGAGCAGGTTACCGGAGCCTGCGAAATCTGTGGTTCTCGCGCAGATGTCGCATGTATCTCGTTTACCAAAAAGATACCCAGTAATATCGCCAAACATTGCCTCGCCCACCTTCCACCTGCGGAGCACTTGCTTTCTCTTTACTTCGAATTTGCAGAGAAGGCAACGGGAAATTCTTTGATTTCTCGAGTCGCCTTGGGGTTGGGTCGGGTCGGGACCCGACCCGACCCGACCCGGGTGGGTCGCAACACGTCGTAAACCACCAGTATAGGCAGGGTAGGGCTGCTGGATGGCACACCGCATCTCAAATCTGTAAGGCGCTCCTCCCATATCTCTCCCACACTACTGGGACAAATATTCATCTATAATGTTTATATGCATACCCATAGTATATTATGTACATATTTAGTAGCCAAGATAGGGTACGCTATGTACTAACCACCCTCTACCACCAATTTCCAGCCTCCTTTTCTTTCATAGCAACCGCATCAATGTTCCTTCAACCGTGACCCCAGGCCCAAACCCTAAAGCCACTCCCCACTGAGGCTCGGTACGCTTCTTCCTTCGAATCTCATCCAGCACAAACAGCACGGATCCACTTGACATGTTGCCGTACTGCCGAAGCACCTCCCTGCACAACAACATGAAAACACAGGCACAAAACAGATACCTCTTTCCCTCAAAAAACGGATGGCAATCACGCAGAGCAGCAAAAGCACACCACACCCACCTGCTCGCCTTGAGTGCATGCTTCTTCAACCCCAGTTGCCGCTGAATCGCATCCAAAATCGCACGCCCGCCCGGATGAACCGCCCAGAAGCTCTCAGCGAATCCCACTCCGGCCTGCCCCAGCAGGGCAGCACTGAAATCTTTCACCGGCCCGGGCAGCAGCAGCGGCACCTCCCTCCGCAGGTGCACGAGCAGCCCCGCTTCGGTGAGATCACCCGCAATGTGGCGCGTCGTCTCGGGCAGAAAAAACTCCGCCACGCGGACAATCTCAAAGATGGGCTTCTCGGGGGAAAGCCCGGCGGGTGGGCTAGGGGAGGAGCCCCCTGCTCCTTGCTGTTGCTGCTGCTGCTGCTGCTGCTGCTGCTGCTGCTGTGGAGAGGTGGTAGCTTCTTGCAGGGCGGGTGCGGTGTGTGCAGTGTGTGCAGCGTGGGAGGCGTGGGTGCGGGGGTTGGCCCCCACGACCATGGCAGCTGCCCCGTCACCAAAGATGGCAGCGCATACCAGACTGTCCGGCAGCGACTCGTGCGGTGCCTGGTGGATGGGCGGACAGGGAGGGGAGGAGAGGGGACGGAGGAGAGGGGAGGGAGGAGAGGAAGGGGAAGGGAGGAATGGGGGGAGAAGGGGTAGGATGGAGAAGGAAGGGAGGGGAGGGAGGTGAGGAGTGCGAGAAACAGGGTAAGGGAGATGATACTGTACCTGGAAAATGATACCATACTTGGAAGATCATCATATAGAATCTGGAAAAACATACCATATCTGGAAGGACGATACCGTACGAACCTGAAAAATGAGACTGTTGATCACACGAGCAGCACCCATCCGCATTCTTCTCAGCGGCAATGCGCAACGCCGTCAACCCCGCATAGAACCCGAGCATCTGACTTTTGAGGCACCTCAAAAGTCATGACACCGTACCTGGAAGATGAGGCTGTTAAGCTCGGAGCACACGAGCAGCACCCTCGCCTCCTCGTCCGCATTATTCTTCGCAAGGTCCTTGGCGATGCACGGCGCAGTGACCCCCGCATAGCACCCGAGCATCTGACTTTTGAGGCACCTCACAAGTCATGACACCGTACCTGGAAGATGAGGCTGTTGAGCTCCGAGCACACGAGCAGCACCCTCGCGCCCTCTTCCGCATTGTTCTCCGCGAGGTCCTTGGCGATGCGCAGTGCAGTGACCCCCGCGTAGCAGCCGAGCATCTGCAGCAGCACGCGCTGGGTGGAGCGGCGCAGCCCCAGCGCCTCCACCAGCTGCACGTCCAGCCCCGGCAGGTGCACGCCGCTCACCGTCACCACCACCAGGTGCGTTATCCCCCCCGCCCCCCCTGCCCCAAACCCTTCCCCACCTGCCCCGCCCCCCACCCCGCCCGCCCCACTGACTTCCCCCGCGGCTCCCCCAACCCCCCCTGCTTCCAACGTTCCCCCCACGCCTGCCCCAGCTCCCCCCACGCCTGTTCTGTCCCCGCCCCACTCGGCGAGGGCGCGTTCGCAGGCGGCAGCGGCGAGCTTGACGCCTTCGGAGCGCAGGATCTCCTGGCGCATGGCGAGGGAGGGCGCGCCAAACTGCTGCAGGCACGGGTTGGCCGCGATGGTGTCCCATGGCAGCACCATGTGACGCTTGTCTATGCCCGTGTGGTAGCCTGGGGGGGAAAGGGGAGGAAGAAGGGGAACGAGGATGTCCTGGCGCATGGAGAGGGATGAGGCGCCAAATTTCTGGAGGCACGGGTTGGCGGCGATGGTGTCCCAGGGTAGCACCATGTGACGCTTGTCTATGCCCGTGTGGTAGCCTGGTGGGGGGGGGGATGGGAGGAGAGGGGGTCGAGAGAGCAGAGAGCAGCAAGCAGTGGGCGGAGGGTAGAAGGCAGAGAGGCGGAGACACTCTGAGAGAGAGAAGCGTGCTATGCGACATGAAACTCCTGTAGCCACCCACTCCTCCAGCCACCCACCCCGCCATTTCACTCCAAATTGTCATCATTCCCCATGGTCCGAGCGACTCACAGATGCGCTCGAACTTGGCCTGGGTCTCAGCATGGTGGCAGCCCACCCGAGAGAGGTACTCCTTGGCGAACTGCCCCTGCGGCCGAATCGTGTCCGGATTCGCTGTACCGATGCCCAGCACACACGCCACCGGCTTCCCGGGCTTTAACGGGTTCATTCTCGGCACGGCGGAATCGCAATGGGACCCAGGAGCTACAGTTGCAGGTTGGACCTTAGGCTCGTTATTAGAGCATCCAGTTGCAGCACTGGAGGGTTCGGTACACGCGAGGGGATGAACGAAACCGTTCTTCACCACTGCAATTCCATTCTCCACCCCTGCAGCGCCGTTCACAGGCCACTTGGCCCAGCCCCCGTCCTCTACACCACTCCTCGCACCACCCTCCTCCTTCTCCCTCTCGCCCAACCCCATCCTACCTAACCCCGCCCTCACATCCCCCACGGAGTTGCTGCTGCACGGCTTGAGAGCTGACGCTGCGGAACCGCTGAGACCCCCCACAGGAGCCCCATCGCCCGCCACACCCACCGCAGCAGGAGTGAGCGGCCCCAGGCCTAGCCCCTCCTCGCTGCCTAGCCGTGCCTGGAAGCACCCGTCCGACCCCATGGCGCGGAGCGAGAGACACAGGGAGGGAGAGTGAGAGAGAGAGAGTCGCGGACGACTCGGACAAGCGTGGCGCGGCCTAGGAAAGGAAATAGAGCGGTGGAGGAGCGGACAGCGGCTGTGGTAGGGGCAGAGGAGCAGAGATTCTCAGGCGCTGCTGTGCGTTGCTGGTAGCGTCCTGGCGAATACGCTAGAAATGCACTGAGGTGGAAGAGCGGGAACTGCAGAAACTCCGGGAAGGCAGAGGCAGAGACGAAAGACGGAGAGGAAGGGAACGGGAAGCGGGGAAGGCAGCGAGGCTCGCAGCTGGCGAAGGCGGGTCAATGCCCACGTGAAGCGGCTGGCGTGAAGCTGACTCGGCTGGGGCAGCTCATATACCCACCCACCTGGCGCTGTTGTTTCCGTGCTTCTGCGTGCGGTACGGAATGGGCGAGGAGGCGCGATGTACGGAGGAGTCACTTCTGAGAAATCCCAAAAATGCCCTGGTACGGAGAGATCGCATGCACGGGGCGCGCCGAATGGGGAGCGCGCCACGCTTTTACTTCCTAATGCTGCTCCAATCGATTTCTCCGACCCTAGGATTCTGGCTAAAGGAGGCATCAGGCGTCCAAGAGTGGGAGCGGTGCGACGCGCCCAGAGTGGCCGGCAAACAGGCCGTTTCTTGCGGCGAAAAATCCCGCGTCGAAGATTCTGCTAGCGTGCATGCGGTGTCGTTTAGGATGCTGCGCAGTGCGGCGGCAGGAACAGCGCTCGACACCGCCGAGTTGGCGCTGACGTGTCGCCGCCGCCGATGTAGAGGCGGCCGCGGAATGCGGAGGGTGGCTGGAGGAGCGACGTCGTGGCGTCGTTGGTCGCATGCATGGCAGATCGCAGCGGCCACGCGACATGGCGCTGTACGACTCTCGCACATGGCGGTAGTGCGTTGGAGCAGCATCGTGCATCCGTGCATGACCGCTCGCTGAAGGTTTTTTTCTAGACTCCAAATAGAGATAACCTCGCAGCGACGAGCTCGTACATGGCATACCGTGGACGGCTCGGCGGCTCGGCGGTTGAGTATAGGAGGGAGCGAGGCACACGTGGAAGGGAACCATGTGAAAGCACGAACTCCGCGCATGGTGCTTCTGGTATGGCTGGAGGGGCGATTAGGGGTAACGATACGCGATTGAGGCATCATCAGGAGCTGGATAGTATCGGCAGTGGCTGAGACGAAGAGAGAAATCGTTAGGGAGCGATTGAGGCGAATCAGGGTCAGGGGAGGAGTGGTGAGGTGTGAGGCAAGGGAACCACCCAGAATTTCACCGCGCAATGAACTGGAAAATCGAACCGTGTTCAACCGCGCTGAAAATCCGATTCTGACATCCGCAGCGCAACAGTGGCCCCGCTCAAGCGAATTACCGACAGAATCTCGTTTCGTCATTAAATTTGGTAATTTTCGACTCCCTCGCACCCCACACCCGCAGGAGCTAGTTCGTGCGGATTCGCGAAACTTGATTGGACGAACAGTGTCACTTCGCCCCAGGGAGTTGCTCATCTGCTCGCCAATTCCCTAGATCTGAGAGGGTTTCAGCTTCTGGTTGCTCTCACCAATTCCCTAGGTTCTGCTTGTCTCCTGGCTGGGGTCATGTCCGTTGCTCCTCTCTACTTGTGTCAGGCTTTCCCTCCAATTCTTCGTACATCCTCTTCCCGAGCAATTGAGCGGCTTTCAGCGGCACGCTTCGGGAGACAAACCGCCCTGGTTAGTTTCCACCGTAGATGATTGGAGTCCCTATCCATGTCAATGTCGGTGACTCCACCGTGTGGCTTTCTGACCATTCAAACATGACACGTGGGTTAACTTGGTGTCACTAGGATTAAGTTACCATCACTCTCAGGATACTCGGTCTGAGGTGGTCCAATCACAGCTCGTTTTATCGTGCTGACGACTAGTTCGTATGTTCCTCCTTCATCCAGGGTGGAATGTTGGGGACCACCATAGATGCCAGCAAGGCACGACTCCAACCACAGACTGTTTCACCTCAGATCACATCACAACGTTGGGATCTCACCGACCCACAGCCATTCCAACTATCCACGGCATTCTGCAGCTCTACCCTGGAACATTCTGCTCATTTCCAACTTCAAGCTTGTTACCAACCGCCTCCTCGGAATTTTTGGTTCCTCATCACACGTCGCCTCCAGGCAGCCTGTCCTGCATCACTTCACCAAATCGATCATGGAGAAAAATCAATTTTCTCAAGCTTGGAAGCTTTTGCCGCGATAGCCATGCAACCTCACCTGCACTCTCAAGTAATGCTCCACGTCATATTTTCTTCACGTGTTATAATGTTCACGCTGTTTTTTATTTTTTAAAGTCATTTCATTCACGGTCGTTGACTAACCTGCTTTTTGTTGCTCTTTGCAGGATCTGCTAATTTCTGCACTGCACGCTTTGGAGGATCTCATGAGAGCACCCTGGCGTTCATGGTTGATCATGAGGATGCGGAGCAGCTCCATGGTCAAAGGTCTAATGTATCAAGCATTTACACCTCACAGAGCCTTCCCCTAGGTGTTGGTATGGTACAGGTCAGGTGTTTGGTACTGGCTCTGTGGGGTCCAGGTAACATTTCACTGCTTTTCACAGGTCATTTTCTTTTAACGTTTTCGTTCACGGCTGTTGACTAACCTGTTTTTTGTTGCTCTTTGCAGGATCTGCTCATTTCTGCACTGTACGCTTTGGAGGATCTCATGGGTGCACCATGGCGTTCATGGTTGATCATGAGGATGCGGAGCAGCTCCATGGTCAAAGGTCTAATGTATCAAGCATTTACACCTCACAGAGCCTTCCCCTAGGTGTTGGTATGGTACAGGTCAGGTGTTTGGTACTGGCTCTGTGGGGTCCAGGTAACATTCCACTGCTTTTCACAAGTCATTTTCTTTTAACGTTTTCATTCACGGCTGTTGACTAACCTGTTTTTTGTTGCTCTTTGCAGGATCTGCTCATTTCTGCACTGCACGCTTTGGAGGATCTCATGGGTGCACCATGGCGTTCATGGTTGATCATGAGGATGCGGAGCAGCTCCATGGTCAAAGGTCTAATGTATCAAGCATTTACACCTCACAGAGCCTTCCCCTAGGTGTTGGTATGGTACAGGTCAGGTGTTTGGTACTGGCTCTGTGGGGTCCAGGTAACATTCCACTGCTTTTCACAAGTCATTTTCTTTTAATGTTTTCATTCACGGTCGTTGACTAACCTGTTTTTTGTTGCTCTTTGCAGGATCTGCTCATTTCTGCACTGCACGCTTTGGAGGATCTCATGGGTGCACCATGGCGTTCATGGTGATCATGAGAATGCGGAGCAGCTCCATGGTCAAAGGTCTAATGTATCAAGCATTTACACCTCACAGAGCCTTCCCCTAGGTGTTGGTATGGTACAGGTCAGGTGTTTGGTACTGGCTCTGTGGGGTCCAGGTAACATTCCACTGCTTTTCACAAGCCATTTTCTTTTAACGTTTTCTTTCACGGCTGTTGACTAACCTGTTTTTTGTTGCTCTTTGCAGGATCTGCTAATTTCTGCACTGCACGCTTTGGAGGATCTCATGGGTGCACCATGGCGTTCATGGTTGATCATGAGGATGCGGAGCAGCTCCATGTCAAAGGTCTAATGTATCAAGCATTTACACCTCACAGAGCCTTCCCCTAGGTGTTGGTATGGTACAGGTCAGGTGTTTGGTACTGGCTCTGTGGGGTCCAGGTAACATTCCACTGCTTTTCTCAAGTCATTTTCTTTTAACGTTTTCATTCACGGCTGTTGACTAACCTGTTTTTTGTTGCTCTTTGCAGGATCTGCTCATTTCTGCACTGCACGCTTTGGAGGATCTCATGGGTGCACCATGGCGTTCATGGTTGATCATGAGGATGCGGAGCAGCTCTATGGTCAAAGGTCTAATGTATCAAGCATTTACACCTCACAGAGCCTTCCCCTAGGTGTTGGTATGGTACAGGTCAGGTGTTTGGTACTGCTCTGTGGGGTCCAGGTAACATTCCACTGCTTTTCACAAGTCATTTTCTTTTAACGTTTTCATTCACGGCTGTTGACTAACCTGTTTTTTGTTGCTCTTTGCAGGATCTGCTCATTTCTGCACTGCACGCTTTGGAGGATCTCATGGGTGCACCATGGCGTTCATGGTTGATCATGAGGATGCGGAGCAGCTCCATGGTCAAAGGTCTAATGTATCAAGCATTTACACCTCACAGAGCCTTCCCCTAGGTGTTGGTATGGTACAGGTCAGGTGTTTGGTACTGGCTCTGTGGGGTCCAGGTAACATTCCACTGCTTTTCACAAGTCATTTTCTTTTAATGTTTTCATTCACGGTCGTTGACTAACCTGTTTTTTGTTGCTCTTTGCAGGATCTGCTCATTTCTGCACTGCACGCTTTGGAGGATCTCATGGGTGCACCATGGCGTTCATGGTGATCATGAGAATGCGGAGCAGCTCCATGGTCAAAGGTCTAATGTATCAAGCATTTACACCTCACAGAGCCTTCCCCTAGGTGTTGGTATGGTACAGGTCAGGTGTTTGGTACTGGCTCTGTGGGGTCCAGGTAACATTCCACTGCTTTTCACAAGTCATTTTCTTTTAACGTTTTCATTCACGGCTGTTGACTAACCTGTTTTTTGTTGCTCTTTGCAGGATCTGCTCATTTCTGCACTGCACGCTTTGGAGGATCTCATGGGTGCACCATGGCGTTCATGGTTGATCATGAGGATGCGGAGCAGCTCCATGGTCAAAGGTCTAATGTATCAAGCATTTACACCTCACAGAGCCTTCCCCTAGGTGTTGGTATGGTACAGGTCAGGTGTTTGGTACTGGCTCTGTGGGGTCCAGGTAACATTCCACTGCTTTTCACAAGTCATTTTCTTTTAATGTTTTCATTCACGGTCGTTGACTAACCTGTTTTTTGTTGCTCTTTGCAGGATCTGCTCATTTCTGCACTGCACGCTTTGGAGGATCTCATGGGTGCACCATGGCGTTCATGGTGATCATGAGAATGCGGAGCAGCTCCATGGTCAAAGGTCTAATGTATCAAGCATTTACACCTCACAGAGCCTTCCCCTAGGTGTTGGTATGGTACAGGTCAGGTGTTTGGTACTGGCTCTGTGGGGTCCAGGTAACATTCCACTGCTTTTCACAAGTCATTTTCTTTTAACGTTTTCATTCACGGCTGTTGACTAACCTGTTTTTTGTTGCTCTTTGCAGGATCTGCTCATTTCTGCACTGCACGCTTTGGAGGATCTCATGGGTGCACCATGGCGTTCATGGTTGATCATGAGGATGCAGAGCAGCTCCATGGTCAAAGGTCTAATGTATCAAGCATTTACACCTCACAGAGCCTTCCCCTAGGTGTTGGTATGGTACAGGTCAGGTGTTTGGTACTGGCTCTGTGGGGTCCAGGTAACATTCCACTGCTTTTCACAAGTCATTTTCTTTTAACGTTTTCATTCACGGCTGTTGACTAACCTGTTTTTGTTGCTCTTTGCAGGATCTGCTCATTTCTGCACTGCACGCTTTGGAGGATCTCATGGGTGCACCATGGCGTTCATGGTGATCATGAGAATGCGGAGCAGCTCCATGGTCAAAGGTCTAATGTATCAAGCATTTACACCTCACAGAGCCTTCCCCTAGGTGTTGGTATGGTACAGGTCAGGTGTTTGGTACTGGCTCTGTGGGGTCCAGGTAACATTCCACTGCTTTTCACAAGTCATTTTCTTTTAACGTTTTCATTCACGGCTGTTGACTAACCTGTTTTTTGTTGCTCTTTGCAGGATCTGCTCATTTCTGCACTGCACGCTTTGGAGGATCTCATGGGTGCACCATGGCGTTTATTTATTTTGCATCAGGTAGGCGTCTTCCATTGCTATGTTGTTTCTTTTATGTTTCCATTTACGGCAGTTGAGTAACATGTGTTCTGTCTTTTTGTTTGCAGGTTTTCTTTTAGTGTCGGAAGAAGAAAATAATTGTTAACGGGTGCTCAACACCATGTGTGGTTATTGTGCTGCAGCACAAGTATTGAATCGAATCTACCGTAATTAACCCTGCTGTACAGAAAGATTTTAACTGCACAAGTGTTGCTTTTAATGGATTTAAAGTACTGTTGAGCTACTTGAAATTCTGGCCTTGACTTCTGTTAACCTGGGGGTTTTATCATGCCCATTGTCCTGCCTCTCACTCATAGTGGAGAGTGGGAGAGTCTTTTGGGGTTTATCTTTATTGACAACTTCTGCAATTGACATAGAATAAGCATTGATAGTTAAGGCTTGAGCCCATAGAATAAGCATTTCTGAAGAGTCTATTACCGTCATCAAAACATTGTTGTCATGCCAAAATACTCGAAAAGAATGGAAGCTCCAATGTATAGTGGACGGAAAGATTATTCCACAGTGAGAACTGGAATCACAAGCAGGCCAGAGTGAACCTTGGGGGTAGTGCAAGCATATCTTAGTAGGCATAAACAGGCGCCGTACGTACAGTTTCCTGTCTTACACACGCCCCATGTCTGGGTAGCGGGAAGTAGTACAGTCGATAGTCGTTACCACGCGATCATTTCGCCACCACGCTGCCGCACTGTCGATTCGCTATCATGCTGTCAGCAGTCAGTCAGCGCGCTCGTCGGCTCGGCACCTGAGCTTCGCGCGGCGAGGCGCATGACGACACGCATGGAGCGGGCCCGCGGCGGGTGTCCGCCTCCCCTCATTGCGTTCGCCGAAGCGTCGTGAGGGTTTCACGGTCTCACCAGGAACGATAGAGCGGGAGAGCGCGGCTATATAAAATTCTGGCTGTGAGAGCGCGAGAGAGCGAAAGAGAGCGAAAGGGAGATTGTAACGGGGAGCCGTCAGGAATGTCGCGTCCGGGGGTGAAGCACGTCGGCGCGCACCCGCCGAACGCGCTCGTCGCGGCGGCGGCGGCGCTGCTGGCGGCGGGGCTGCTGCTGCTCGCCGTGCTGCACGCCGACCTCCTCCCCGCCGCGCGCCCCTCGCGCATAGAGCCCCAGCGCCCGCGCCTCAAGGTGTTCCTCGCGGCGCTGCCCGCGGAATTCAACTTCCGCCTGCTCAAGGTGCGCGCGCGCCCCTTCCCCCCCTTGAGGGTTCTTCTTCCTGCCCCCTTCCACCTCCCCGCGCCTCATACCTGCGCCTCTCCCTCCCCCTCCGCCACACCCCGTTCCGCCCTCTCGCTATCCCGCATTGATTTTCCCTGCCACGTCACTCCATGCCACGTGTGCCTGCAGGGGGAGTGGATGAGGGACCACCGCGTGCAGCTGCTGACTCAGCACGGCATGCCGCCAGCGTGGGACCTCACCCGCCCTGCGGTCAACTCAGCTTCCTCCCCCGCCAACCCATCCGACACCTTAGCTGACGTGGAGGCGCGGTATTGGTCGAAGCGGCGGTCACACGCACTGGTGCCGGCATTCCCAGCAGTGCCATTTGCAGCGGAGCACAGTGCAGAGTACTGGCTCACACTCTCCCTGCTCTCCGGTACTCCCTCCTCCGTGCACCTCGTGTCGCACGCCCGCGACGCTGATGTGGTGTTCCTGCCCGTCTTCTCCTCGCTGCTCGCCTTCTCATTCAATGCCACGCCCACCAACCCGGCTGCTCTGCTGCTTGCGCTGAAACCACCTGACGGGACACCTGAGGTCTCTGGAGCACCTAGCGCAGCAGCAGCAGGAGAGGGGTTAGCCCCAGTATTCATGAAGCCGCATCTGAGCGAGGAATTCAGGTGTGTGCTGATGTGAGGCTGCCCATGTGATGCTGCTGATGTGTAGTGTGATTTGAAAACCATGTGGACATCTCATGGAGCTCAAAATGCTTATGCCATGCGGCTTACTTTGCTTCCTTCTCTTACGCTCGTTGCAGCCCTCGTCCTCTCTTTGTCCACTCTCCCGTTTTCTTTCCTGCAGTCATCTGCTCGATAGCCTCACCAAATGGCTCCATGTTCTGACTGCCAGCAGCAGCAATAGTGGTGGTGGGAGGGCAGGGGTGCAGCCGCGAGTGGTGCTGCCAGTGAGCATGCCACGTGCTCTGCCTGCCTTCCACGCCCTCCTTCCCTCCCTCTGCACTCTTACCACCGACTTCTCCTTCTCGCCCCTGCAGGTATGCCTGCCTGCCAACTGCCGCCTTAAAATGTGTGTGTGCATACTTGATGCTGCACTCATTCACTTGCAAAAAAACATCCCTATTCATGTATTTTCGCATTTTCATGTATTTTCCCTATTCATGTATTTTTTAAATTCTTGCTCCGCATCCTCATGATGAACCACGCTATACGCCATGAAGCTCCCTTCAGAGCGTGCACAAATTAGTAGATCCTGCAAAGTGCAACAATGAACAGATTATTCAACGGGCGCGAATGAAAATGATAAAAGAGAACGACAGGAGCAGTGGAAAAAAAGTGATGCCTACCTGAACCCCATAGGACCAGTACCATACATGAACTTGTACCATATCTACACCTAGCCTTCCCCAAGGTGTAGGTATGGTACAGGTCAGGTGTGGTACTGGCTCTGTGGGGTTCAGGTAGGCACAATTTTTTTCCACTGCTCCTGTCGTTTTCTTTTATTGTTTTCATTCGCAGCAGTTGACTAAAATGTGTGTGTTCTTTGATGTTGCATTCATTTGTATGAAAGAAAATGTGCCTATTCATGCTTGTTTGTGAGGATGCAGGACGTGAATTTCATGAAGGATGTGATTATACCGTATGCGCCAATAGTGGAGCCTTATCTGGACGACCCTGGTCGCTGGTCTGATCGCACGTCTTTGCTCTATTTCCGCGGATCTACAGAGGTCTTCAATAATGTGAGTCAGGGACTGAAAAGCACATCAAGGCCACCAATGTTCACTGATTAGTCACATACTACCAGCTGTGTTTATTGATCAGTCTGCTACCACCATCAATGTTCACTGATGAGTCACATACTAACAGCTGTGTTTATTGATCAGTCTGCTACCACCATCAATGTTCACTGATTAGTGTCCTACTGCAAGCAATGTTCACTGACTAGTCACATACTACCAGCAATATCCACTGATTAGTCACGTTCTACCACCAATGTTTACTGATCAATCTCCTACTACCATCAATGTTCACTGATCAGTCTCCTACTAACAGCAATGGTCACTGGTCCGTCTTCTAGTGCCAGCATCATTCATTCACCAGTATCTGTTTCCTTACTGTAAGCAATGTTCACTGATGACGCTTGTACTGGCACCAACATTAACTGGCCAGTATCACAATGTTGCATATCCTCTCGGTTTTCTTCTCTCCATTCGTTTTCTGTGTCCCTCCCTTTCAGGGCAGGGAACTGCGTCGAAGCTTGGCAAAGCTGTTTTCAGCGCCGCAGTGGAGGCAAGGGGTGGTGTTTGAGGCGGTGGAGCGGAGGGATGAGAGCGAGGTGACCGTGGAGGACGTGCAGGCCATGCAGCATGCCATGCGCCGCAGCCTCTTCTGCCTCGTGCCTGAAGGTGCTGTCTATTCAGCTTGTACTTATTGCACTGTGCATCTGTGTGTCTGCTTTGTGTTTTTCTCACCTATTTTAAAGCATTCACCCTCTAGTACAGTACTCGGCCTTCAGCCCGATCCTCAACCTTTTTCAGTACATTCAACCCCCAATTCTTCCCCACTGCGGGCAATACAGTGTCATCCTCTCGGCTCTTCAACGCGATGGTGAGCGGGTGCATACCAGTGGTGGTGAGCGACAGCATTCTGGTGCCCTTCAAGGACCTCACCTCTTATTCATCCCCTCCCTCATGCACCAATGCAGGCAACACTGTATCATCATCGCGTCTCTTCAACGCCATGGTGAGCGGGTGCATACCAGTGGTGGTGAGCGACAGCATCTTGTTGCCCTTTGAAGACCTCATCGACTACACACGCTTCGCCCTCTTCATGCCCTCGCACCTCGCCACGCGCTCCGGCTACCTGGCGTCCGTGCTGCGATTGGAGGAGAGCAAGTGGAGAGCCATGTGGCAGGAGCTGCGGCAGGTAACCCTTCTGTTCTTGCATTTAACCATCTCGTTTTTGCGTGGTTACTGTTTGTTTTTCACATAGCAACCAATTTCACCGGGCTAGATGATATTTTTGTTCTGCACTTGTGACTCAGAAACTTGATTGTGGACACAGCTGGAAAGGACACTTGCAAGCACTGCTACTCATCAGCTCTGCTCTACACCCCGTTTTCCCACTTGGCCTCGCTCCCATCCTCACACATTCCTCATCCCTCTCGTCTCTCTTGTTATCCTTGCCCTTGTGACACCAGGTGCAGCGGCATTTCATATTCGGCAGTCCGGCAGCAGAGGGAGGGGCGGAGGACATGGTATGGCAGGCGCTGCTGCGCAAGCAGGCCCGGGAGGCCGCTGCCAGGGAGAGAGCCGCGTGGCAGGGGGGACACGTGGGTACCGAGGGATCCGAGGGAGGGGGGATCCAGGGCGGGGGGAACAAGGGCGGGGGGAACCAGGGAGGGCGGGAGGTGACAGGGGGAGGCGGGGCAGGGGGAGATGGGGCGGGGGCGGGGGCAGGGGGAGGTGAGGTGGAGGGATGGATGAGAGCATGCTCCCGGAGTTCATGGTGAGACGGCATCGCATGATGACAGGCATGCTCGCTGCTGTGGGGCTCAATGGCAGTGCGTGGCGGGTGAGGGAGCGAGGGGACTTCATTGCTATGCAGATGGCAGAGGAGAGAAGAGATGCAGGCAGGAGTAGGCGTGATTAGCATGGGAAGTGTTTATGGCACTAGGTAAGGAACTTTGGACTGAGGATGAATCATCCTAAAATACAAGTGCTATATACTAGAACCCAAATGGGCAGTAAAGACAAAGAGTCTCTAACTCATTGCTCCTATCCTGTTCAACAATACAACCACTGAACAAGGTGAAGTAGCTGTGACACATGCCATGCCATGCCATGGCAGTCCATGCCATGACACTAGCCATGGCAACTGTCTACTGTTCTGGCATCTGTGTGTGCTGTTACCATGCCGTCATGCATAGTATCCCTCTAAACTGGGGGATATGGCGTGTTTCACCTGAGCGTGTCATCTCATATCCCGTACAGCCGCGTCATGTGTCGAGTCAGCAAAGCGGGATCGCGAATCACCATGTCACTCAAAGACGGGTACGCACCACGCGCTCCTCCATCGCCCATCCCTCCATCGCCGCTCGCACTCCCATCCCCGCCAAACCCGTTCTCGCCGCTGTCCTCCTCGGCCTCTTGCCACTCCTGCCACCCTATCCGCGTTAGTAGCCGCTGCACGAGAGGTATTTCGCACGCCACCACGAGCAGCGCTGCCGCCGCCTCTGTCGCTAACACCCACGCGAGTCGCATGGCGGGGAGTGTGTGAGTGCGCGCGCAATGCTCCGCGGAGGCCTGCTCATGTCGGCGGAAGAGTCGGGGGAGCAAAGGGGCGCTCCAGGCGGTGGGGCTAGCCGCGACGGAGGTAGATCTGAGTTTGAAGCAGCGGATCGGAGGCTCGGAGGGATTCAGCTGGTAGATGCTAAGATCTGGAGAAGCTGGTGGTGCCAGTGGGGCTGATAAGGGCAATGTGGAACGCGATGACTCAAACAGGCCGTGACGCCCACCCACGGCATCGCGGATATCGCGGGTGTCGATCGCATCGCGGGTATCGAGGCCATGACGGCTTCTTGGTGGACCGCCGCCGCCCGTCGCAGCCAGCCAGTCCTGGCAGCGCGCGTGATTCCCGAGAACGCAGTGATCCGCGTTACTAGCAATAAAACGTGCTTGGACGTTCGCGCGCGACGTTGATCTCTGCGGAATGCAGGAGACGAAGCAACTCCCCACTGCGTTGGGAAACTCGAATGGCGGCGGGTATCTCAAGACTCGAAGCGAGAATTGGACTGACATTGTCCGCGATATGAATGCCTCGGGTTTGAAAGGCAGGTGTGGTGCGAAGTTGTTTCCAGCGACCTCCAGCACAGAATCTCTGTTCCACTGAGGAATAGAATACGGTGTGTTGAATTACTTTGGAGCTACCTTCATGGCTTATTTGCAAAAAAAACATCTCAATCCAAAAAAGTTGTTGCAACAAACAGAACGGTACAACTCTGGTTGCAATTACCCTACATAAGGCTGGAACTACGTTCTAGAGAAGCCCAAGGGCAACTGCAACCAGAAATGCACAAAAGTCCATCTGGGAACGACCAAACCTGACCTGAGCAAAAAGAACAGCTAGTAATGCGAAGCTAGTGGCAGGCTATATGCCATATATGATATAGGCCACATTCAGACTAGTATATGCCCCAACATGGGAGGAGATGAGGGAGGGGAAGGAAGTAGGAGGGAACGGAGAGGAGAGAATCCATGCGCGAATGGCTGGCTGGCTCCCTTGAACGGGTCAGAGAGGATCCCAAATACCCAGAGATCTCCCACCACCGCTGCTGCGTCCTCTCCTCTCCCTATTATTGGTGCAGCACACACCACTGCTGCCAAAACATACCGTCTTCTTTGTAATCCTCCTCGGCAACCCCAATGGCACATCCCATAGGTGTGCAGTGCAGCCGGCTGGGGTGGGCTTAGGCCACCCAGCTACTTATTCTTGCCCCAACAGACGTATCCAATCTATCGCCCAAAGTGCTCCCTTACAACCATCATGCTGAAGGGGCCCCAGCATCAGCAGCTCTGAATGCGGTGCTGCCACCAGCACAGCATGCTACTGACCTTGCCCCAACCAGGCACACTCCTGAGTCGTGTGTTGGAAACCCTAAGCGCGAACCCCTTGGCCTATGACGCCGCTCACCCGCAGCTTGCCTCTTCCAGATCGGCCCTCTGACCTCTCCACTCCATGCGAAATAGATACTTGCTTGCCATCCGTCTGAACCTCCGCCTGAACCACCACGCCATCTCCTGGTAGGCTACGGCCCATCAAAGGCGCCGAGGGAACAGAATCCCGAAACGCACTCACTACCTGCTTCACGCGGCCGTTAGGGTTTGGAGGGCCCTGCCTCCAGCGCCTGGCGCTTCTCCGCGCGGATGGCGGCGATGGCCTGGCGGACGGCCGCCTCAATGCTGGCGGGCTCCGCCATTGCGCCCGTGCCCACGTCCCCGCACGCCAGGCGCTTGCTTATTGGCGACACCAGCTCCGCGCCCAGCCCCTCTAAGATCGCCACGTGGCGCGCGGTGAATGGCGACGTCCACATGTGCGTGTTCATGGCGGGCGCGAGCAGCAGCGGCTTGCCGAAGTCCCACGCGCGCACGATGGACGTCAGCAGGTTGTCGCAGATCCCGCTCGCCACCTGACGCCGTGACGGCGACGAGGAGATGGGGGAGGGAATGGAGGAGAGAAAAGGGATTGGAGTGGTGAAGGGGGCCAATGGGAAGAGAATCAGGCGGGGAAAAAGGGGAATCGGAAGGTGTGCGAGATGAGGGACGGGGAGTTCGACGGGAGGGGGAGGAATCGCGGGCGGAATGTTGGGGAAACGGCAGGCTTGGATCGAAGATGCAAGCTGCTTTGGAACATGCGACGATCCGCGAGCTTGGATCGCTCATCGCATGTTGCAAGGAATCAATTCGCGACGGCAGGATTGCTCGGTCGGGCGCCGGAAAGCACGGCGGATCACCTTGGCGAGAGTGTTGGCGGAGAGCGGCGCGATGACCATGACGTCAGCCCACTTGCGCAGCTCGATGTGCAGCACCGAGTCGCCCAGGCGGCTCCACTGCCGCCACTCGTCCTCGTCCGTGAAAAGCGGCATCTCCACGGGCAGCGCGGGCCGGTCGATGAAGTGCAGCGCGGACCGCGTGCTCACGGCGCGCACCTCCGCCCACTCCACCAGCCCGCGCGCCACGATGTGGAACTTGATCGCCGCCACGCTCCCGCTCGCCGCCAGCAGCACGCGCGGGCGCCGCCCCAGCGCCTGCTGGAGCGGGGAGATTCCCCGCGTGGGGCGCGGAACGGCGGGCGCGTGACTGCCTTCGGGGGGGCTTCCGCTCTCCTGCTGCGGAGGGACCGGCGGAGGCTCAGGCTGCGGGGAGCTTTGCTGGGCGGAGACAGTCTGCGGGGCCTGCATGGTGGGAATTGAGACAGCCGCAGCGCCTGCGGAAGAGTCCGGGAGCGGGTGATCCCCTTGGGAAATTTGCTGCGGCGGAATTGAAGATCCTGGCGGTCTAATCGGAAGCATGCTTAATAGTCGTAGATCCGAGCAAATAAGTGCTTTCTATCTTACATAACCGTCGATCCGCGTTCGAAGTATACTGTAATTGAACACATCTCCCCATCGATAATGGAAAGACACATGGCTTTCATCAAGTTGATGAATTTTGCATGTCGACTGGATCCGTCGACTGTGAAGGCCAGCCACAGTAATGCCTGGAAAAGAAGGATGACTCTCTAGGCCAAGGCAGGACAGCGAAAAAGGACGATTCGACAGACAAAACGTGGGTTGCTGGAAGCAGGAAGAGACATGACAAGCCATATGTGGAATGGAGGTGGCTTTGTTGCGCTAGTTGAAGCAAGCAGAGGTAAGTGAAATTGAAGTGAGGTTGGCGGGGTGACGTTTCGCCACTCAAGTTCGTCATTTTCGTGAATTGTGAATCGTGAATCGTGGGTCACAAATTTGGTCGCCTGCGGAGCGGAGCTGATGGAGTTGCGAAATTCAGAAACACGAACCAGTCCAAATTCACAAAACTGGGCGGTTGCCAGAGGAGTTTTCGATTGGACCAGCTTTGATGGGGTTGAAGGGAAAATTCGGCGGTACAGTAGATGGACGACGAATTTCGTTGCGACCGCCGAAACGAGTTTGGATCGCTTGGCGATGCGGAGAATGCCTGATTGGCGGAGACTGCACGACGGCATCCAGCGAATCAGGCTCCAAGTGAATTAAATCTCGGAAGCTGGTGAAGCTGCGAAATTCTTGGCGAACAAAAGGACCCGCCAGACCGCATTCGCTCAAGCCGGTGACAAAAGCTGCAGCAGCGACACTTTTGTGGGCCACACCACTGTTGCAATTGAAATAGTTCACACGACGCCGCACTAGAATATAGAGCGCGTCGCCCGCCCGGAATCAAGGCCTGAAATTGCTGCTGAGTAGCTTGTTTGCTTGTGATCCAATGGTACAACAGAGATACTCATGTTATTGGCATTACCATGTGTTTGCTGTTATAGGCGAAAAAAATAAGATGGTGTTTTACATCTAAATCGGATCTCTTTGTACAAGGTGCGGCTTCACTATCATTAACGAGTATTAGCAATTATTATCAAAAAGTGGATATAGTTGGAGAAATACATGGACAATTCTGTAGCGACCATGTTTCTGAAGATGAAAGCCGAACGGTTTCGGTCGCCACAGCAACTCAGGCACCGTTCTAGAAGTTGCCAATGAGCAACATTTCAATCATTCCAGCAATTCCTTCAACCGAGCACCTCTGATTTGCGCAGCCATAGAAAGTACGCGCGTCCCACGCATTCGTTTCCGTCTGTTGAATTATTTGTTAGACCTAATTTGAGTGGGATCATCAAGCAGCGCGCTACTTAAACGTCTCCTCTGTTGACTAGCTCGTGAGCCGTGCGCGCGGAGATGGCGGAGGGTAAGCAGTTCAACATGCGGAATCCGGCGGTGAAGCGGATTCTGCAGGAGGTGAAGGAGATGCAGCGCGAGGGCAGCAAGGAGTATGTCAGCATGCCGCTCGAGGTGAGCCTGCGGTACACGCGTGCGTGCAGGCGAGTCGTTTAATCGAGAAACGAGGGCGTGCAGTATCAAGCGAGTGACGCTACGGGAGTCACCGTGCATTCCAAAACTCTCCTAATCCCGCTGGTAGTGGCGATCTCACCGAACAGCGCAGAGGGACCAAACCAAATCGCCGTGTCGTTACCCGTATCCTCCTACGTAAGAGCCGTACGTGCGAGTACACCACGTGTCGTGCATTGCACGGCACAGCAGGACGGCGGTCGCAGATTCGAGTGTCCCTCGCTTCGCATCGCATTGACTGCGTGTGTTCCCCGGCAGGAGGACATATTCGAGTGGCAGTTCGCGATTCACGGTCCCAAGGACTCGGAGTTCGAGGGCGGCATCTACCACGGCCGCATCACACTGCCCGCCGACTACCCCTTCAAGCCGCCCTCCTTCATGCTCCTCACCGTGAGTGCACCGCTCTCTGGGTCGCACCCCTCAAAACTCGCTGAATGTTCGTTTGGGGCACCTCAAAGGTTGAGTCACTTTCCGATAAGCGATTCCCCAAGCTTTGCTAGTCAGATTTGATAGACATTCAGTAGAATGATAGGCGCTCCTTGATTCCTCAGCTCTTTCTGCACCCTCTGCACCCTCTGCCCTCTCTGCTCTGCTCTCTCTGCTCTGCTCTCTCTGCCTTCTCCGCCCTCTCTGTGTGTCGGCCATGGCAGCCCAGCGGCCGTTTTGAGGTGCAGACGAAGATTTGTCTGAGCATCTCCAACCACCACCCCGAGCACTGGCAGCCCTCCTGGAGTGGTGAGCTGGACCACGCCCATTGCACTTGCGTTCCCACTCAATCTACAAAAATCGTGTTGTCTCACGTTTGTGCATGCACGCGTACAGGCGTATGGATATACTCATCGTCTCCCGCCTTCCTCTCGTTGCTGTATTCATCAACCATTTTGTATTCAATCACCTGTTAACCCTCCCTGCAGTGCGCACGGCGCTGGTGGCGCTGATAGCATTCATGCCAACCAAGCCAGATGGCGCGCTGGGCTCGCTGGATTACCCCAAGGACGAGCGCCGCAAGCTCGCAATCAAATCCCGACTCGCGCCGCCCAAATTTGGCAGTCCCGGGCGGCAACAAGTGATTGATCAGATTCACGCAGCCATGCTGCAAACGGCGCCACCTATCCCTGCTACTCTGCTGCCCGCCTCCTCTCCGAGCCCTAAGGCTCCAGAGGCGCCTCAAGGCCCACCTACTGAATCTGCTCTTCCTCCTGCTGCCGAACCAGTGAGTGCCACTGCTGCTGCTGACTCGGCTCCTTCTCCAGCTTCCCCCCTCGTGCTTCCCTCTTCCACCGACGTTTCTGCCGACCAGCCTTCTCTAGGCTCCGTAGCCCCTCTGCCAGCAGCACAGCCAGGCGACGCTTCGACCACATCCTCCGCACCTGTGGCTGCAGGTTCGGCTCCCTCTTCCTCTGGCTCGGCTGGCCTGAATGAGACAGGGACGGGCCTTGCTGTATCTTCCAGTACTGATTCTGCAGGGGCCAGCTCTTCAGCTTCACTCCTGCAGGCACAAGCCGGATCCGTCCCGGCTGGTGGTATGGAATCAGCTGCATCAGCTGCTGCTGCTGCAGTACAAGCAGTGCCAGCAGGTGCAGTCATGGATGGTGCACCAGTAGCAGGTGCATCTGCTGCTGCTGCTGAACACTCACTGACTGAGCCACTGCTACCACCACCACCACAATCTATGTCAGAGCCCAGGCAACCAAGTGCAGCAGCAGCAGTAGGCCCTTCGGCCGTGGAAGCTAGAGCAGGAACAGCAAGAGTAGTGGCAGGGCAATCACAGAATCAGGCGCAGGCAACACGGGCAGCAGAGGGTCGGGGACGAGTTGGAGGGGCAGCAGGGGAGGACAGAGTGTTGAACACTCTGGCAGCTGCAATAGTGGTTGCTATCGTGGCGCTGCTTCTGAGAAAGTTCTTACGGGTGTATTCGCCCTTGGATGAAACAAGCATGGAATGGTGATGTGGACACGTGTGAGTGGAGGTTGTGGGCTAATGCTGATTCGAGGAGAATTTGCCGGTGGGAAGTTTGGGCAGTTTCCTTCATATGTTATGTTACAGTTCTCTTCAAGTTTCCCGAGATTCTGTGTTCTGAGAGATGCGTAGCTACGTGGACTCAGCTGTGCGTGGTAGCTGGCTGCTTGCCAAATACAGCAGTTTCTGTAAGCGTCTGTCAACATGTAAGGCTATATAAATCCCATGTCCTACCTAGTGTTCACACCGGTATGTCCTAACCACCCAGGCACCTGGGCTGGGTGACTCCTTTGCTGCTGGTCAATATCCTTACACACGGCCTAGTGCATGGAAGGAAGATCCTTCACCCAGGGGTCTAGTGCGTGTCCAATAGCAAACACGATGAAGCCAATCTCCCTCAGCTTTGCCACATCCACAATGTTGCGGCCATCAAACACAAAGGCTGGCTTCTCCATGTGCTCGTAGATTTTCTGTTGGCCATGCAAGGAATTGGAATGGACAAGGATGTGGTGTGAGACAATTTCTTAGGAATTCAACCCACTGCGGAGAATGAAGCAGGCTTGGAAGGGATAGCACCAATGTAAGTGCCATGAACACACAACTTGGAACGGAACTTGGACATCAGGTTGGATGTGCGCGTCAGCATGAATAGAAGTGCAGTTGCGTGTTCTTATGCCAGATTAATTGATAGCAACCCACCTGATAGTCCAGAGTCTTGAACTCGTCCCACTCTGTGAGAATGCAGATTCCATGAGCACCCTTGCACGCTCCATATGCATCCCACGACACCGAAACCTGGGATGAAGGGAGCAGTGGATATTGGGTGGAGGTGTGAAAGCAAAATGTTATCTTCACAAACATGGTCAGAGAAACAGCGTGAGGGTGCCAAGAAGAGAGCATGATGATATCACATTTCATGTGCTCCTGAAGGCCTCCTTACACTGGTTGTTTCACAATGAGAGAGGGGGCTTTCAAAGGCACAGTGAAGATAAGATTTAAAAGATCGTGCAATGGTTCTACCTTCTGGTGGACTCTTGGGCTGACTGGCTGCAGGTGGTATGGATGGTCCCAGTCAAACTTGTTCATGGACAGGTCACGCCTGATCTGTTCCTCAGTCACCTGGAAACGTAAGCAAGGGCTCATTAGACTTCCTCGCTAGCTTCATGGGCAAAATCGAGTATATGTGATCGTGCATGAGAAAGTTGGCTCACTTGTGGGTCGTAGATGCTGACGTCAGCCTGATCCCTGAGAAGCCCATGGCATACATCGATGGCAGGGCTCTCCCTGGTGTCTCCTGTGTCCTTCTTGAAGGCAAACCCGAGAATGGCAATCTTCTTGTTGACGACGGTGTTGAACATGGATGACACGATTCTGCTGATGAACCTTGACTTTTGGTACTCGTTGATATCAATCACCGATTTCCAATAATGAGCAGCCTCCATCAATCCATTGCACTCACAGATGTAGACAAGATTCAGAATGTCCTGTCGGGTTGTGAGCATTGCAAATGATGAGGTCATGGTGCTAAGAGATGAAGTGAAGCAGTCATTATGCGGTTGAAATTGGCGTGTGTGTGCACGTGTTGTGTTGTGTAGGAGTGTGTACAGAGCTCAAGACTGGAGCTTGCGACAGAGGTGCAATACATTTAAAGAGGGAAGGGGAGGGAAAGGAAAGGGAGAGGGTGTGAGAGTGATAGTGAGTGCGACAAGGGTAGGTGTGTGGGTGCTGGAAAGGGAGGGATGCTGGAGGTAAATGAAGGTACCTTCTGGAAGCAGGAGCCACCAAAACCAACTGAGGCTTGCAAAAATCTGGAGCCAATGCGGGTATCTTTTCCAATGGCGTATGCTACTTCTGAGACGTTGGCCCCCGTGGCCTCGCACAGGGCAGAGATGGCGTTGATTGATGAAATGCGCTGAGCAAGAAACGCATTCGCTGCCAGCTTGGTCAGCTCAGCGGACCTGAGGGGGCATGTGTGAGAGCGTGAATGTAAGAAAAATCGCCCTGGCAAATCTGTTACTGAGTGGCTGGTTCTATTAGCGTTAATCCATCAAGTCTCTCACCAGAGGTTGGTCACAATGATGTTTTCTTGAGGCACCCAGTGAGCATAGACTGCAGCAAGAGCAGCTGCTGCAGCCTGGCCTTCCTCAGAAGTGCGACCACCTGAATGAATGAAACAGTACACAGCAGAATAAATTGTCGCCTTTTTAAAAGAAGAGAGGAACTTCAAGAAGTTGATGAATGATAACAGTCGCTGGATCTTACCGATAAGAACACGATCGGGCTTGTCGAGGTCTGCTATGGCAGTGCCTTCCGCTAGAAATTCGGGATTCGACAGAATCTAGCGACAATACAGATCAAATTAGTGGATGGCTGGAACAGACGTGAAAATGGGGCCTTCAACTTGTAAATGACTTGTTACCTGGAACTTGATGCCTTTCGTGTTATGTGTAAGAATCTTCTCAATAGCTTCCGCAGTCTTTACGGGAACAGTGGATTTCTCAACGACAATCTTGTCAGAGGTAGAAACGTCAGCGATCATCCGCGCAGCGCTTTCCCAATATGTCAGGTCGGCTGCTCGACCAGCTCCTAACCCCCTGGTCTGCAAATGTCAAGAAGGAACGAGTGGCTGTCACGAACCCCGACTTCATTCATTCCTCAGGGGTTTCTACGATTCTGCACTCTTTCATGTACCTTGGTTGGTGTGTTTACAGATACGAAAATAATGTCGGCCTCAGCGACGCTCTTTTCCACGTCAGTCGTGAAGAACAGGTTCTTATCGCGGCAAGCCTTCACGACGTCGTCGAGTCCAGGCTCGAAAATAGGCAGATTATCACTGTGAAAACAAAAGGACGGTATGTTGATTCGCGCGTTTTGGCTTTAGCAATGGAACGCTGGAAGAATGACAACCCGACATACCTGTTCCACGCAGCGATTCTAGGCTTGCTTATGTCCACCACGGTGACCTTAATCTCTGGACATTTATATGCAATCATGGCCATTGTGGGGCCACCCACGTAGCCAGCGCCTATGCAGCAGATCTTCACCATGGTTCTAAGCTGAGTGGAACTACGACTAAAGAACCTGTCTATCACCGAATGCTAAGCCTGAGAAGCAGATACAGTTTCAGCAAAGCACAAAATAGGCAATATAGCAGCACTACTGGGCGACCAAGAATTTTGGGAAAGTACATCGCAGCTCCACAGTTTCAAAAATATCTCAATTTTGATCCCGAGTTTACCCGAAAAGTCCAGCTTTGCGGAATTCTGCTCACGCGAGGCCCAAAGTATGTTCAAAACTGGTCCTGCGGGGCAGAAATTACGACACGTGTCGATTTCGTGCAAGGTTCTCTATACGGGGCAAACCAAACATAATACCCCTGGGGAAACGGGACACAATTTGGGTAATATATTGCACTGCCTGCGTAAGCAGGCAGTGCAATCGAGTCAGCAAGCTGATCGCGGGCAAAAAAAAAACTAAAACCCTCTCGGATGGGATGCCATCCGAGGGAGCCTCAACCCTAAAATTTTAGGGTTGATGCTCCCGAATGGCATGCCGTAAGCCAAGGGGTTTAATTTTTGCCCGCGGGATACATTTCGGGAGGGATCAACCCTAAACACCGGGCGGGTTCCCGTGTTTAGGGTTGATCCCTCCCGAACAAGTGTCCTGGTTTCCCCAGGGGTATTATTGTTTTTGTGCCCCGTCAAAAATTGTTGGTGTGAAATAGACACGTGTCAATATTTGAGCCCTACAGGACCAGTTTTGAACATAATATGGGCCTCGCGTGAGCCAAATCCCAGAAAGTGGGACCTTTCGAGTAAACCTGGGGGTAAATATGAGAGAAATCTGAACGTAAGGATCTAGGATATAGTTTCCCTAGAATTTTGAATCTGAAAGAATGGAGTTGTCTAGGAGGGAGGTTGGGCAGACCATGCGACGATATTGACGGGTGCGACGTTCGTTGGGCGATGCTTTGGTGTGGGCGACACATCGCAGTGGGCGCGAATGCGAGGTTGGCCTGGTGATGCCTGACGCGCCAGGTGGAAAAGCAGCGACCCGAGCCGCACATCCAGCCTTGAGAAGAGCGAAATTCCAGCTGCCACCAACTCCGTCACAAGTCACACGAGGCTCTCCGAGTCTCGCATCAGCGCCACGTGCCCGTGAATATCAACGCCAGCTCCAATCCAACTGCAACCTGGAATTTGTTTGTACAAAGCATTGCAAAAACACGAATTTACTCTGCTTCAACAAAAAAACCCTCAATTCATAAGCAAAGCACAGCACATCACCTCCATATACAAATAGATACTTCAGGAAGGACATACACCACTTCACCAAGCTCACCCAGTCCAGTCACAAAGTGGATGTACCTTATTTTTTTGGATTCGTCTCCGACAACTTATGATACAGGCTTTGAAGCACGAGATGTGCTCATTTATTCAATAGGATGCAGCTATGCAATATTATAATTTTTAAACACACATGTAGTGTTTTTTTAAATTGTGTATTGTGAAAGCGAAGCTGCTTGTACTGCACAATTGGCATCGTCGAAGCGCGCTAAACGCCCTTCTCCAACTACAAAAACCGTGGGTTGGAACTCATTTCCCTCCACCCACGTTTCTCAATTTTCAAACGGCTCACTCAACATTCCCACCACCCACCCCCGAGTCAACCGCCTTGCTAATGCCACTTGGATAGGGTATATCCTAGCTAGCGTTATTAGTCCGCACTAGCTTGTGTCGAATGATGATACAAATGTTGTAATACGCCATTTGTAATGAGAGCGATGCCAATTGATAAGAAAGAAAGCAAGCTTTCTCAATTGGGGTGGTAAAGAAATGAGCACCTACCATAAAACAAGCACAAAAACATGCTACTGCATACTATACACTAACAAAAAAGGACCTATCAAAACTTCCACATCTTCACAGGAAGAATGTCACTTCTGTAATTTGACCCGTTGATGCTCCGCAATTTGGTAAGCTACCATGGCCCTTACGCGCTGGCGGAATCCAGGGTACGGCTCAAACCCGAACCGTTCCAGAGCCTGCCAGTTAGACACACACAAAGAAGGTAATTAAATATCAAAACAGAAGGACGACCCAGACACTGACAATCAATGCAGGAGATGCTGACCTCAAGGAGTACGAAGAGTGGCGCCATGAGCAATGCCTGTGCCAGATTGTCCACTAGTGCAGGCGCTCTCCTCTGATAACGCAGAGGGAACGGACAGGTGGGAGACGAGGGCTATCAAATTCAAGCTTCACAAAAGAGGCTGCACGCATGTTGCTACATGTGATACAGAGCATGGATTGTTGCAAGCACGACCAAGACCAGGAAATGGTATGGAGGGGGGCATGCACAAACAGACCCAGCGAACATGCAACGCAATGATGAGACAGGTGCACGGGCATGCAGAGGGCGCTGACCTCGAAGACGCCATGGCCCACAAACTGCACGCCCCACGACACCACCTGGGCGATGACCGCCAGCTGATGGCGGCGGGGCGAGGCGAGGCAAAGGGCCAGAGGCGAGGGGAAGGAGAGGGAGGTGGGTGGAGGGACGGGGAGGGAGCCAGGGGAGATTGGCAGGGGAGAGAGGACAGGGGAGAGAGGCAGGGTAATAGAACGGGGAGAGAGAAGAAAGGGGAGGTGATGGAGTGGGTGAGCGGGGAAGTGGCAGACTCCACTTCATGGGACCGTATGTAGGAGAGCAGGAAGGTGAGGCGAAGGCAGCCATGCCGAATGAAATGCTGTGCATACGGTAGATCGTTCACACATTAAGCATGGGAAGGAGAAGTATGGGAAGGCATCTGTGAGGCTGGATTCCGGCATGGTTAAGGAGACGTTGGAGACTTGCTCCTATCCAATTGAGTGATCTCTACATCATCACATTCACCTCCTCATTATGTCTCAGGTTCGGTGAGTGAAGTTCCAAGCTTTCCAGCCCCCCACTTTTGCATTCTATCAGTCCTGCAGTCCCTAACCCGTCCCCGTCAAGTTCCTCACAAACCTTGATAAGTTCCCCCTTAATTTGAGCCTCGTCCTCCTCAACTCCTCTTCCCACAGAACTCCCCCGTCACAACCCTTCCACCCCCCCCCCCCCCTTCCCCCCCTCCCCCCCAAAAAAACCCCCCCGCGCGCACCTTCCACGCGCGCCCGGCGCCAACGGCTCTGATGAAGGCGCGCGACCCCACGAAACACCCTCCCACCATCAGCGCCGCGAGCGACCCCGCGCGCCGCTCCATGGCGATGTAAAACGCCGCGTACACCACGGACGCCAGCGCCGCGCAGTTAAACACCAGCCCGCTGCCCGGAAGCGCGAGGGGAAGCGGAACGGGCACCTGCGGAACGAGCTTAGCTAAGGCGGCGAGGACTGGGTGGCTGAGGGAGATCAAAGGCGGCGTGTATTGGAGGAGGACGAGCGCGGAGAAGAGGATGGGCCACACGAAGACCATGTGTATGGCCTTGTTTACCGGGTCGTCGTGGTAAGAACCGTAGAACGCGTAGTTATTTTCGAGATTGAAGAGTGAGCGGAATGAGGAGATGGCGGATGGGCTTGTAACGGGGATGGAGGCGGATTTTTTGGGGTCCTGGGAGATGGGCACTTGAACGTCGTCCGCGGAGGGATCTCTATCGCCGCCGGTGAGGCTGGCGGAAGCGGAAGCGGGCGTGACGGGGCGGAATGAATGGGCTGCGCGGAAGGAGGCGGAATGGCAGGCAGGACCGAGAGAAAAGAAAGGAAAATCTGCAATTCGCAAGAAGCGGGATATCCACTACTCGCCGACGTTGCAAGGAAACATTGACAGGAAAATTAACGAGAAAAAAACTCGAATATGCATGCGCGTATGAGTTCTAAGATACGCGACAGCGAATCGACAGTCTCGCGTTACAAAGTGAGAGCAGGGAGCGCGCGGACCTTGCGGACGGGTGTAGGGAGACGGAAATATCTTGGCGAGAACGAAGCTTCGCACGGCCGCGTAGTTCCTGGCAGGCGAGCCGGCCTGGCAAGCCCAGGAGTGCGACGCAGCCGCGCCTTCCTTTAACGCGTCTGCTCTCAACGCGCCGGCAGCTCTGCAAGTACAGACGAACGACGGCACCGCAGTTGACGCCATTCTTGCACGCAGACGCGGGGCTCGCGACGAGAGCTCGTGGTGGGAGGGAGCGACGCAGGTGAGTGCGCAGCCCGAAGGGTGGCCTAGTAGCGCCCACGGAGAGCGAGCAGCGAGGAGCGAGCGAGGAGGCAGCAACGCCGACCTTCGACAGAGCCTCCGTAGTGATTCCGTCCAGCAAAAGGCCAGCCTATCTCTTTTGTTGGTGGATTACCGTATATGATTAGCGACCAGCTAGGTGCGGAGGGGCATCACGGTGAAGGCTGCTCACGTCAGTCGCGCATGAGTCGATGTGGATGTAGCATCAAGTTGGTGTGCATGCAGCGAGCTGTGACCATGTGAGTGTGTTGGAGGGAGAGGCGGAGACCAGCTCCACCCAATTCTCTTCCTCCCTGTGCGTAGGTGGGCGTGGTCTTGCGACGCGATGTGGGGTTGGGCCTCTTCGTCCGCCTCTTGGTCTACCGCCCTCGATGATGGCTGTGGGCGCAGGGGGCTCGGGTGGGGAACCAGAGAGAGATTAGCAGCTGGCATGCGGAGCAGAGAGGAGGGGGCAAATTGCTGTACACGTTTGCGAGTGCGTGCGAAACAATTCTCGTCGCACGCGGTTGAAAGCGCTTCGCTGTGATTGGGCAAATGTTGTCAAACGACTTTTCCACGACCAGCCTGGGGAAGGCAAAGGCGGCCGAGCGAGAGGGGGACGAGATCCTTTTGCGTCAGCATTATCCTTTCGCAAAAGCATCCGGGCCTCACCCCTGTGTCTTCCAGTACAAATACGGCGCATTTCTTCCATGTGGTCATTTATAATTAATTTTCATTCTTTCTAGCCTGTACAGTCACAACCCCCTTACAAACGCACAAACCACCTGAACCTCTCTCTGACACGTGTCCATCAATAGCATCACCACCATGTAACCCCAATCGGTTACTTTCCGCCAATCTCTCGCCACACACACCTCCACCTATCTGCTCCGTCGCTGTTACACTACACCCCACCTGCCCTGCGATTTCCGCAGTCTCCCCTGATTTCTCACACAGGAGCAGCAGGTGCCCACCTCATCAAACTGTGAGCGGGGTTGGGGTTGTAACCCTCTTATCGCCCTTCCCCTGCCTCGTGTGCGCATAACACTTTCTCCTGTTATGCGTGCTTGTGTTACAAACCCTCGCCCACCTCTCCAAGCCAAGCTGCTTATCTTGTCCCATGTCATCGCGCCGCCTTTCCGAACAATTTCCGCTCAAATTTCATAGACTGGCATTTTGACGCGCCGTTTTGCATCAAGCTCGCAGCTGTATTTGTCACCGAGACGTTCACGCACTCTTTCTTCGTGGTCGTCTGGTTCTTGTGGCCTAGAAACTTGAGGACAGCATAATTTCTTTCTTTCGTTCACCATGGCAGCACAGCACGCACTGTCAACGCAAGACCCGCTTACCGTCACAGGCGCACCAGCAGTAACAGCAGCTCCACCCTTCGAAGCTGTAGCCCTCGCGACGAATGCTGCAACGTTAGAAGTCACGTCTGCACCAGATACTCCCGCATTAACAGTTCCCTCGTTCGGTGAAGCCGGAGCGCGAGCGGGCGAGGGTGGCGCAGAGCTTGCGATTTTCACAACGGGAGATGCGGAAGCAGATGGAGCGGGAAACGACGCGAGCGGCGAGCATCCTTCCATGTCGCAACCCTCATTGGAGCACCCGTATGCGGAATTCGCCGCTAATGGCTCCTTCCCTCCCCACGCGCACGCGTCGACCGCGCCAACGCGGCTCGTGAACATGCCGTCGTACGTCAACTTCATCCGATCGGATCTCGCGCCGCGGCCGGACACGCAGCGCGCGCCGGTGATTCGCGTGCATCCGACGGTGTTCGAGGCGCTGCACGCGCTGCGCGAGGGCCTGCAGCTGTGCCGGCCCGCGAACCGCGTGAGCATCAGCGACGTGATCGACCACTTCCTGTGCTGCTCCGCCGAGGAGGTCGACCGGCTGCTCGAGCGCCGCGTCAAACACCGCCGCCAGATGCTGGCCCTGGTCCAGCAGCAGCAGCAGGGGCAGGGGCAGGGGCAGGGGGGACAGCAGCAGCAGGGACAGGGACAGGGCGAGGAGCAAGGGCAGGGACAGGGGCTGGGGCAGGGGCAGGATGGCCAGCAAATGGATGGCGGACACGTGGCAGTGCAGCGGGAACAGGCGGGGCAGGGTGGGGAGGGCGAGGCATTCTCGGGTGGGAGTGTTGGTGCTGGTTACCCGTACTCGTACTCGGCGCTCATTCCCCCCATGGTGCAACCCGAGCAGCAGAGGCGCAAGCGGCGGCGGCGGCACGTGCAGCCCCCCACGACTCAGAGGAAGTTGCTGCAGCTGCTGCAGCAGCAGGAGCAATTCCACCCCGCGCCTGGCACCCCACAGCAGCCCCTGGCGTTCCTACAGCAGGCGCAGGAGCAGCAGCAGCTGGCCCAGCAGCAGGACCAGCAACAGCAGCAGCAGCAACCCCAGCAACAATTGCAGCAGCAGCATCAAGAGCCACAGCAACAGCAGATGCAAGGGGATCAGCAGCAGCAGCAACAGCAGCAGCAACAGCAGCAGCAGCAGGGTGCGGGTCACAGGGCATTGCAGTGGGGCTCTGGACCCATACCCAACTACGCGTCTCAGTAGCAAAGCAACCCCATGCCAAATCCAAATCTTTTCTCTCAAAGAGCAACCACTGGTCGCTGATGCACTGCTAGTATCCTGCTATGCAATGTAGCTTATCCAGCCCTCTTGTATTGTCATTTTTTCCTGAAACTGACAAGACTTGAGGGCCTGAAACACTAAGCTCAATATCAACAAGACTTGCAAAACACGTGCACATTTACAACAAACACCACCAAAAGAACAGGGCTGCTTCGTTCTCACTGCCGTGCTGTGCTAAGCCAGGCAGCGATGCACCTGCCAGCTAGCTGCGATCACCGGTTAGCTGAGGTTAGCTTGGGTTAGCTGGGGTTCATAACTTAGCACCGTAACTGGAGCCACGGATCGGAAAGAAAGTGGCACCTTCCTTGACCAACACTGCCTCTGCATCCATCTCACTGGGCAAGCTTCTGGTTCTTGCTGCCTTATGGTCAGACTTTCCCTTGGAGCCCAGCGCACTCCTGATTGCTCCACTCGAGCACACGTCTTCCGACCCTGCACTCCCTCGCTCCACACTCTTCACCAAAACTCCACACTCCCCACACAGCGCACTCTCGCCCGCATCACATCTCATCGTCGCTTTGCCACGCGTCCCTCTTCTGCCACCTCTTTCCCGACCCACCTCCACTTCTTGATCCCTTTCCGCTTCCCCCTCCCCCACTTGCGCCCCCTGCACCCCCTCTCCCACTTGCACCTTGTGCAACCAATGGCTGCCTGCCAGGTGGAAGCGGTAGAGCTGTCTGAACGTCCTCGTCATCATCATCGTCATCATAATCATCATCATCACAACACCACCACCACCACCATCATTATCACCACTATCATCATTTCCATCCCATCATCCTCGTCGTCATACTCATCATCATCCTCCTCTCCCTCATCCTCCTCATCCTCATCTGTCTCTTCCCCTCGTCCCTTCCCTTTCTCATACTCCCCCCCTCCTTTCCCCATCAACCTCCCTTCTTCCATCGACTCAAACTCCTCATCCTCCTCCTCATCCTCCTCCTCCTCATCCACCCCTCCTGCCCGCCCTCCCCGCAGGGACATCTCCTCAGAAACGTCATACACCTGCTGCTGCTGACCTGGCGAGCACCCCCCAAACGACGACCCCTTCGACCCTCGGGAACCTTTCGATCCTCCCGAGCCTGGCAGCAAGCTTCGGGTGCGCTTGGGGTCCACCGAGGCTGATAACGAGCCAGGCGGAGGGTCGGGCTCCGTGAGGCGCGGCTCGGAGATGGCGAACTCAGCTTCGGCAGCCTTGGCACGGAAGTTGGTTCGGGAAGGGGGGATTTCGGAGCAGAGGGCTTCACCTACGTTGTTGAAGCAGCCGCGGCTGTACGGGTTGGGCTTCTTGTCGTAGCGCCACCGGAAGTTCTCGTACGTCGTCTGGTGTTGATGTCCCAGGGGAAGGGGGGGCGGGGGCACAGGGAAGGGAGGGGAAGGGCAAGAGGGAGCGGGGTTTGGGCTTCTTGTCGTAGCGTCACCGGAAGTTCCCAGGGCGTTATCCCAGGGGAAGGGGGGAGGAGAGGGGAGGAGGGGAGGGGAGGGGATGGGAGGGGCGGGGATGGGCGAGAGGGGGACGGGATGGATAGGCAAGAGAAGCACAGAAAGGAGGAAGGGAAGGGCATGGGATTGAGATGGAGTGTGTGCAGGGAGGGAAATGCAAGTGGCACTGGTGGGGTGGGGGCAAGTAAGGAGCTGGTATATGTGCCCAGCTAACCCACCTGGTTGCGGCACATGAGGTAGATGTGAAAGCCGGACAGGCCCCCCACGAACCAGACGGCGAGGAAGGTGAACCCCATGAGCACCACGGCCACGGGCGCCTGCCCCATGGCCTGCCACACCGTGCGCGTGCCGGCTGCGGGGTCGTGTGCGTTGAACATGAGCTGGTTGATGAGGTAGGCCGAGAAGGCAAACACATAGATGCAAAGCGCTGTTGTGGATAGGATGAAGGTGAAGAAGAAGCGGTAGTTGCGCTGTTGACGGGGAGAAGGGGGGGGAAGGGAGAAGGGGGGGGAAAGGGGGAAGGGGAGAGGGGGTGTTGGGAAGTGAAGAGAATAGATCGAGTGGGGGGAAGGGAAGCAGGGAAGGGTGAAATGTACAAAAAGGAAGAAGATGGGAAGGCAGAGCGGAGGGACAATGCAGAAGTGGAGCGGGACTTGTTACAACAACTACACGCCCCCCCCACACTCAACTCACTCTTCCCTCACCCGGCCAATGCACTCAACTCACCCGGCCAATGCACTCAACTCACCCGGCCGATGCACTGGCCCACCCAGGGGCAGTGGTGGTCGAATCGATCAATACAGTTGTCGCAGATGCTGCAGTGCGAGCAGCGCGGCGGGCGGTAGAGCAGGCAGGAGTCGCACCACTTGACCTTCACCGCCACGCCGTTCACCACCACCTCACGGCTGCGCGGCACCTTCCCCGCGGGGGCTGTGGGGTTGCGCGGCACGATGCCTGGATCGCGACACGCCGTGAAGAGCAGAATGTACAGGTCCTGGTGAGGGGGAGGGGGGAGGGGAGGGGGAAAGAGGGAGGGAAGTGGGGAGCGGAGAGGACTTGAAGTGCGCCAGAAGGCGGGATAAGGCCGGGCAATGGACCGGTGATGGTGCCGGTGGCGTTGGCCTGCGCCACAATGGACGGCAGTCGGGTTGCGCGGCACGATGCCCGGGTCGAGGCACGCCGTGAAGAGCAGAATGTACAGGTCCTGGTGAGGGGGAGGGGGGAGGGGGAAAGAGGGAGGGAAGTGGGGAGGGGAGAGGACTTGAAATGCGCCAGAAGGCGGGATAAGGAGTGGACGGCAGTGGGGTTGCGCGGCACGATGCCCGGGTCGCGGCAGGCTGTGAAGAGCAGAATGTACAGGTCCTGGTGTGGGGGAGGGGGGGAGGGGGTGGGGATGAGAAGAGGGAAGGAGGGGGAAGGAGAGAGGATTTGAGCGTGACTGCTAGCGACGCAGCTGAGCGTGCTGATGCTGATGCTGATGCTGATGCTGATGCTGATGCTGATGCTGATGCGCTGATGCTGATGCTGATGCTGATGCTGATGCTGATGCTGATGCTGATGCTGATGCTGATGATGATGCTGATGCGCTGATGCTGATGATGATGCTGATGCTGATGCGCTGATGCTGATGCTGATGCTGATGCTGATGCTGATGCTGATGCTGATGCTGATGCTGATGCGCTGATGCGCTGATGCTGATGCTGATGCTGATGCTGATGCTGATGCTGATGCTGATGCTGATGCTGATGCTCTGATGCTGATGCTGATGCTGATGCTGATGCTGATGCTGATGCTGATGCTGATGCTGATGCTGATGCGCTGATGCTGATGATGATGCTGATGCTGATGCTGATGCTCTGATGCTGATGCTGATGCTGATGCTGATGCTGATGCTGATGCTGATGCTGATGCTGATGCTGATGCTGATGCGCTGATGCTGATGATGATGCTGATGCTGATGCTGATGCGCTGATGCTGATGCTGATGCTGATGCTGATGCTGATGCGCTGATGCTGATGATGATGCTGATGCTGATGCTGATGCTGATGCTGATGCTGATGCGCTGATGCTGATGCTGATGCTGATGCTGATGCTGATGCGCTGATGCTGATGCGCTGATGCTGATGCTGATGCTGATGCTGATGCTGATGCGCTGATGCTGATGCTGATGCTGATGCTGATGCTGATGCTGATGCTGATGCTGATGCTGATGCGCTGATGCTGATGATGATGCTGATGCGCTGATGCTGATGCTGATGCTGATGCGCTGATGCTGATGCTGATGCTGATGCTGATGCTGATGCTGATGCTGATGCTGATGCGCTGATGCTGATGCGCTGATGTTGATGCTGATGCTGATGCTGATGCTGATGCGCTGATGCTGATGCTGATGCTGATGCTGATGCTGATGCGCTGATGCTGATGATGATGCTGATGCGCTGATGCTGATGCTGATGCTGATGCGCTGATGCTGATGCTGATGCTGATGCTGATGCTGATGCTGATGCTGATGCTGATGCTGATGCGCTGATGCTGATGATGATGCTGATGCGCTGATGCTGATGCTGATGCGCTGATGCTGATGCTGATGCTGATGCTGATGCTGATGCTGATGCTGATGCGCTGATGCTGATGCGCTGATGCTGATGCGCTGATGCTGATGCTGATGCGCTGATGCTGATGCTGATGCTGATGCTGATGCTGATGCTGATGCTGATGCTGATGCTGATGCGCTGATGCTGATGATGATGCTGATGCGCTGATGCTGATGCTGATGCTGATGCGCTGATGCTGATGCTGATGCTGATGCTGATGCTGATGCTGATGCGCTGATGCTGATGCGCTGATGCTGATGCTGATGCTGATGCTGATGCTGATGCTGATGCTGATGCGCTGATGCTGATGCTGATGCTGATGCTGATGCTGATGCGCTGATGCTGATGCTGATGCTGATGCTGATGCTGATGCTGATGCTGATGCTGATGCTGATGCTGATGCGCTGATGCTGATGATGATGCTGATGCGCTGATGCTGATGCTGATGCTGATGCGCTGATGCTGATGCTGATGCTGATGCTGATGCTGATGCTGATGCGCTGATGCTGATGATGATGCTGATGCGCTGATGCTGATGCTGATGCTGATGCGCTGATGCTGATGCTGATGCTGATGCTGATGCTGATGCTGATGCGCTGATGCTGATGCGCTGATGCTGATGCTGATGCTGATGCTGATGCTGATGCGCTGATGCTGATGCGCTGATGCTGATGCTGATGCTGATGCGGATGCTGATGCTGATGCTGATGCGCTGATGCTGATGCTGATGCTGATGCTGATGCTGATGCGCTGATGCTGATGCTGATGCTGATGCTGATGCTGATGCTGATGCTGATGCTGATGCTGATGCTGATGATGATGCTGATGCGCTGATGCTGATGATGATGCTGATGCTGATGCGCTGATGCTGATGCTGATGCTGATGCTGATGCTGATGCTGATGCGCTGATGCTGATGCTGATGCTGATGCTGATGCTGATGCTGATGCGCTGATGCTGATGCTGATGCTGATGCTGATGCGCTGATGCTGATGCGCTGATGCTGATGCTGATGCTGATGCGCTGATGCTGATGCTGATGCTGATGCTGATGCTGATGCGCTGATGCTGATGCTGATGCTGATGCTGATGCTGATGCGCTGATGCTGATGCTGATGCTGATGCTGAAGCTGATGCGCTGATGCGCTGATGCGCTGATGCTGATGCGCTGATGCTGATGCTGATGCGCTGATGCTGATGCTGGTGCGCTGATGCTGATGCTGATGCGCTGATGCTGATGCTGATGCGCTGATGCTGATGCTGATGCGCTGATGCTGATGATGATGCTGATGCGCTGATGCTGATGCTGATGCGCTGATGCTGATGCTAATGCGCTGATGCTGATGCTGATGCTGATGCTGAGCGTGCTAGCGACGCAGCAGAGCGTGCTAGCGACGCAGCTGAGCGTGCTAGCGACGCAGCTGAGCGTGCTAGCGACGCATCAGAGCGTGCTAGCGATGCAGCTGAGGGTGCTAGCGACGCAGCTGAGGGTGCTAGCGACGCAGCAGAGCGTGCTAGCGACGCAGCAGAGCGTGCTAGCGACGCAGCTTAGCGTGCTAGCGACGCAGCGGAGCGTGCTAGCGAGGCAGCGGAGCGTGCTAGCGACGCAGCAGAGCGTGCTAGCGACGCAGCAGAGCGTGCTAGCGACGCAGCAGAGCGTGCTAGCGACGCAGCAGAGCGTGCTAGCGACGCAGCAGAGCGTGCTAGCGACGCAGCAGAGCGTGCTAGCGACGCAGCTGAGCGTGCTAGCGACGCAGCAGAGCGTGCTAGCGACGCAGCAGAGCGTGCTAGCGACGCAGCAGAGCGTGCTAGCGACGCAGCAGAGCGTGCTAGCGACGCAGCAGAGCGTGCTAGCGACGCAGCAGAGCGTGCTAGCGACGCAGCAGAGCGTGCTAGCGACGCAGCAGAGCGTGCTAGCGACGCAGCAGAGGGTGCTAGGGACGCAGCAGAGCGTGCTAGCGACGCAGCAGAGCGTGCTAGCGACGCAGCAGAGCGTGCTAGCGACGCAGCTGAGCGTGCTAGCGACGCAGCTGAGCGTGCTAGCGACGCAGCTGAGCGTGCTAGCGACGCAGCTGAGCGTGCTAGCGACGCAGCAGAGCGTGCTAGCGACGCAGCTGAGCGTGCTAGCGACGCAGCAGAGCGTGCTAGCGACGCAGCAGAGCGTGTTAGCGACGCAGGTTAGGGTGCTAGCGACGCAGCTGAGCGTGCTAGCGACGCAGCAGAGCGTGCTAGCGACGCAGCTGAGCGTGCTAGCGACGCAGCTGAGCGTGCTAGCGACGCAGGTGAGGGTGCTAGCGACGCAGCTGAGCGTGCTAGCGACGCAGCTGAGGGTGCTAGCGACGCAGCAGTGCGTGCTAGGGACGCAGCTGAGCGTGTTAGCGACGCAGCTGAGCGTGCTAGCGACGCAGCAAAGCGTGCTAGCGACGCAGCTGAGCGTGCTAGCGACGCAGCTGAGCGTGCTAGCGACGCAGGTGAGGGTGCTAGCGACGCAGCTGAGCGTGCTAGCGACGCAGCTGAGGGTGCTAGCGACGCAGCAGAGCGTGCTAGGGACGCAGCTGAGCGTGTTAGCGACGCAGCTGAGCGTGCTAGCGAGCAGACGCTAGCAAAGCGTGCTAGCGACGCAGCTGAGCGTGCTAGCGACGCAGCTGAGCGTGCTAGCGACGCAGCTGAGGGTGCTAGCGACGCAGCTGAGGGTGCTAGCGACGCAGCTGAGGGTGCTGCGACGCAGCAGAGCGTGCTAGCGACGCAGCTGAGCGTGCTAGCGACGCAGCTGAGCGTGCTAGCGACGCAGCTGAGCGTGCTAGCGACGCAGCTGAGCGTGCTAGCGACGCAGCTGAGCGTGCTAGCGACGCAGCTGAGGCGTGCTAGCGACGCAGCTGAGCGTGCTAGCGACGCAGCAGAGCGTGCTAGCGACGCAGCAGAGCGTGCTAGCGACGCAGCAGAGCGTGCTAGCGACGCAGCTGAGCGTGCTAGCGACGCAGCTGAGCGTGCTAGCGGACGCAGCTGAGCGTGCTAGCGGCGCAGCTGAGCGTGCTAGCGGCACAGCTGAGCGTGCTAGCGACGCAGCTGAGGCGTGCTAGCGACGCAGCTGAGGGTGCTAGCGACGCAGCTGAGGTGCTAGCGACGCAGCAGAGCGTGCTAGCGACGCAGCTGAGCGTGCTAGCGACGCAGCTGAGCGTGCTAGCGACGCAGCTGAGCGTGCTAGCGGATGCAGAGAGCGTGCTAGCGCGCAGATGAGCGTGCTAGCGACGCAGCTGAGCGTGCTAGCGAGGCAGCTGAGCGTGCTAGCGACGCAGCTGAGCGTGCTAGCGACGCAGCTGAGCGTGCTAGCGACGCAGCTGAGCGTGCTAGCGACGCAGCTGAGCGTGCTAGCGACGCAGCTGAGGTGCTAGCGACGCAGCTGAGGGTGCTAGCGACGCAGCTGAGAGGTGCTAGCGACGCAGCAGAGCGTGCTAGCGACGCGGCAGAGCGTGCTAGCGACGCGGCAGAGCGTGCTAGCGACGCAGCTGAGGCGTGCTAGCGACGCAGCAGAGGTGCTAGTGACGCAGCAGAGCGTGCTAGCGACGCAGCAGAGGCGTGCTAGCGACGCAGCAGAGGTGCTAGCGACGCAGCAGAGCGTGCTAGCGACGCAGCAGAGCGTGCTAGCGACGCAGCAGGCGTGCTAGCGACGCAGAGAGGTGCTAGCGACGCAGCAGAGCGTGCTAGTGACGCAGCAGAGCGTGCTAGCGACGCAGCTGAGCGTGCTAGCGACGCAGCTGAGCGTGCTAGCGACGCAGCTGAGCGTGCTAGCGACGCAGCTGAGCGTGCTAGCGACGCAGCAGAGCGTGCTAGCGACGCAGGTGCAGAGCGTGCTAGCGACGCAGTGAGGTGCTAGCGACGCAGCTGAGCGTGCTAGCGACGCAGCAGAGGTGCTAGCGACGCAGCTGAGGTGCTAGCGACGCAGCTGAGCGTGCTAGCGACGCAGCAGAGCGTGCTAGCGACGCGGCAGAGCGTGCTAGCGACGCAGCTGAGCGTGCTAGCGACGCAGCAGAGCGTGCTAGCGGCGCAGCAGAGCGTGCTAGCGACGCAGCAGAGCGTGCTAGCGACGCAGCAGAGCGTGCTAGCGACGCGGCTGAGCGTGCTAGCGACGCAGCTGAGCGTGCTAGCGACGCAGCTGAGGGTGCTAGCGACGCAGCAGAGCGTGCTAGCGACGCAGCAGAGCGTGCTAGCGACGCAGCAGAGCGTGCTAGCGACGCAGCAGAGCGTGCTAGCGACGCAGCAGAGCGTGCTAGCGACGCAGCAGAGCGTGCTAGCGACGCAGCTGAGCGTGCTAGCGACGCAGCAGAGCGTGCTAGCGACGCAGCAGAGCGTGCTAGCGACGCAGGTGAGGGTGCTAGCGACGCAGCTGAGCGTGCTAGCGACGCAGCAGAGCGTGCTAGCGACGCAGCAGAGCGTGCTAGCGACGCAGCTGAGCGTGCTAGCAACGCAGCAGAGCGTGCTAGCGACGCAGCAGAGCGTGCTAGCGACGCAGCAGAGCGTGCTAGCGACGCAGGTGAGGGTGCTAGCGACGCAGCTGAGCGTGCTAGCGACGCAGCTGAGGGTGCTAGCGACGCAGCAGAGCGTGCTAGGGCGCAGCTGAGCGTGCTAGCGACGCAGCTGAGCGTGCTAGCAACGCAGCTGAGGGTGCTAGCGACGCAGCTGAGCGTGCTAGCGACGCAGCTGAGCGTGCTAGCGACGCAGCAAAGCGTGCTAGCGACGCAGCTGAGCGTGCTAGCGACGCAGCAGAGCGTGCTAGCGACGCAGCTGAGGGTGCTAGCGACGCAGCTGAGCGTGCTAGCGACGCAGCTGAGGGTGCTAGCGACGCAGCTGAGCGTGCTAGCGACGCAGCAGAGCGTGCTAGCGACGCAGCTGAGCGTGCTAGCGACGCAGCAGAGCGTGCTAGCGGCGCAGCTGAGCGTGCTAGCGACGCAGCTGAGCGTGCTAGCGACGCAGCTGAGCGTGCTAGCGACGCAGCTGAGCGTGCTAGCGACGCAGCTGAGCGTGCTAGCGACGCAGCTGAGCGTGCTAGCGACGCAGCAGAGCGTGCTAGCGACGCAGCTGAGGGTGCTAGCGACGCAGCAGAGCGTGCTAGCGACGCAGCAGAGCGTGCTAGCGACGCAGCAGAGCGTGCTAGCGACGCAGCAGAGCGTGCTAGCGACGCAGCAGAGCGTGCTAGCGGCGCAGCAGAGCGTGCTAGCGGCGCAGCTGAGCGTGCTAGCGGCGCAGCTGAGCGTGCTAGCGACGCAGCTGAGCGTGCTAGCAACGCAGCTGAGGGTGCTAGCGACGCAGCAGAGCGTGCTAGCGACGCAGCTGAGCGTGCTAGAGACACAGCTGAGCGTGCTAGCGACGCAGCTGAGCGTGCTAGCGACGCAGCTGAGGGTGCTAGCGACGCAGCAGAGCGTGCTAGCGACGCAGCAGAGCGTGCTAGCGACGCAGCAGAGCGTGCTAGCGACGCAGCTGAGCGTGCTAGCGACGCAGCTGAGCGTGCTAGCGACGCACCTGAGCGTGCTAGCGACGCAGCAGAGCGTGCTAGCGACGCAGCAGAGCGTGCTAGCGACGCAGCAGAGCGTGCTAGCGACGCAGCAGAGCGTGCTAGCGACGCAGCTGAGCGTGCTAGCGACGCAGCTGAGCGTGCTAGCGACGCAGCTGAGCGTGCTAGCGACGCAGCTGAGCGTGCTAGCGACGCAGCTGAGCGTGCTAGCGACACAGCTGAGCGTGCTAGCGACGCAGCTGAGCGTGCTAGCGACGCAGCTGAGCGTGCTAGCGACGCAGCAGAGCGTGCTAGCGACGCAGCTGAGCGTGCTAGCGACGCAGCTGAGCGTGCTAGCGACGCAGCTGAGCGTGCTAGCGACGCAGCTGAGGGTGCTAGCGACGCAGCTGAGCGTGCTAGCGACGAAGCTGAGGGTGCTAGCGACGCAGCTGAGGGTGCTAGCGACGCAGCTGAGGGTGCTAGCGACGCAGCTGAGGGTGCTAGCGACGCAGCAGAGCGGCTAGCGACGCAGCAGAGCGTGCTAGCGACGCAGCTGAGGACGGAAGGAAGGAATGACGCATGGGATGAGCGATGCACCCATGATAAAAGCGACGCCTATAGCACGTCGCCTGCGACGCATATAGCCTCGTGAGAGACGCATATAGCCTCGTGAGAGACGCGACGCGACGCACCCATGTGATGAGCGAGATGGCGGCGGGCAGGACGGCGATGCCGCCCCACATCTTGTCGATGAGCTGGTACGCGACGAAGACGCAGAAGAGCGCGCCGGGGATGGTGATGAGGCACACGGACACCAACAGCGAGCGCACGTCCGGCCCGAACACGCACAGCCCCCACAAGCAGAACTTCTGGTGGTGTTGACAGGTGGGGATGGTGTGAGGGAAGGAGGGACGCGCGCGGAGGCATGGACGAGAGTGAAGAGAGTGAAAGGGATGTGGAGAGATAGAGGGGGTTGTCAAGGGACAGACGAGAGGGTGCGGCCATCGAAGGCGGTCGGTTTCGAATTAATGAAATCATGCTAGTGAAGTTATGTGAGATGGAATGAAGTCGAGCTAATGTTCGAGATCGGAAAAAAGGGATGAAGTAGAGGGGCGGATAGAAGTGCGAGACGGCTCACATTGTCGCCTTTCCATTTCTGATACACCCGAGCCATGTGGAACCGCCGCGACGTCGGTAGGTGATACTAAACGCGATACGGTCACTCATGGCGCATCAGGTAAAACCGTCTAAATCTAAGAGAGGGCATATGGAGTCCTTGAAGGCGTCGAGAGGGCGGCATGAACGACCAATTGTGATAAAAGCTCTGTCAATTTTTTTGTTCACTCAACGCAAAACGGATAAGGGAAGCGACAACCATTGGTTCAGCGTCAAATTGTCGAAGGGAGAGTGGTCAGTCAGTCTGAAATACAGTGACGGGTTAACAGCTGTGTGCTATTCGAGATGATCGCACATAAGTTGACTGATAGTTAGCTGTAGGCGGAGGGTAGTTGGCGGTCGATCGGGCTATTGGCAGGGACGAAAAGTCTATGTTAGAAGCCTAGCGCAACTGCCTGGCCACCACTAAGAACACGTTCTACGGGAGTAAACGCATAGTGAGAAGCACCGAGCACCGCAAAGGAGGACGCGCAAAACAAAGCCCGAGGTCAGTCCCTAGGAATTGCGCTCAAGAAAAACACAGACATAGAGGTTGGAAATACGACCTCTTTCTATCACACGGAAAAACTCCGAACCGATCTGTTCCACACCGAAGTTCCAGTTTTACGGCGTCCCACCTGCCCTACCGAGCCAGTTACTCTGAGGCACGCTGCCATGCCAGTGAAGTCACCTGGTTACACCAGACCACAGACGACGGCGTCAAACCTAAAACGAGCCAATGAAGCTGCCTCGACAAAACAGTTGATGGGAGCACGACATTGACAAGGGAAAGTTTTGCGGGGCTGACGAAGGGGAGCACAGGCTTGGTAGCTTGGTCTGTCGGAGCCAGAGCAGGTTTGGACGCGCAAACCTGAACACCGTTTGAACTGCCCAAAAAACTCCTTTACTGTCGTTCTGCTTGATAGGGACTCGTGTTCGTGCGAAAGTCACACTAAGAACGATGCTTTGCTTGCTCTGGAAACTCCGTAATCGGGTTAGGTAAGTTGAAGTCTCAGATGAAGGAATGCTTTTCCATAAGCGGGTGTGAAGTACTTGCTTCCCAAAGACGTTTCTTTATGCAGGAGGAATCCTTCCCAAAAGCTACCACCACCCAAACAGAACAGCGGGAGTTCCCTGAAGCGGCTCAAATCTCCTGACAGCATTTGCTGAGGGACTCGCTTTTCGTTTCTGCCTTCTAGGCTGAAGCTAGGGTTTCGTGGTCTCTGGGACTTGATCTCAGCTCCTTGCCAGTGCGTGTCGCCCAACCTCATCGCTTAGGCGGCGAGAAAGCGGCTTTCGAATCTCTAGTTTTAGCAATTAGCGGCTCGACCGCTGGTGGCCCCAATTTCAACGAATCAGATGGCGTTTCTTCCCCTTTTTTGTTCCCAACGGTTCTGGCTCACTTTGACGCCAGTGACGCTCGTTCTTTGGTTTCCGATTATCCGCAACAATTCAGATCCGTTGATCTACTTTTGCGGTTCGGTTCTTGCCCCATTCTCTCGCCAGCCAGCGTCAACCATCCCTCCCTACGTTCGCCCGTCACCTTCCCATTTCCCAACCGTCGCGCCTCATTCGCACCTCTGCATTTTCGCCCCTCGTCCTCGTTCACTCTCCCATTTTCCAAATTTTAGCCGTGATCCAACATTCGGACTCCATATTCCGTTATTCAGTCACCACATTCAGGCTTCGGTCCGTCCAGTATCAGAATAACTTCGGAACACCTGGGAACAGCTTGGAGCACTTTGGAGCACCGCTGCTGCTTCTTTCAACGAGACGCGAACGCGAGGAGTCTTATTGCTGCCGAGCCAAATGTTCCGACGCAGCGAAAGCTCGTGAGAAGAACAACATCGCAGCGACTCCAAGTGTAAATAGTAAGTGTCCCTGTTCTATTTCGTTTCCAGAAGTAATCGAGTTTCTACTTCACGTTATTGAGTACTTATCTGACTCTTCGTTTGATCATGTGCAGATTTGGGTAGAACACGAAGAACGACTGAGATCGACATTGGCTCTGACGAGTGAAGATTTGCAAAGAACTGAATTACTGGATCTTCACCAGCGAGCTTTCAAAGGTAAGAGGCGGGATCTCCCCGTTCGATTTGCGTTTCGTTTTGTTTCTGCTCTATGGACGCTCGCTAATGCAGTTTCTTCCATGTCGTCGCGTGCAGGTTCTACTGACATTCGCGCATCAGAAGCCAAGATCGGCGCCGAATCGATATCCTTCGTCTTGCAATCAACGCGCGTGTGCTTCGAGTCAAGCGCGTCGGCGTTAGATCAACGCGCGTCTCTCCGCTTTCGCTCAACACGCCCGCTGCCGCCTCCATTCAACGCCTTCTGCGACGAGTCGACTCTTTTACTGTTGACTCGAGTCAACGCGCTGCAACTTTCAGCGAGATAAGTATCCTTATCCCCTTTCTTTCCGTCGCTTATGATTTCGTATCTTTTTTGTTTTTTTTTGCTATAGCTGCCTGTAGCACACCTGAGTCCCGCCCTTTTCTTTTAAGGTTCAGACTACAAGGTATCCCCCTTGGTAGGTGCAAAATTTTCTACCCCTGGTATGGTACGGTACGGTAAAGGTCCCGTTTCCCCTTGGGTGTGCTGCAGCAGCTGTATCTTCCCTCCCGAATTCGCTACACGAAGACCCGTTTCTTACTTGTGACTGGACCGCGCACCTCGTACATGTTTCATCAACCCCCCCTCCCTCCTCCCTGTCCATCAGGTCACCTGCTGCCCGCAAGGACCTTCGCTGCAAACAATCGCGTTTGAGGCGCGTCAAGGAGAGCGGGTGTGGGTACGCGCGGGTCGGAGGCAGCAGCGGGTCGTCGTGGGCTGCACGGCGCGTCTCACACCACAGCGCGGACTAACAGATGAGTATCGGTCGACTGTTTCTGCTTGCCGTTTCGCATGCTGTGCGTTTCACTGCCTCGCTTCTCTAGCTGCCTGTAGCACACCCAAGTCCCTCCCCCCTCTTTGTTTTTGGTTAAGGTTCGGACTGTAACCCCTGGTACGGTAAGGTCAAGGTCAGGTATTCCCCTTGGTAGGTGCAAAACTTGTAACCCCTGGTACGGTAAGGTAAAGGTCCCCCACTCCGCTTGGGTGTTCTGCTGCAGCTATACCTTCCTCTTCTGTTCGGTTCTGGGCTAAACTGGATGTCACTCGAAGGAAGTCTTGCCGCTTGCTCTTTATTCTAGTCCCTCCTCCCCTCCCCCCCCCTACCCTCCGCCACCCCCTTTCCCCTCGCTGACTCTCAGTGCTCTGCGCGCGTCAACGACCATTGCTTCGCCTGGCGAACGTGGAGCGCGGAGGCATCAGCGGAGGCAGCAGCGGGACTTCATGGGCTCCCTCGAATTGATACTTTCAAGAAACAGATGAGTGTCGTTTCACCACTCACCCCGCCTTCGCCTTTGTCCGTTCCGCCCACTTGTCATTTCGATAGCTTCCTCATTTGCTGCCGCTTCGTTTTAGCTGTCTGTAGCACACCCAAGTCCATCCCTCGCTTCTTTAAGGTTCAGGTTATGAGGTAAGTAACCCCCTTGGTAGGTCAAAACTTGTCTCCCCTGGTTCCCAGGTACGGTAAGGTGAAGGTCCCCCGCTCCCCTTGGGTGTGCTACGGAAGCTATGCCTCCCTTCTTCTATCCGCATCTGGACGCGACTGAATATGGCTCGACGGCGCTCCTGTCGCTGGCTCTCGTTTCTAATCGCACCCTATCGCCCCCTCCCTCAACCCCCCTCCGCTCGCCCTCCTTGTTGCTCCAGGGGATGCTTCTCGCCTCTCCGCTTTCAACTGGCTACAAGGCGCGCGTCAACGCCCTGCTGTCGCGAGTCAACGCCATGCTGCCGCGCGTCAACGCCCTGCTGGCGCGAGTCAACGCCCTGTTGTCGCGAATCAACCCCCTGCTGCTGCCTCGAGACAGATAAGTACCCCTTCTCCATGCCCGCAACCCTTCTCTCCCTTGTCATTCGCCTGCCTTGATTTCCACAGCCATTTCGCATGCGCTTTTCGCGTCGCTCTAGCTGCTTGTGGTCCACTCAAGGCCACCCTTTTGTTCAAGGTTCGGACTATCAGGTACGCCCTCCAGGTAGGTACAAAACTCTTACCCTTGGTACGGTAAGGTAAGGTAGAGGTCCCCCTCACTCCACCCCCCTTGAGTGTGCGACAGCAGCTGCACTTCCATCCCGCTCTGCTACACGATGGCTTGTTGCCTGCCTGCATGTGATTCCACTGCACTCCTCTTCCGCGAGCTTGGTTCTCATCACATCCCCCCCTCCCCAACAACTCCCCCTCTCCTCCACTCGCACCTCCCGATCCCTCGGCACCGCTGCTGGCGACAAGGAGCATTGCTCGTTGTGAGGCGCACAGGGGGGAGCTGCTGTGGGGACGTGCGGCAGAGGCAGCAGTGAGTCGTGGTGGACCTCCCTCGCAGCCAGCCGCCAGCACTCAGCTTCCAACAGATGAGTATCGCTTCGCCAGCCTTCTCCCTTCCGCCTTTACCCGCCTGTTCGTTGCGCATGCTTCCCTTTTCACTGCCTTGTAGCACACCTAAGCCCCCCCTTTTTTTCGTCAAGGTAAAGGCGTCAGGTACTCTCCTTGGTTGGTAAGGTGAAGGTCCCCTCCCCCCTTGGGTGTGCTAGAGCAGGCATGCTTGCATCCGTTTTCGCGTCTGACTAGACCCACCACTCGCTCGCACTTCATTCCAATCCTACCCCCCGTCGCCCCTCCTCCCCCATTCCCCCACCTCCCCTCCTTCCCCCCACTTCCGTCTCTGCCCGCCCTCTCCCTCCCGACCATCTCAGTGCCCTGCGTGCATGGGACGCTTTGTCTGGCGAACGCTTCTCAAGGGATGTCGGACACAGAGGAAGCAGCAGAGGGAGCGGGGAGCAGCGGAGGGAGCAGCAGAAGGAGCAGCAGAGGGAGCAGCAGAGGGAGCAGCAGAGGGAGCAGCAGAGGGAGCGGCAGAGGGAGCATCAGAGGGAGCAGCAGAGGGAGCAGCAGAGGGAGCAGCAGAGGGAGCAGCAGAGGGAGCAGCAGAGGGAGCAGCAGAGGGAGCAGCAGAGGGAGCAGCAGAGGGAGCAGCAGAGGGAGCAGCAGAGGGAGCAGCAGAGGGAGCAGCAGAGTGAGCAGCAGAGGGAGCAGCAGAGGGAGCAGCAGAGGGAGCAGCAGAGGGAGCAGCAGAGGGAGCAGCAGAGGGAGCAGCAGAGGGAGCAGCAGAGGGAGCAGCAGAGGGAGCAGCAGAGGGAGCAGCAGAGGGAGCAGCAGAGGGAGCAGCAGAGGGAGCAGCAGAGTGAGCAGCAGAGGGAGCAGCAGAGGGAGCAGCAGAGGGAGCAGCAGAGGGAGCAGCAGAGGGAGCAGCAGAGGGAGCAGCAGAGGGAGCAGCAGAGGGAGCAGCTGGTGGTCTTGGACTTCCCATCACTCAACCACTCACAGACTGATCAAGAGATAAGTACCGCTCCACCATCCTCTCCCCCTCTGCCTCATTTTCCTGCTCGTCGTTTGCATGCATGTCTTGCCATCCTTGCTGTCCTCATCACTCCAGCTGCCTGTGGCACACCCAAGCCCCCCTCCCCTTTTTTTAAGGTATAGGTCAGGTCACCAGGTGCTCCAGTGCAGGTGCAAAACTTATCCAGATGCCCCCTCTCTTCCTCAGGTCCCCCTCTCTTCCTTGAGTGTGCTACAGCTAGCTGGCTAGGTCGTGCATGGCATGCTGTCCCTCCCCTCTCGTCTGCACTTGTCTGCACCTGCACTCTCCACTCACTCACTCACTCCCGCCCTCCCTCCTCCCCCCTTCTTCGCATTTCCCCAGGGCGCTAGGGGGAGCAGAGGCATGGCGGGGGGGAGGAGCGCAGGTGCTGCACCCTGCTCAGCTGCACCTCAGCTCAACGCAGTTAAGTACCCACACTGGCCCTTCTTTTTTAGCATTCTGTTTTCTTCTGCTCCTTGTATCTCTGCTTTCAGCACTGCTGCACTTGCTCACTTATCACTGTTACATTCACTTCTTCCATTGCTCTCCAGTCGACAGCCACTAACTGCCTTATCTGCACCCCCCTCCTCGCCCCAGCAGCTTCATCCGCTCTGGTGGTCGCTGCTGGTGGCTGCTGGAGGGTGCTGAGTGCCTCCTGCTGGTGGCAGTGCTGGTGGCGGCGGTGGCGGTGTTGGTGGCGGCGGTGGTGGTGGTGGAGAGTGATGGTGGCAGTGGTGGCGGTGGTGGTGGTGGTGTTGGTGGTGGTGATGGTGGTGGTGGTGGTGGCTTGTGGTGGTTGTTGGTGGTGGTGGTGGTGGTGGGTGGAGAGTGGTGGTTGGGGGGAGGCCTTGGGACTGGATTCCAATAGCCGCACGTTTAAGGCATAATGGACGATCACCAGACCCTGCGGCCGGGGGTCTGGTGTGGCTCCCCTCTTGCCACGTCGGTGCGGGTTCAGTTCTCAGGGTCGCTCCTCAGCCCCACTCTGGCGTGGTGGTGGATGGTGGTGGAGAGAGGTGGAGAGAGGTGGAGGATGGTGGTGGTGGGGTGGAGGGAGGGTGAGCCCCCTTGAGTGAGGGGAGGGCAAGGCAGGGGAGGGATGTTGAACCTCCCAGGGCAAGGCTTGTGAGGGGGGGGAGAGGGAGGGGGGTTGAAGCCCCTGAGTTTGAGACAAGTTAGGGTCAGAGGAACCCCCCTCCTCTGGCCTTTGCTTATCTTAAATTCAGGGGTTTCAATCCCCCTCTCTTGCCTCTCACTCGCCTTGCTCTGGGGGGTTCTGCTTCCTTCCCCTGCCTTGTCGTCACCTTACTCAGGTGGTTTCAACCTTCCTTCACTGCTACTGTTGGTGTTCACCTGGAAGTGGTGCTGGTGGTGGGAAGTGTTGGAGATGAGAAAGTGGCTGGGAAATGGATGTGCTATTGGAGCGAGGAGTTGTTGGTGCCATAGCTGCCAAGGAGTGGTGTAAATTTTATGGCCCTTGTGCTTCACTTGGAAATTTCTAGTTGTAGTTTTTAAGCCGCATGTGAGCACGAGGCTAACTTCTGCTAGATGTTGTACCCTAGTGTTTGTATAGTTTGCAGCTTAGATTCCAGAAACGCTTGCCTTCGCAATGGCATTATAATTCTTCCACGAATAAACCAGGCTTTGTAACGTAAACTTAAGTACCGTGTCTGAACAAACAGTCAGTTGTCCACCATGGCAGAAATATTCACGGGAATGGCAAATAGCTCAAAGTGTCTCTATGCACTCTCCTCGTTTACCTTTGAAAATCTCCATAGCAGTTCGTACCCCATCCACAAACAGTCTGTTGACGAGTACGACCCTTCAGCATCGAGCAGCCTTCGCTTCTCACCCGCATTTACCGCTTCCGCTCCACTTGTGTGCTTACGTGCAAGCGTACAGCGAATTTTAGGACACGTCAGGTTTTAACTAGGCTCCGTGTATCGCATCCGGTGGACCGCAACCATGGACCTTGGGTCTTCTGCTCTAAGCAACGGAGCTGGAGGCCCGGACGGCGGCTCGCTTAGGTCTGGGTCGGGGACAGGCTCGGCAGGCTTCGTTCGCGTGCGACGTCGCGCGGCGACGCACAAGGTGTTTCAAGGCGACTATCTGCAGCTCGCCGACGAGAACCATGCGATCCTCAAGATGCTGCGGAAGCAAGGTAGGACCGATTAGGAGATAGTGCGACAAAGTAGGTTCGACCGCAGTCGGCGACGCGCTCGGGTATGTTTCGGAAACACGGTTGATTGGCGCAGGCGCAGCAAGGTAAACCATGTAAGATGCGAGAGCTCCAGCGTTATCAAGGTTTCTTTTTTCAAAAGCTCCAACTTGCCTGTTCTCCAGTCCTTCTTGTTAATCTTGACCCTGCATTCCCAACTGCCTTATTCTCACTCTCACACGCCCTTACCTGCTGCATACCACCATTGTTCCCTCATTCCGTCTGCATCCCATCCGCATCCCCCCATCGCGTATCCTCCTGCCTCCCCCTCTTCCAATCATGTGCATGCATGGACTTCAATGCGTTCGCACGGCGTCGCAGGCGACCAGAGCGTGATCTTCGCCGACACGGTCGCCAAGGTGAACCGGCACAACAGAATCGTTCCGCGGCTGCTGGTGGTGACGGAAAAGGCGGTCTACATTATCGAGCGAGATACCTTCCGGCTGAAGCGGCGCATCCCATTGGACATCATCGAGTCGCTGTATCTGTCTGAGCTGGCGGATAACTTTTTGGCGCTGATGGTCCCCAAGGAGTTTGACTGCCTGCTTGTGAGCACACGCAAGACAGAGATTGTGACTGTATTGGTGGATGCGACTAAAACGACTTCCAGGGAGCTGAAAGTGTGCTTCAGCAACAAGTGAGTGGATTGAGAGCGTTTCAATGCCTGTGTGCTTGGGTGATTCATGGGGCTCTGAGCTCGCCATGCACCTGCAGCAGCATCATTCCATCTCTTTTCCTTGGCGCCTGCAGGTTTGAATACACCATGGATCCCGATACAACACGGCAAGTGGAGTTCACACAAGTAGCAGGTAATATCTCGTCTCTTGTTTTTCCATTCCAGAGTTTGCACCTGTCTTCCATAAACTCCCCTCTTCCCTTGTATTGCCCCTCTTTTTTACCCTTTTCACCTTCAATTACTCATTACCGTATATTGGCTGTTTTTTGGGCAGGTGGTGTGAGCACCCGCATCACCAATGCTATCTAGTTCCACCTTTGGCTGGTAGTCCCTTGTTTCCTCCATTTGTAAATCTAACCAAAACTCATCTGTGGGTGTACCTGTATGGACCTAGTATAGGTAAGTTTTTCCTTAGCCAGCAACTTCTGTTAGTTATTGTGTGGCCTTACCTAATTATGGTTGTGATACAGAATGCATCAACCATCAGACTCACATGTCGATAACCTTACCGAGAGCAGCTATGATAGATGTTGTTTTCAATCCGATGCATATACGTTATATGGTACCTACTCGTGGCTTTTCTGTGTTGTTGCATTTTGGTGTCATGTATGGTACTCTGCAAGCCGTTATCTTGCTGTTGATGACGAATCTCCCCATCAGATGTCTCAAACGAGTCATCGTTCCAACAGATCCTTTCACCGCGTACAAAACCCGCAACTGCTTTTATCTCTCTAGATCCCGGGATTAGGGTGGTAGTGGGAGAAAAAGCTTCTTACCTACAGCTCGCCCTGGTTTTGTCGCGTAGCATCATGACGAGCCGTGGCTGTTTGCAACGAGTCAACTCCACCAGTCCCCTCCTCCGGGGACATGTATACCCCTCCGTTCCCTGCGGCTACTCGTAGCTCTTTGTGCGCTTCGGGTAGCAGCGGTTAGATTCAACGGCATGGGACGCAGCCAGCGTCTCCGCGAGCTGTCGCTGTGGTCCCTAGTAACCGCAAATGACACGAAAGGATCACCCGCGCCGCACTCCACGAGCCATGCAAGCCAGTCCCGGGCAAAGATCCCGATTGCCTGTCCGGCAGCGGTAACCGCTGGCCCAGCTCCAGCCCGCCTCTCGCTCTAACCTCCGTTCGGCGCCCCGAATCGCGCAATCCGAGGGTCGACTGAAACGAGGCCGCATGAACGCATAAATGTCGGCAGACCCGCAGTTCGAACCTCACAGTCGCTTCTGCGCCAGATCTCACCGACTCACTAGCCTTCTTCCTCACTCTCGCCCACTGCGAGGAAGCCCACAGTCTAAAGGCCCCTCGTGCCCTTCCCAGACCCGCTTTCCGCACACCGTGTCCGTCTCTTAGGCTGCTCACATACTCTTGCTCGCATCCTTCCTCTCACCGTTCCCGCTGCGTGTTCGACTGGTCTCAAGTCCCCATGGCGTCTCCTCGTCCCGCTGCTCGCTCGCCTCCGCCTGCCGTGGCGGCGGCCGCGCTGTGCGTGCTCGCCCTCGCCGGGCTCGCCGGCTGCGCTGCTGCCGCTGAGCCCGTCACTGGCGTCACCCCCGACAAGGAGGGTGAGTCGCTCAATCACTTCGCCTCGCCGGTCGCTGCTCCTGCTGCAGCTGCTGCTGCTGCTCCTCCTCTTTCTCTCTCTTTTTTATGGCTCTTTCTGCGCTCGTCCCTCGTCTCCTCCTCACCCCTCCTCCCCTCCTCACCCTCCTCACCGCGCCTTCCCCTTACCCCTGCGCCAGTGGCGGCGATGAGGGCGATTCGCTCTGCCCTGGGCCCGGAGACGGTGCAGAACTGGCTGCCCAACTGGGGCGACTTCGGGGACATCTGCGGGCCCTTGGGGTGGGCGCCGCAGGTCATCTGCGATCAGACGCCCTCGGGCAACTACACCATCGTCGCCATGTAAGCCGCTCTTGTCTCATCGTCACCATGTAAGGCCCTCTTGTCTCATCGCGCCTCTTGAGACGCCTCAAAAGGCGCCCGAGGTCGTCTGCGACCAGACGCCCTCGGGGAACTGCACCATCGTCAGCCTGTCATTCCCGCCCCGCTCATGCCCCTCTTCTCTCACACGCCGCAAATGCTGTGCTTGTTTGTTTTGTTGTCTTTTGTTTCCCCCGTTATCTGCATGTGAGCGAGCGCCATCTCTTGTCTGTCTGTCTGCTTCATCCCGTTACCGCATGCTGCTGCTACGCCCCATCCCTCGCACCGTGTGCTCCGCTGCTCCTTCTGTCGTTCCTTCTGTCTCGCGCACCCATCTCCTCTCTTCCCCACTCCTCACCTCGACCCTTCCCCCCGTCCACCCCACCCCACGCCACCCCTTGCAGCGACATATCGGGCGGCATGGAGGGCACGCTCAGTCCGCGCATCGCCGACCTTGACAACCTCAAGCAGCTGTACGCCCCGATCCCCTCACCCCGAGCCCCTCGCCTTCCCGCTCCCCCTTCCCCCCCCCCCCCCTCTTCGCTTGCTTCCTCGCCTCGCCTTCCGCCATGCCATGCCACGCCATGCCATGCCATGCCACGCCATGCCATGCCACGCCATGCCATGCCATGCCATGCCATGCCATGCCATGCCATGCCATGCCATGCCATGCCATGCCATGCCATGCCATGCCATGCCATGCTATGCCATGCATCTCCCCAGTGACGTCCCGTCCCTCCATACCGCCTTGTCCTCCTCCGTGCCTCTCCATCCCCTTCCCCCCCTCCCCTCGCCCCCCCGGTGCAGGAAGCTGCAGAGCATGGGGCTGGAGAGTGAGGGCCTCGTGGACACACTCCTGAAACTCACGCAACTCGACACGCTGTTAGTAGCCCCTGCGCCCTGCTCCCTGCGCCCTGCGCCCTGCTTCCTGCTCCCTGCGTGCATGCTTGCTGAGTGCAATGACTATGCGTCGCATCGCACAACATTTGGCCCAATGTTTCTCTCGTATACCTCCTCCTGTTCTCACCGCTCTTCTCTGTTCTCACCGCTCTTCTCTGTTCTCACCGCTCTTCTCTGTTCTCACCGCTCTTCTCTGTTCTCACCGCTCCACTTCTCATCCGTGTCATCCTTGCAGCCGCACCTCCGTCCCCAACTGCACTGCACCATGCACTCTACCGCCCACCACGCCCGTCCCCTCCTCTCCTCTCACTCTATCTCACCGCATCTCCCCCCTTGCCTCACCGTTACCTCCCCCTCTCCCCCCTGCCCCCTCTCCCCCCGCCCCCTCTCCCCCGCCCCCTCTCCCCCGCCCCCTCTCCCCCCTGGCAGGGAGATCCGCAACATGCCGGTGGGCATCACCACTGCTGAGCTCGACCTCTCCAAATTCGCCAAACTCCAAAGCCTGTGAGCTTCTGCCGCTGCTGCCACTGCCGTTGCTGCTGCTGCCAACCTCCTCGCATTGCATTCCACCTGTCGGTTCCTTCGGCTCTGCCCATTCTCCTCCACCCCTTTTATTTGTCCTGACCGCCTCTCCCCATCTCCTCCATCCCCCCTCCTCATCTCCCTTCCTCATCTCCCTTCCTTCTCCTTCCCCCCCCCTGCTCGCAGCGCGCTGCGCAATGTGATGCTGAGGGGCCTCATCGCCAAGCTCAACCTGCCCGCACTCACCAACCTGCAATACCTGTCAGTGCCACTTCCCCTGATTTTTCCGACATTAATTCCGCCCGTCCCAATTCAGTCATCGCTCTCCTAACTCCACTCCATTCTCCTGGTTCTCTTCACCTGTCTTCCTCCCCCCCGCTCTTCCCCCCCCCCACCGCGTGTCTCTCCCTGCGATCAATGACACGTCGCAGAACCAGAATCCTTTCCTCTCCGCGCCCCCACCCCCGTGCCCATGCCCTTGTGTGTGTGTGTGTGTGTGTACTGACATGACATGGCATGACATGGCATGACAGGGACTTGGCGCAGAACCAGCTGACGGGCGAGCTGCCCAAGGGGCTCACCAACATCTTCCACATGTCAGTACCGAGCTCACACTGCGCACTGCACAGTGCGCACTGCACACCTTATATGCTGCTGCTTTTGCTGCTGCTGTTGCTTCTGCCGTTGCTGCTGCTCCTGACTTTCATCTCGCTGTTCCCTGACCCTCTTCCTGCTGCCTTCGCCACTGTGACTCTCTCCCCTCTGGCCCGTCCCCCCTGCCGCTCGCCACCCTCTCTGTGTGGCTGCTGCAGTGACCTCTCCTCCAACAGCCTCTCAGGAATGCTGCCCACCGACCTCATCTCCTCGCCCAAAATCCAGGACTTGTGAGCCGCCCCTCGACCGCCCATTTACCGTCCATCTGCCAACCCTATGCACCCCCTCTGCTTCTCTTTTGTATCCTGTTTTCCCTTCCCCTCCCCTCACTGTCTCACATCTCACCTTCTGTTCCCCTCGCTGCCCATCGCCCCATGTGCCCCTCGCCCCTGCCGCTCGCCCACGGTGCCCCACTCTGCTCGCCCCACAGAGTGCTCTACAACAACCGTCTGGAGGGCACACCTTTGAGTCGACTCAAAGGTCACCCACTCCCCCTCTGTGCTGTGCTGTGCTGTGCTGTGCCCCTCACCCCACAGAGTGCTGTACAACAACCGTCTGGAGGGCGCCCTGCCTGACCTCTTCGCCGCTGCCGAGAATCTTCAGCAGCTGTGCGTTGCCCCCTCGCCTCCCTCGCCCAACCCCTCTCGCCCCCCTTGCCCTGCTCCCACCCTGCCCGCGCCCCGCTCGCCTCTCTAGACTCTCGCCACATTGCTTGCGCCTCGCCCCTTGCCTCATTCCCCACACAGCCCCATGCCATGCATACACAGCCTCATCATGCCATGCCATGGCATATGCCACGGCTTCACAGTGCAGCACAAGTCACGTGCCATGCTCCATGTCAATTCTTTCTGCTCCATCCATCCATGCGTCCATGCTTCACTTCACTCATCCAATCCCTTCTCCTGCTCATCCACTCTACCATCCGTCCCCACCGTGCCATCGCCCCACCGTGCTGCGCATCACCTCATCATGGCAGTGACCTGTCTCAGAACAACCTCGTCGGCACCCTCCCTCCTTCACTGGCCGAGCTGCGCAGTCTCTACTACATGTAAGCGCCCCACCTGTTCTCTCCCCCCCACGCCACATGCCTCTCATTCCTCCGCTTGCCTCCCCCCATGCCTACATCTGCCGTGTCTGTTTGCGACTCCCCTCCCTCTAACGCCCCACACTATGTCTGCTCTTGCCTGTGCGCCCCCTCCCGCCGTCGCCCCCTCCCTTTGAGCAGTGACCTGAGCAGCAACTCCTTCCGTAACAAGATGCCGCGCTTCTTTGCTGCCTGCACCGTCACCAACACCAGCGCCTTCCTGTACGCCCTCTCCCGCCCACTGCCCGCCTGCTCGCTCTCAGCACCAAACTCCCATGTATTTCCCTTCCACTGCGCGCCTGCCTGCCTGTCCGCCTGCATGTCTACTCTCTGCCTACCTGACTGCCTCCCTCTCTCACCTGTCTCTGTCTGTGCGTGCCTGCAATGCAGCAACCTGACGAGCAACAAGCTCACGGGCGGTATTCCCAACAGCCTGGGGCTCTACGCCAACCGCAACACCGTGCAAACCATTGTGTACGACCACCCATCCCAACCCACCCACCGCCATCCATTGTGTCCCCGCAATTCCACCCTGCTTGCGGCCTCTTCATCCCACGTCATTCCCCCAGCCTTTACCAATGCAACCACTTGTGACCCCTTCCCTGCTCTCCCTCCCCTGCTCTCCCTCCCCTGCTCTCCCTCCCCTGCTCTGCCCTGTTGTGTGAATGCAGCGACCTGTCACACAACCAGCTGCAGGGCGCGGTGCCCACAAATCTGCTGGTAGCAGATACTTTCTTCTACGACCACAACGACGGCCTCTGTGGCGCGCCCTACCTCCCCATGTGCGGCCCTGACGGCAAGCCTGCTGCTGCCGATCCTAATGATCCGCTCACCGCGCTCATCACGAACAGCACTTATGAAGGCACTGCTGACGGCTCCCCGCCTTTTGCTGACGTCATGACCTCGCCTAATCCTGACCAGCCCACCCAGCCCACCACTCCCACCCCTTGCACCGCCACGCCTGCTGCGGCGGATCCTGCTGCAACTGAGCCGGCTGCTGTCGCTAAACCCGCTGCCACCTCTGAGCCTGCTGCCGCGCCCCCCCAGCTGACCTGCAACTGCGAGCAGCTGTCCGCGGGTGTCATCTTCGGCATTGCCTTTGGCGCTGCTGTGCTGACGGCTGTGCTGGTGGCGGCGGTGGTGCTGACGTGGCTGCACTACGGCAATGCGCGCAAAGCGGCGCGTGTGGAGGGCGCTGGGTTCCTGTTTGTTAACGGGGAGAAGGTGAATGGTGCGGCCGGTGCCAAGGATATTGAGAAGTATGCCAACTAGCTGGCATCTGGCTACAGCAGCTGCAACAGCAGCAAGGACGAGTCCTTGAATCGCCAGATGCTCCCTGATTAATGAAAGGTGGCAGATTGGATTGTTGACAGGTGGCAGTTTCTTCTTTCCTGCGGTTGGTGATGAGAGCTGATTGTGTCACATGGTATCATGTATGCTTGTATGTCTCTAATTGCTTGTAATTGTCATGGAATAATGTAACCGCAATTGCCACAATTCCATGTTCCGCTATCGAGTCGAAGCTGTTGTCGAGTCCCACCGACATTCGAAGGTGCATCTGACGCACCATCCATCATGCACAACGGATGGTAGTGCTCCCTCCTCCCCGCCCCGCTCACCATGGTTCATCGGATCAAGTCGTCCATGGTCCATGACTTCTTGCCTTCCCCCCCTTCCATACGCTACACTAGCAGTCTTCGATCGGCTCTTGGGGTCCCTCTTGTCCTCCCAACACAAGGTGCCAGAGCAGCAAGTAGCATTGCCATGTGTCGCCTCCAGGCTTCATGTGCGGGGGTGCTAACCGTCACCCACCTCGCATCAGGGAGATTCTTGCTGGAATCTTTGGGAGTATAGCGACTTGCCTAGGGCTTGCCGCGTGACGCCTAGAAGAAATCGTTGCACAAGCGGCTGAGTTATCGTCGCACAAGGTCTGGGTATTGTCGCCGGAGTCGGCTGAACAGCATGATGAAGCCTTGGAATCGTCGGGCGAAGCGGAGCAATTGTCGCACGAAGGCTAAGGATTGTCGCACGCAGGCTAGGGATTGTCGCACGCATGAATTGTCGCACACACGGATTCAGCCGAAATTATTAGCGCCGTTGCGTCCGCCATCGTTCGTTCCTCGCTGTCACGCACAACATATCCACCTTTGCAGCTTATAGCGAAGCGTCTGATGGCCGCTCCAGTCCCTGCTTATAACGGGGATTAGTGAACTGAGGCTCGTTATAGTCCCCTCAAACAGCTCTGCGCCGGAGCGTTTGCAGTTTCGCTCAATTTTGCTAGCTTGATACCCTCAATTCCTGGTCAGATCTCACCAGACTGCACCGAGTTCCACCGCTCTCAATCTCCTGCTCACTCGGGTGCATAGCTCAATTCCGCAGTCCGCCCCCCATGGGGAGCTTTAACGAGCGGGACCAGCCTCGCGCGCCCGCCGTACCCTCCGCGCCTTCCCCCATGCTGCTCCCCTCCGCGCCCTCCCCCACTTCCGTCAATGCGATTGGCCGATCGCGCTCCCTCACAAACTCCTCTTCCGCCTCCCTCGTCGTTGCCTCTGTTCTCTCCGCATCCCGCTCCCCCCTCCCCGCTTTCCCGCGCCAATCCTCCACTTCCTCCACGTCCCCCTGCCGTGCCTTGCGCCCGTCGCCCCCCGCCGCGCGCGGAAGCGGCGGGGGGCGGGGGGAAGACCCTTCCGCGGACGTCTCCCGCGAGTTCCCCAACGGCGACTCGTACCGCGGGCAGTGGGGCGCGGCGTGGGACGTGCCGCACGGCGCGGGGTGCTACGTGTGGGCGGACGGGAGCGTGTACGAGGGGGAGTGGGCGCGCGGGGAGAAGCACGGACAGGGGCTCTTTGTATGGCCGTCGGGCGCGCGCTACAAGGGGGAGTGGGCGCGCGGGCAGATGCAGGGCGTGGGGAGCTACTGGGGCGCGGACGGGTCGTTCTACACGGGGAACTGGGCGGCGGGCGTGAAGCACGGGCTCGGGCGCAAGCTATACCCGAACGGGGACCGTTACGAGGGCTTCTGGTCGTTCGGCGCGGCGCACGGGCCGGGGCGGTATGTGTGGGCGAACGGGAACGAGTATTTCGGCGAGTGGGAGGGCGGGACGATGAGCGGGTGCGGCACTTTCACGTGGGCGAGCGGCGAGCGGTACGAGGGCGAGTGGGAGGGCGGCGTGGAGCACGGCGTGGGCGTGTTCGCGTGGCGCGACGGTAGCCGTTACGAAGGCACGTGGAGCCGCGGGCTCAAGGACGGTAAGGGCGTTTTCTATCCCGCTGGTTGCGCGCGCGACGCAGGGGATGTGGGAGAGAGGGGAGAGGGGGAGGGGGAGACGGGGGAGGAGAGGGATGGGGGCGATGGGAATGAGGAAGGGGAGGGGGAGGAGGGGGAGGAGGGAGGGGAGGTTGACGGGGATGGGGAGGGAGCGGAGGAGGAGGAGGATGAGGGGTGGGGATTGGAAGGCGAGGAGAAGGAGGAGGGGAGCGGTGAGACTGAGCAGGGGGGTCATATCGGAACCGGTGGTGGTGGTGGTGGTGGTGGTGGTGGTGGTGGTGGTGGTGGTGGTGGTGGTGGTGGTGGTGGTGGTGGTGGTGGTGGTGGTGGTGGTGGTGGTGGTGGTGGCACTGCTGCTGTTGCTGCTGCTATGAACGGCCGCAGCCCTGATGACGGTGATGATGCACTGCCTCCGGACCTCAGCTCAGGCTCGTTCAATGCCGGTTCGGCAAGCTCAGGTTCGGGGAGGCTGGCTCGGAGGGGCGGCGTGGCGGCGGGTGGTGCAGCAGCAGCAGCAGCAGCAGGAGGGGGAGGGGGAGGGGGAGGGGGAGGGGGAGGGGGGGTTAACAGTGGAGTGAAGGGCGTGCAGAGGATGCTACAGAAGCGGCTTACAGCGGGGACGAGGGCGCTGGAGGTGGCGCTGGGGCCCACAGGGAGCGTGTACCTGGCGGCTGATGCCGTCCCCGCCATGCCCCTCCCTGACTCCTCCTCGCTTGGCCGGGGGGACGCCAGGCCAAGCGCGCGGGAGGGGGTAGGCGGAGGGGAGAAAGGGGCGGAGAGGAGGGAGGCGGATGTGGAGGGAAGGGAGGGAGTTGGGGTGAGGGAGGAGAGGGAGGGGAGAGAGGAGAGGGTGGTGATTGCGATTGGGAGGAGTTCAAGAGGGGAAGGCAGGGGCGAGAGGGTTGCAGGAGAACGGAGCAAGGGTGGAGGGCAGGCGAGCATGGGCGGGGCAGTGAGTGACGCGGACATGTGGCGGCCGCTGATTGGCAGCGGTGCAGAGAGCAGCCAATGGGAAGGAAGCAGCGGTGAAGCAGCGGTTGTGGGTGGGAGGGAGGCAGGGGGGAGTGGGGCAGGATGGAAAGAGCTGGAGAAGGGGCTGATAAGCGGGGCGAAAGGGGCTGAAGGGGCGAGGGCGAGGGAGAAGGTGAACGGAGAGCGATGGGAGAATGGGGCAGATGGGGGACATGACAGTGTTGTCATGCATGCCAGGTCCCCTCCCCACTCTCTCAAGCCTGCCGGCCGCCCGCCTCCCGTCCCCCCCCGCTCGCCCCTACCACCTGGCCGCCCCCCCCCGCCCCCTGTGCGCTCGCCCCTGGCGGCTGAGCGCGCTCTGTGCCACGCGCGCCAGCCCAGTGACGACTTCTATATTGGGCTGACTTCGGCCAATGGCAGCAGCACACGTGGCAGCCCTGGCGGCAGGAAGGGGGCGCGCAAGTGCATGTCAGGACCGCTGCAGGCACGGCCGAGTAAGGCAAGGAGGGAAGAGGGGGATGCGCGGGAGAGGGGCGAGATGCAAGGGGAGGAGGGTGTGGGGATACACGGGAGAGGGGGGGGACAGCACAGAGGGAGAATAAGGGGAGGGGCTGGTGGGGAGGAGGAAGATCAGGAGGAGAACGGTGTTGGGAGCAGCGCTGCTGTCTCGCGGCCAATGACAGCGAGCCACGTGTCGGAGGTGGACATGGAGGGGCGGCAGGACAACTGGAAGGTGTGGAGGGAGGAAGCCCCCTCGCGCTGGCGCCACCACCTGGGCCTCCGCGGCCCCCCTGCTGCGCCCTCCCCCTCCCCCGCTGCTGCTCCCAGTTCCACCCCTGGCCCTGCTGCTGCCTCCCCTGGACCTGGAGCATCCAACTCAGCACATGCTGCTGCCAGCTCAGCAGCCGTAGCTGCCAGCTCATCAGCGAGTGGGGTGTCAGCAGCGGCGGCGGCGGCAGGTGGGGCGGAGGGGGAGGGTTCACCGTGGGCCATCACGCGTGCTCTCACCATGGGCCCTGTGCCGGGGCGAGGGCAGCAGTACGCTGAGGGGGAGGCGCGCAGTGGAGGGGAGTGTGAGGCACAGGATGCAAGAGAGGAGGAGGGGGTGAACGGGGAGGAGTCAGGAGGGGCGGCGGTGCTGCTATGGAACGGGGGAGGCGAGGGAGGGGCGTGTGAGGTGCATGGCGGTTCAGAGCAGATGCTTGCCCCTCCGCAGTCACCAGGGTCACACACGCACGAGCATGCGAGAGGGAGAGCAGACAGCAGCGCGCAAGAGGGAGGAGCCGGGGGAGGGGGAAGGGAAGGGGGAGGGGATGGGCGTGGGCATGGCGAGGGGCGGGGGCATGGGCATGGGCATGGGCATGGGCATGGGCATGGGCATGGGCATGGGCGGGGGCGGGGGAGGGGGTACAGCAGGGGGCAGGTGGGGGGGGTGGAGGCGGTGGAGGATGCAGTGATGGTGAGGGAGTACGTGCATGGCGTGCTCGTCGCTCAGCAGCCCCTCTCCTCCCACTCCCATCCCCCGGTACGGCTGCTCTCTGTGCTGCCATGCCTGTGCCTGCGCGTGTGCTGTGCTGCCATGTCATGCCAGTGTGTCTGCCTGCAACCATGTCGTGTCCTTGCCAGTGCCAGTTTTTGTGGTGAAGGTGTTGTCATGCTGCAAGGGTGCATGTGGGAGTGTCAGTGAGCCATGAACCGTTCACGACTCACATCCTTGCATCCACCGCCGCTCACCTTGCATCCACCCTGACCTTCCCTCGCCCCACTCTGCCTGTTCATGTCACTCGTATCTTCCGACCCCATTCTCTGGTTGACCTGTGGTGGCATGGCAGCGGTGGCACGTGCCGCGGGGCAGGGAGGGCAAGAAGGCGGGAGAGCTCATATACAAGGGTCACCGCAGCTACCTGCTCATGCGCACCCTGCAGCTCGGCCTAAGGTGTGTGTTGGCACCCTGCAGCTCGGCCTAAGGTGTGTGTTGGCACCCTGCAGCTCGGCCTAAGGTGCGTGCTGCCCTGCTGAGTGCTGGTGTGCCGGGGTGCTGGGATGCTGTGATAATGGGGTGCGGGGTTGGTGAGGTGGGTGGGTGGTGGAGAGCTCCTGCCGTGTTCATGCTACCATACCTCTCCTGTGCATCCCATTCCTCTCCTGTGCATCCCATACCTCTCCTGTGCATCCCATACCTCTCCTGTGCATCCCATACCTCTCCTGTGCATCCCATACCTCTCCTGTGCATCCCATACCTCTTTTGTGCATCCCATACCTCTCCTGTGCATCCCATGTACTCACATTCTCAACTCACCTCTCATTCCACTGCCACATCTCATTCACTCCCCCTCCCACCAACAGGTACAGTGTGGGGAGGATCACACCAGACGCGCAGAGGGACGTGGGGGCAGCAGACTTCTCCCACTGGCCGGCCGTGCGCTTCCCCCCGGCGGGCTCGCCCACCACGCCGCCACACTCCATGCACGCCTTCAAGTGGCGCGACTACTGCCCCGCCGCCTTCAGGTCCACTCAACCCTTTGCTATCTTCGAAAGCCTCCCCTTCTTCCTGCCTCTCTATCTCACTTGGTCGTTCCTCCCCTCTCACCATCTCCTCCCAACTCTCCTTCCCCTCTTCTCTCAGGGCCCTGCGAGCCATGTGGGACTGCATGGTGCCGCTGTGTTCCCATACCTGCTCTTGCTCGCGCACTCTCTTTTCCCCACCTCCCTTTGCCCCCCCTTTCAGAGCACTGCGAGCCATGTTTGGCATAGACCCGGGGGACTACATGCTGTCGCTGTGCGGGGACGACGCGCTGAGGGAGCTGAGCAGCCCCGGCAAGTCAGGCAGCGTCTTCTTCCTCTCGCACGACGACCGCTTCCTCATCAAAACCATGCGCAGCGCTGAGCTGCAGGTGGGTACAGATGTGGACAGCATGGAAGCATGGAAGCATGGTAGGGAGGTTTGAGTGCATGCTGAGCTGAAGCATCATATGCCATCCCCAGTTTCACCCCCTTCTCTTTCCACCTCAACCTCTCTCCCCCCCCCAGGTGCTGCTGCGCATGCTCCCCGCCTACTATCGCCACGTGAAGCACAACCCACACACTCTCCTGACCAAGTTCTTCGGGCTGCATGCCATCAAGATCTACCACACCGCCTCCTCCCGCACCGCCTCCCGCCTCGCCGCCAAGGCGGGCGGGCGCGAGTCAGTGATTCGCTTCGTGGTCATGGCCAACCTGCTGGTGTCTCCGCTGCGCGTGCACCGGCGGTTTGACCTCAAGGGGTCGTCGCAGGGGCGCAGCACGGGCAAGGTGGCGGTGGATGACACCACCACTCTCAAGGACCTCGACCTTGACCTCGCGTTCCTCCTGCACCCGCCCTGGCGTCCGCTGTTGTTGCAGTAAGTGGGAATGACTGGCACCTGTCTTTGCTCAATGTGTGGCGCCTAATGCTGCTGCGCGTGCACCAGCTGCTTGGGAACTGCAGCTGCAGCTTGGGACTAGAGCTTGCTGCTGGGAGTGCACTTCAAAGCCCCTCCAACACTCCCTCACCTCTCCTTCATTCCCGCCTCTCCTCCCCGCCATGCAGGCAGATAGCAGCGGATTGCGCCTTCTTGGAGCAGCAGCACATAATGGATTACAGCCTGCTGCTTGGCGTGCACTTCAAGGCCACAGGGCCCCCACCCGCCCCCATCGTCACCATCACTGACGCCCACCTTGACGGCCCAACCCCCGCCTCCCTCCAACCCGCAGCAGCACCGCATGGCAGCAGTGCCAGTGCTGTCACCAGCATGCCCGCAGGTAACTCCTGAGGATGCTTGAATGTCGTTTTTCAGTCGACTCAAATGTCACCCCGCGCCCCCCCTCCCTCCAACCCGCAGCACCGCATGGCAGCAGTGCCACTGCTGTCACCTGCTGTCACCAGCATGCCTGTAGATAACTCTGACAGTGCTTCTTGTGCTGCATGGCATGTTCACGAGTTTCTGAACCGTGTGCGTCTGTGTGGTATCGTGTGTGGCGCATGTGTGGCCCAACCTCAGAGAGGGAGCAAGGGCTGGAGGCCCAAGCAGGTGCAGCGGTCGGGCAGAGCGAGGCGAGGGATGGGGGAGGCGGGGAGGAGATGCAGCAGTCCCAGCAGGGCGAACAGGCGGCATGTGAGAGTGACGCGGCTGCAGCCTCACGGCTGAATGCACCTCCGCCCCTGCACCAGGTGTGCCCTGCACCAGGTGTGCCCTGCACCAGGTGTGCCCTGCACCAGGTGTGCCCTGCACCAGGTGTGCCCTGCACCAGGTGTGCCCTGCACCAGGTATGCCCTGCACCAGGTGTGCCGTTGCCCACTTCCCCGTCCTCCCTAACCACCCTTCCACGTTCTCTCCCTCATTCACTAGCTTTTGCATTTTTTTTGTCTCAATTACTGCGTTTTGTCCTCTGCCCTGTCATCTCTTTCCCCCTCTCTCCCCTCCCTCCTCTCACCTCCGTCGACCTCTCTCCCTTCCACTCCTCCCCTTTGTCCCTTCCCGTCCCCCTCTCTTCTTCTCCCTTTTCCCCCCTTATCAGCTGAGGAGGCGTCTATTCCGCCCATGGCAGCGCATTCTCACCGACTCGCCCTCTCCCCTGCAGAGATCTCTGGGGGACCCGGGCCGAGGGGGCACATCATCCTCTCACACCTCCCCCTCTCACACCTCCCCCTCTCACGCCTCCTCCTCACACACCTCCCCCTCCCACACGTCACCATCCCATGCTGGTGCCACGGCTGCTACTACTGCCACCACTGGCTCTCCCGCCACTGCTGCCACTGCCCGTGCGGGCACAGCTCGGCACTTCTTCCCGCGCTCACTCACGGCTGGCAGCGGCGGCAGCAGCCCGCTGCACCTGCTGGCGCCCTCCTTCCCCCACTCGCACTCCCTCACCACTGACGGCAGCAGCGTGGACGAGGGGAGCGCGGAGGGGAGTAGCAGCTGTGGCGTGGTGGAGGGGGACGGGAGGGCATGCAGTGACGAGGAGGTGTTGGGCTCAGCTGATGATCGTGGTGGTGATGGTGCTGCTGGCCAGGATGGGTGTAGTAGGAGGAACAGCAGCAGCAGCAGCAGCAGCAGCATCAGCAACAGCAATTGCAAGAGCAGCAGCAGCAGCAGTGCATGGAGCAAGCATGGCAGCACGCACAGCAGCAACCAGGACAGCAAGCACAGCAGGGGCAGCAGCAATGCCAATGGCCGCCGCCATCCCACCCCTCCCCGTATTCCACCCTTGTCCCGCCTTCCCCCCCACTCTCCTGTTTCTGCCCCTGCCCCTCCTCCTATCCCTGCCCCTCCTCCTCCTGCCCCTGCCCCGACCCCCCCCTCTGCCTCGGCGTTTCCCTCTCCGCCGCTCTCCTTCTCCCCCTCCCCTTGTGCCGTGGGTGCGGGATCAGTGGCAGCAACTGGGACGGGCGGCAAGTCTGCATGTGCAGCAGGGGCGGTGGTGGGGCAAGTATCACTGGGGGAGAAAACAGGCGGACGGGGAGGAGGAGGAGCGGGAGCGGGAGCAGCAGCAGGAGGAGGGGGGGAAGCGGGAGCAGCAGGAGGAGGGGGCGGGGGAGGGAGGGGGAGGGGGGTGGTGGGGCAGCTGTTGGGGCAGGGCATGGCGGGCACGGCAGTGAGGGTGGACAGGCGCACTCGCAGGGCCGTGGAGGACCCGCTGCTGGGGGAGGCGTATGAGGTGCTGCTGCACTTTGGCATCATTGACATCCTGCAGGTGTGCCCTGTGGTGCTGTGCGGTGCAGGTGGGTGGTTTGGTGCATGTGGGGGGTGTGGTCTGGAGCAGTGATCTGTAAGACGGCTCGTGGTCTCATCCCTGCTAGAGGAGGCGTATGAGGTGCTGCTGCACTTTGGTATCATTGACATCCTGCAGGTGTGCCTCGTTTTGTGGTGCATGTGATTTTTGTTTCACCCAACCCCAACGCCCCTCCCCCGCCTTCCAGCTGCATGAGTAGAGCATTTATTCCCCTCACCTCACCCATTCTCCCCTTTCACTCCTTTCTTCTAACCCACCCTCAACCAACCCCAGGAGTACGATGTGGGCAAGCGAGTGGAGCACGTGGTGAAGAGTCTGCAGTACGACGGTCATTCCATCTCCGCTCACCCATTTTCCCTTTCCTCTTCCTCACCCACCAACCTCGCCACCCCCAACCAGGAGTACGACGTGGGCAAGCGAGTGGAGCATGTGGTGAAGAGCCTGCAGTACGACGGGCACTCCATCTCAGCTGTCAACCCCTCGCTCTACGCGCGCCGCTTCCGCTCCTTCATCCTCTCCACCTTCCCCGACCCCCTCCACCCCCACGCCTCCCATCCCAATGCTCCCCATGCTCATGCTCATGCTGATGCTGCTCACTCCTACTGCGCTGCTGATGGTGGTGCAGGTGATGGGGATACTGATGCTGATGCTGATGCTGATGTTGATGATGGTGATGGTGGTAACGGTAGTGGTAGTGATGGTGATGGTGGTGATGGTGGTGGTAGTGATGGTGATGGTGGTGGTAGTGATGGTGATGGTGATGGCTATGATGATTTCCTTCTTGCCTCTCCCGCAGGAGGTGTTCGGGCGACGTGCAGCATTTTCCGCCTGTCTCACTTCTAGTGGCACGCAAGACACGCTGAGCAACACATTCTATTTATTATTTATTGTACAATACTGGTACACTAAAGTCCTGCCCGCGGCATGCAGTGCAACCTGTACAAAAAATATACTCATAAATTGTCCAATGGAATGGAACACTAACGAAAGAATTAAACCACTTTGAGCCCACTCATTGCTGCCCCAGCTGGTGGCAGTGGGAGCAAGTGCAGGTGAGCTGGTGCTGCAGCAGAGAGGCTTCGAGCTGCCGGTGCTGCGCCTTGAGCTGCTCCACATATGCCACCGCCCCCTCTAACATCGCTGCCATGTCCCCCCGCCCCCTCACCGCCTGCCGCAGCCGCTGCAGCTCCTGACTGCGTGGGTGGAGCGGGGAGCAGGCAGGGGAATGATGATGAGGCGGCGATGAGGAGATGGGGGGACTGAGGAGATGGGGGGGACCGAGGAGATGGGGGGAACGAGGAGATGGGGGGAACGAGGAGATGGGGGGAATGAGGAGATGGGGGGAATGAGGAGATGGGGGGAATGAGGAGACGGGGGGAATGAGGAGACGGGGGGAATGAGGAGATGGGGGGAATGAGGAGATGGGGGGAATGAGGAGATGGGGGGAATGAGGAGATGGGGGGAATGAGGAGATGGGGGGAATGAGGAGATGGGGGGAATGAGGAGATGGGGGGGAATGAGGAGATGGGGGGAATGAGGAGGTTGGTCAGGTGAGCTGCGCAAGTAGCAATGGGGATACCTTGTGAGAAGCAACACCAAGGGATTGATGGGGTTGGGACAGAGGAAGGGAGGGGGTGTGTGGGGAGGAAGGAGGAAGGGTGGGTGGGTGTGAGAAGTGAGGGTACAGCTGGGGAGGGTCGTACCTGATTCGTTCTCTGCGCTCGCGCTCCACCACACTCTTGCTCCTCGCACGCCCACCAGAAGAACCTGCACCTCCTCCCAGGGACTCCATTCCCGCCATGCCTCCTGCTTCTATCCCTGACCCCTCTCCTGCCCCCGCCCCTGTCCCTGCCTCTGCGCCCACGTCCCCTCCTCCCCCTTCCATCTGCCCACCTGCAGACCCCCCAGACCCACTTGGCATGGTTGCTGTGGGGAACGCTGCCACAGGGTGCATGCCTGCACCATGGGCGGCAAGGGGGAGGTCCGCTTGCGCTGGGGGAATGGTGCCCCCATGCACTCTGGCTCTGCCCCATGGAGCGCCCATGGGATTCACGCCCGTAGCGCGAGCAGGCATGGGGGGTGCGCCCATGAGCATGGCATCGAATTCAGACCACATCAGCTCCTCCTCCACTCCCACGCCGCCTTCTGCTGCCGCCTCCTGCACCTGCTGCGCCTCCTGCACCTGCTGCGCCTCCTGCACCTGCTGCGCCTCCTGCACCTGCTGCGCCTCCTGCACCTGCTGCGCCTCCTGCACCTGCTGCGCCTCCTGCACCTGCTGCGCCTCCTGCACCTGCTGCGCCTCCTGCACCTGCTGCGCCTCCTGCACCTGCTGCGCCTCCTGCACCTGCTGCGCCTCCTGCACCTGCTGCGCCTCCTGCACCTGCTGCGCCTCCTGCACCTGCTGCGCCTCCTGCACCTGCTGCGCCTCCTGCACCTGCTGCGCCTCCTGCACCTGCTGCGCCTCCTGCACCTGCTGCTGCTGCTTCCTGGGCTGCCGTCCCCTGTGCCACTGAAGCCCCTTGGGGGGGCAGCAGGAATGGGCGCATGTGCATGGGAAGCGGGGTGAGAGTGGGAGCGAGTGGGCTGGCGGTGGGTGCAAGCAGGGTCGTGGGAGGGTGGTGCCCTGGCAGGGGTGTGGCGGAGGGGGCGTTAGGCGTGCCCGGGGCATGGGGAAGGTGAGGTGCGGAGGGCGATTGGGGGAACGCTGTTGAGGGCGCGGAGTGGGGGCGCAGTGGAATGGGTTGCGGGTGGGGCAGGAATGTGGGTGGGGAGTGGGGAGTGATGGGTATGGGCGCGGAGTGGGGGAGGAGGGGCGAGGGGGCGGAGCGAGCAGGGAGAGGCACGGAGACAGAGTGAGGGAGGAGGGGCATGTGGGGGAGGAGGGGCATGTGGGGGAGGAGGGGCATGTGGGGGAGGAGGGGCATGTGGGGGAGGAGGGGCATGTGGGGGAGGAGGGGTATGGGGGGAGGCCAGGAGGCAGAGGCTGGAGAAAGAGCAGCTTGCGTGGGCCAGGCAGCGGGACCTCGTCCGCCTGCCGTCGCTCCTGCTGCCCCTCTGCCATCCGCCACGCCTGCCACGTCTGCCCCGCCACCTGCAACACCAGCAGCAGCAGCAACATCACTGCCGCCAAGTCCAGCAGCATCGCCAGTAGCAGCAGCAGTGGGTGGAGCGCGCATGGCAGCAGCGCCCCTCCATGCGCCTGCCATTCTGGGCGCGGGGGGACCCATGCGCTGCTGCGCGGATCCCACCCGCCCCGCCTGCCACCTCTCCGCCACGGCCCTGCTTCCGGCACCCCTTGCCATCCCCCCAGCTTCTGCGCCTCCGCCGCCCGCCGCGCCTATCCCACCTGCATCCCAGGCCTCAGAATCACTCCACTGCCCCACGCTGCCCCCTCCCTGCATTACCACCCCCATTCCGCCCGTTATTTCTCTGCTTCTTACCGCGCCCCCCTGCTCTCCTGCGCTCCCCGCCAACCGCCGTCGCACGTGCTCCGCCCTGCTCCCCCACGTCCGCCCGTCCGCCCCTCCGCCCCACGCTGCTCCGCCAACTATGGCCCTCTCGCCGCGCTCGCCGCCGCTCGTCCGCGGGCGAATGGCGGAACGACCCCCGCTCGCTGTCATGCTGCGTGCATGAACAATAGGCTCCGAATTGGCAGGCTTGGATGGACCAGGTTCGGAGGGACCAGGCTCGGTAAAAGCGCCGCTGGTGCTGGCCTTATGAGGGGAGGCGGGTTCCGCGGAGGGGCGGCGCAGATGAGCGGTGAGGGCGCGCACCATTGCCTCTCGACTCGCGCCGAACGCGCTGAAACGCGACGCGCTGCCGTCCACGCTGCTGCTGCTGCTGCTGCCACTTGCGCCGTCCGCCTGCTGCCTTGCGTGTGCGCCTCTGCCTACCAGACTCCCGCGTCGGCGGGGAAACGCGCATCCATCGCTTTCACCCCGCCGAGATTCGCTTACCCGCGCAATCTCCTGTGTTTCCTGGGCAAGAGACGCGGAGCTGGAGCGCGGAAGATGCGCGATTATGTCTTCGATTCCGCCGCCGCCTCGCGCTTCGGCGCGATGGCGTGCTTCTGCAGATGTTTCCGACATGTTTTGCGCGCTAGAGTCCGGTTCCGTCGTTCTGAACTCTCGCGCCTCCCCGTCGTCCGTGCGTGCGCGTTCCGCATCGCGCGCACTGCGAGGAGCTGTGCGCCGTGTCGCTGCGGTCGCCATTTCCCGCGCGCGGTCCTGCGCTTCAAGTTCCGCCAATGCGCGCGCAAGAGGAAAATCGCGAGCGTCCGCTTCACGCAGGCGCGCATCCGTGGGGGCAACTTCGCTGCGGCTTGCGCCCATGCGCACCCCCCTGGAAACCTCCGAAAGCGCGACTGCTCCATCAGACGCTATGTTCCCGTCCTCGCATGGCGGGGTAACCGCGCATTTTGCATGGTGCGCTCGTTCCGTGGGGAGGACAGCGCAGCGCGGCGAAGCGATAGGATGTAGCGAGTGTAAGTCACCGCGGGAGGGCGAGTGGGGGGATGGCAACGGGGAGGAGGGGAACGGCGGAGAGTCGCTCATTTCGGACAGCAGGCTCGCGAGCAGCTGCACGGACATCGCGTCTGGCGCCTCGGCCTTGGGCTTTCCTGTTGAAAGGCCTTCAACGCGCGCCATACGCTCATCCGACACGTTCGCGATGCGCATCCCCGAGGCGCCGTCCGAATTAGGGGTAATGGTTCTATGGGATGTCGAAGCGCGAGCGGCGGACATAGTGACGGGAAAACGGGGAAATGCCGGGATCTTTGCGAAGAGACTTGATTCCCGCTGAGATAGCGATGAGTGCGCGTTCACCATATATTGTGCCGCTGTTTGCGCAAGCCTGGCATCGTGACGAAACTCGCGCGTGGTTTCGCCGTCGTCAGCGTTGGTATCGTTGTGAATCTCGCGCGTATCTTTCTCCATGATCTGGCTCGATCTCCCGACGGATTCGATGGGGAAGCCACATTACATGGGGAACTTGAAAGGGACGCGAATGTTGGGTATGATGTGTTGCGGATCTTGATAAGAGGTGGTGTGGAATGTGGAGCAAATTGGTTGCGGAAAGACAGGATGGAGATGAGGCGAGTGGGTGTATGGTGCTTCCCCTCCCGACAGTCAGATCGTCCACCGCAGCGAGTCAGCAACCCACACATTAGGGCCTGTACAAAGTGACATATGTCGCTGGATGTCGCTGGATGTCGGTGCATGTCAGCCCTCGGATCGAAGTTCCGACCGTCAGGATTTGCCGACATGCACAAACGGAAGTCGAAGTTTCACTTCGGACACCACCTTACGAAGCAATTGTGTCTCCGAGCCGCGAACAAACACATCCGCGCTGCGATGCTCGAGGGCTGGTTGAAGGGGCCTGCTGCTTGATTCAAATCAAAGGGCATCTCACCTAACGCCAGTCAAACCTTCAAACATTCCTTTATAGGTGCAGTGCAGTCTGTGTATATTCTGTTCGGTATCAGGGGAAAGCGTTCGGTCTTGTCTTTTGACGCTCTGGACACCCCTTGCGTTCTCGACCAATCACGGACGGCCCTTTGTGGTGAGTGCGGTGTCAATTGTCAACAAGAGCGTGAGAAGGGGGCGGCTAGGTGAAGGTGCAGGTGTGCTTCTTTGGCCTGCTCCTTGGGGCACACCGAGGAAAATGCGATGTGCAGCGGTCGGCGAACGGGGCAACGTGGAGGGCAACAGTGCTTCGCAGTCGCACATGCCTCCAGACAGTGCTTCGTTGTCCTTTTGACCACGTGTCAGCCTGAGGCAAGAAATGCATGCATGGTTCACGCACTTGGGCAGGGCCAACGAGGCTGTAGTATGAACGAATCAGGCCGAGATTGTTGAGTTAAGAGCCAATGAGCATTCACTTTGACACACTGGACTGTGCATGAATCGGGGGGGTGAATGGGGAGGTGCTTCCGTATCGTCCCTAGCGTCTCAGTCATTCTCCCCCAGCCCGAACACAGAAAGTGTACAGTGTAGCAGAGAACTGTGCACTGGATAAAAGCCTCGTCATCGTGGTTTGAAATATCCCCAGCTTAGTCCAGAAACAGTATATATCATCTGAATGGCCAGAATTGCTGACCGTTTTCCCCTCCTTTCCAGCATCAAGCACACGTGCATGGAGTGCTGCTCGCCCAGCCCTGAAGCTTCATTGCTCACGCACGCAGCCTTGAAGCTTCACTGCTTGGTCCATGGAATTAATGCTCGGTGAAAAGTCTTCTGTCCTCACTTGACGTCATGACGTCAGATCAGACCGACGTTACGTACTGGTGCGCTGAGAAGATTTCCCCGCTACGAGGTCGTTTCGTACTGTGCTACATGCCACACATAAAATGATACGATATAATTTCACCAACTCAAGCACACACACTATGCACACTATGCCTTACCTACCACAAGTTACACATATTCAAAATTTTACGAATTTTACAAATGTTTCGATATTCTTTCTTAATGATTTTGCCCTCTGTGGCAAGAATAGCATGTCTATCCTTTGGTTTGCTTTGGTACCGTACGTGACTGCTCTAACCTTCCTCTGCTGTATGTTGTGGGGAGGGTGATCCTCGCTCACCCTTGCTAGTATCCTTCATCCGCTTATGACTTTTCTTGCATCACATCCAGTTGGAGGTTGAACGTACATTTTCGCTAGATTTATATTTATGGAACCAATTTTAGTATTGCTTGTACGGTAGGTTCCACCAACTGTTCCAGCGAGAGACAGGGCATGATGCAGCGTTCACCAGAGCATGTACGGTAAGGGTACAGGGCTGCGACTTGTGGAACTACAACAGAGAACTTTCAATCAACCAGATCCACCTGCCTCACCACCCCATACCTGCTAAAACATGTTTGTTTTATTCACCAGCATCACATCATGTAAGCTGCCACTTTCAGTACATCCTGCGTGACTGGCATGCCCAACCTACGCATCTGCTGGGGTGAAAGTGAGCGACACGCTGTTCACGCAGTGCCGCTCATCTGTGGGCGTGGGGAACCCCTCGCCCTTAAACACGTGCCCCAGGTGCCCACCACATGCCGCACACACAATCTCCACTCGCCGTCCGTCCGCATCAATGTTTCTCTTGATGGCTCCGGGGAGCCCCTCGAAGAAAGCAGGCCAGCCGCAGCCAGAGTTAAATTTGGTGGTTGACTTGTACAGGTGTGTGCCGCAGCCAGCGCACTTGTACACTCCCTCCTCGTAGTGCTTGTTGTACTGTCCTGTACCGGGGTACCTGATGACGCGAACAAGTGGAGGATGCAAATTAAGAAGGGGTGCGCAGAGGGGTCATAGAGAATGTTCAGAAGATACTACAGGGTAGCCCTAGAGGCCAGGTGATATCCTTAGGGGCCACGCGGTATTCTTAGAGGCCACATGGTATTCTTAGGGGCAGAGTGGTGTCCCCGCTTGCAATCGTAAAAGCTGCAAACTTGCATTGCGCTCTTTCGCTTGTCATAGGTTCGGTTACCTCAATTGCTCATGCGCTTTCCTCCGCTCCAGTATTGATTGAGACAGTCTCAAACAAACTCAGGCTAAACCGCGGCATAGGCGTTAGTTATGTGCTCGTGTGATCTTTTCCGCAACAGCAAATGTTTTCCTTTGTATCACGGCCCTCGTTCCGTCCTCTTCATTCCCTCCCCGCCCACTCACTCGGTGCCTTTCATTCGCAGAATGCGAAACTGCTCCGGCGACAGGATGGCGCGCCACTCCTCCTCGCTCTTCACCACCGCCATCGGCGCGTCCTCTCCGCCTCCCCCGCTCGCCTGCGCGCTGCCGGGCCGCGCCCACGACGACGCAATGACGACGCCCAGCAATACCGACTTGACTGCCTTCACCCTACCGACGGCTGCCACGTGTCCCGGTGTTCGCAGCGCCAGGGGGAGGCTATGATTTCGGGCTAGTTGCTTTTTTGCGAGAAGCGAGGATGCGGATAGAGGCACCGAGACCAGGGAGGCTGCGGTGGCCATGAAAAGGCTCGGAAATGGATTTATGCACGATGGCGCTGATGATGGATGCCTTGTGGAACACGGAAACAGATAGTTGACTGAGGATTCAGAGATGCTGAGCCGCCGGGAAGAAGAGAGACGTCGATGGAACCACGGCCGTGGAGGAATTGGAGGAATCGCAATTGAGCAAAGTAAGCGGAGGGCTTCAGTTATTGAAGGTGAAAGGAAGGTGAGGCGAGGCCAAGGAACATACAAACACGCTATTGCACGCTCCGTTAATCCCAAAGACCACATTGGAGCTCCTTGGACAGCGTGGCAATATGGACCTTCTTCAACGACGTGGCAGGTTTCACAAACTGCCATGTCGACTTCCCACTGAGTTCACCTCGCTGAAGCCAGATTCGCTTGTAGGATCATGATGTGTAGCATATGTTTTATTCCTAACGCCAAGGAATCCAACCTAGATTCCATCAACATCCCCAGCCATCAATGTTCAGACTGATTCGAGAGTTAGACCTGCTGCCAGCTTGCTCACAGCAAACGTGTCATCTGCTCGCCCGCAATCCCGCAACACCTTTCGACGCACGCGAGATGCGAGACCTGCGCATGCATGGCGGCAGCAGCCATGCTGGATGGACCTCCCGCGCGCCACGGAGGCGTATGTCGCGGCGAGCTACTACCATCGGCATCCTCGTGGTCCTGTTCTCCACGCGCGCGTTATCCGCTGGCTTTCTCCCAGCGCTACCGCTTCCTCCGCCTCTAGTAGTTCCGCCGCTAAGCCTCCTTCCGCCAATCAGTCCTCTCAGCAGCGCCAGTCGCTCGCCGCGAGGGACCGTTGTCTCCACCTCATCCGCCTCTTCGTCCTCGTTTGGTCACTTGGTCGCCTCTACTTTTCGCGCGCTCGTTTCAGCGTTCCCGGTTGATAAGCAGCCGCCCTTCGCGCGATCAGATTCCTCCAAAGTGGTACCACTATGGCGCTCTTCGAGTTTGCGCGAAATGGACGTCTTTTCTGCCATGCCATGCCACTTCTTGCTGCCGTGGCGCTCACCCAGTGGATGCTAGCGTGCCACGTCAGCGCGCAGCCTGGGCCAATTACGTTCCGCGTTGACCCGAGAATGTCAAATCTGACGTGGGACTCGGAGATTCCGCCGAAAGAAGGGCAGCTCGCATCAGTAGTCGTTACCCCGGGAGGCTTCCCCCTGGCGGGCACTGTAACGGTGGATGTTATCGAGTGCACCGATATAAGAACGTCCTTTAATATCACCCTGGTGAGCGTGGGAGTGCGTGCAGCAGATGGCCTCACCAGCTTAGGAAAACCCATTCACCATGTTCAGCTGCTGCAGTCGTCTCTTCAGCACCCCCATCGTTTCGTCCTGCTCCTCCATACTTCCCCTCACGCTCCGCACCCCGTGCGCCCCTTCATTTCCCCTCCTCCTTCCCCCCCCTTCCCCCCCTCGGTTCTCCCCCCTACAGGCGCGCATCAGCAACACGTCGCTGGTGGGCATCACTCCCGCGGGCCGACCAGCGCCAGCGTCCATCGTGGCGCAGGCCAACGCCACCGGCACCATCGCCGCCTTCTCCCCCACGCTCAACCTCTCCAGTGCGCACCCTCTCCCCTCCGCCTTCCCCTCATTCTTCCCTCTCCCCTCCCTCTCAGTCTGTCCTCCATCGCTTCCTCCTCCTCCCTCCTCCCTCCCTCTATGTCTTCTCTCCCCCCCACATTCTGTTCGCGCCAATGCCCACCATCTCCCTCTGCTCCTCGCTCCCCTTGCATCTTGACGCCTCCCTATCCCTCCCCTCTCCTCGCAATCCCCTCTTGCCGAACCTAATCAGCCTCGAAGGTGCCGCCATTCGCCATCGACCAGACGTACGGCTCCTTCCAGTCCGCGTGGACCGTGCCCACTGCCACGTGGCGCGCTGTGAGAGGCTTCTTCGCCCCCAGCAGGGACTTTGGCGGCGGCCCCTTTGCTGCCAGCAACCTGACGGCCCCCCTGGCGTCGTTTGGCTTCGTTAACGGCCACCTGAGCACTGTGAGTGAGGCACCTGAGCAGACACCTGAGAACTGTGAGTGAGGCACCTGAGCAGACACCTGAGAACTGTGGGTGAGGCACCTGACCACTGTGACTGAGACACCTGAGCACCATGAGTGGGACACCTGAGCACTGTGAGGGAGCGTGAGGCTATCAGTTGTGCTTGTCAAGCAATTCGTCTTTCCATTCGTGCATCATTCCTCGTTTGTTGCACCCCACCCATCGCTCCTGCATTGGCTCTTGTCTTGTGCTCCTTATCCCATTCCATTTCCCTCTCCCCTCGTCTCGCCCCTGTTCACCCTCTCCTCTGCTTCCCCCTCTTACTGTCGTCCCCCATGCAGGTGGCAGCGAACCAGTCGCGGGTGCACCTCTTTATCAACTCCACCGCCGTCTTCACTGCCCGGTGCGTGCACGGAAGAGTGTCAGAAGAAGGGGGGGAGGAAGGGGTTGGGAGAGTGAGGGGAGAAGGGAGACGAGCAGCGGGAGATGCAGTATTTCTCGTTTCCTGCTTCCAAGCATGAGCTGTGTTGACCTCCTTTGATCACTCCCTTCACACCCTTCCCTTCCCTCCCATCTACCCTGCCCTGTGATGCACCCAAGCCAGGCAGCTGCTGCTGACAGCCAATGCATCGGCGTCAATAATGAACATAGTGATGGGGCAGGGCCACGTGCGCATACGCATTCTCCTCACCGGCCTTGCTGACAACCCCTGCGCCGTGGCCCCCACGCCTCCCTCGTCACGCCCACGCCCTTGACCTGCATTAGGTGGCTCACTAGGTGTAGCGGCATTTCCATTGTTCAATGGTACAAGAATTGGAAGTTGAATGGCAGACATGAACTTGTAGGAGTTGGGACAGAAAAGAGGACAGTTCAACACTAATTCTTGTTCCACATCTCGTGTACACGTAACATTAACATAAATGGTATGAATGCCATTCTACATATATGGTTGCTAGAGAATATGGACAGTACCAGTATTTCGCATGGAAAGAGCATGCTTATTCAGTGTACTGTACAATATTTTTGGGCAGGTAGAAATACTTACTGCACATATCGTAATTTATGTACCCAAACGTAAGTCAGCAATACCAGATGTTTTTTCAATGTCCACACAGAGTTAGGTGAGACACTAGAGTTGGTATGATATGTACACCTATGTACAAGTGTGGTGTGGTGCAACCTGTACATGTACAACAAAAAGCACACATAATACTAGACCTACCGGTACTCCTGACCCTGGCTAGGCAACACGCTTGCTACTCCCTGGATACAATAAAACCCCACAAGCCTAGGGACAAGGCAGCGGGTGCACTCCGGTTGATGATCCCCCAACCAACCAACCAACCCAAGCACTCCAAGCGTCACAGATCAAACTCTGGCAGAAGCACTGGTACTCTGTCTCGCGCACCTCACCCACCTCTCCTCCCTCCCATGCACGTTCACCCTGTCTGGCAGGGGTCCAGGGGCACAAGCTGGGCTTCAAACAGCCGCCGATGCAGCACCTCTCCACGCCACATTTCTCTCTCCCCCTGCGCAGCACCCCCCTCTCCCATCTCCTCTCTTCCTCCCACGCACGCACTACCCTGTCTGAGCAGGGTGTAGTGGGGAGAGGTCGGCCTTGGCAGGGCCGTTGATGCAGCGGCCGAGGTGGTCCAAGTGAGAGCCGTGGCAGGGGCAGTCAAAGGTGGCGTCGTTGGGGTTCCAGTGCACGCTGCACCCCATGTGCGGCCATGTTGCTCAAGGGGAGGGGGATTCGTGAGGGAACAAAAGAGGGCGGAGGAAAATTCAGGTGGCTTCTGAGGCACCCAACACACAGTGGTTGGGGTTCCAGTGCACACTGCACTCCATGTGCGGACATGTTGCTGGGGGGAGGAGGAGGGAATTCCCAAGGGAGGGAAGAAAAAGTGAGGAAGGTCTTGATGTACTAACATACGACAGGCATGACAGGCATGACAGGCATGACAGGCATGACAGGCATGACAGGCATGTGGCAAAGACTGCGTTGTGGGCCTCTGTAGAAGAGCACAAGCGGAATGGTGCTTCACGCATGCCACCCCCCCCGCCTTGCAAAACTCACACGCCCCTCTCTCGCCCCCCAGCAGCAGAGCACTCCCACATCCGGCCACACACACACACCCAGCATGCATCCATACAGGCAGCACGGACCAGAGAAGGCGTGCATGCGCCCGTCCTTGTCACGGAAGACAGCGGCCTTGCCCACGCCCATGCGCACCACCGCCCCACACCCGCGCCCCAGGTCCTCCATCTCCACGCCGTCCGTGCCCACCAGGGGCAGGCGGTCCTTGTACCCCTGCCACGTGCATTGAGAGGGGAAGGGGTGAGGGCACGGGGGGGATGGGAGCATTTACAGGTCACAGTGTAATAATTGCATGGACCAAAGTGCGCTCCCCCGCGCCCCAGGTTAGGTTCTGTATCTCCACCCCATCCGTGGCCACCAGTGGCAACTGGTCCTTGCACACCTGCCGTGCAGCATTCAAGGGGGGTGGTGGGGAGGGGTAGTAAGGGCACGGTGGTGGGATGGCAGCACACAGGTGCCAGTGGGGCGGCTGCACGGTCCACAACAAACCCTGCATCCCCGGTTCCCCATGGCTATCTGCTCCGGTGTGTGCCCCACAGAAGGAGGCAGTGGTTGCAGGCGGGTCCCGAGGGAATGTTGAGCATGGAAGCGGCATTATGCTGAGCGCCCTCAAGGGCCCATCTGACGTGACTTGCAACGGGTGTTGACTGGAGCAGGTGGTACCTGGATGGTGTGGCTGACAACAGAGCCCGCCAGCGACAGTGACTCCTTGGATAGGGGCGGCAGGCGCGATGGCGAGTAAATCTCCACAAACGGGTTCGGGCGGCGGCAGATGAGATCGGATATGATCATGGCGGCTATGGTACCGCCCGTCATGCCCTGCCCACTGTCGCCTGCACCGTGGGGGGATGGTGGAACGGTGGGATGAGAGAATGGGGAAAGCAGGGGAGTTGAGTGAGATGTAAAGGAGCGGGAGAGGCATCTGGGAAAGAGCAGGGAGCTAAATTGATGAAATGTTTGTCATGCAGTCATGATATTGCATGTCGTTTCTAAAGGCTCGCCAGACGTGCTAGAGCGTACCAGTGGCGATGTAGGTTTCAGTAGCGTCCATGGGGTTGCGCCCGTACAGCCCCAGGAAGTCCACCGGCTCGTACACCTGCCATGCACGGGGAGGCAATATCGGCAGCAGTACAGGCACAGAACAGCAGGATGGCAGAGCAGCAGGGGAGGACAGGGAGTGAAGGCCAAAGATTGCCATGGAGAAGCAATGTGAGGGTGAGCAGGCGCAGAAGCTGGGAGTTATGGAACGAGCTTGAGATCAAGGCACACAGCAGTCCCTGCCATGCACCACCCACCACCCGTCCCCACCCACCATGCCCCATCCCCACCACCAACCATCCCCACCACCAAACATCCCCACCACCAACCATCCCCACCACCAACCATCCCCACCACCCCTGTGTGCGCATTACCATGCCACTCCAGCGGAAGAGCGTCTGCTGCGCCGTGGGCCAGCGGGGGCGAGCCCAGCGCTCGAGGTCGCCCCACACGTCGTGGTAGTGGCCTGCTGGCATGCCCACGGGGTGGTCGCCGCCCCCCACCACCAGCACGTCGCATCCCTCCTGCTCCTCCACTCGCACGTAGTGGTATGGCGACGCCGTGTCCCACCAGTTGGCGCGCCTGCAGAGGGAGAAAGGGAAGAACGGGGAGGGGAAGGTGCCAAAGCGGCAGCAGAGAGCGTGTGGTGTGGTGTGAGCTGGTCGCTCCTCCGCGCCCCTCCTGCTCCTCCACGCGCACGTAGTGGCAGGGGGACGCCGTGTCCCACCAGTAGGCTCGCCTGGCAGGGGAGAGAAGGGAGGCACGGCGGAAGGAAAGACTGCACGCTGTGTGCTGTGCTGTGCTGCTCCGTGCTTGCTTCGTTGAAGCGGGGGGAAGGCCAGAACCGCGACAGCACAAAGGCCAAGGCTAAGGCACAATTCATGGAAAAACCATGGCTCCGCTCCCATCTCGCCCATCCCATCCCAACCCAGCCCAGCCCAGCACACGTACACCCACACGCCCGCACGCACTTGACGGAGCCCTTGGGCAGGTGGAGGCCCACGACGTAGCTGCGGTCAGCAGGCTGGCGCGCGTGCACGAGGAGGTTGTGGTTGATGGGCGAGTTGGTCGCCAGCACCACCGCCCCCGCCTGCACCACGCCCCGCCCCTCCTTGCTCGCCACCACCGCCCCCGCCCCCGCGCCCGTCACTGAACCCTCCTCGCGGAACGCCACTGTCTGCTCGAAGATGCGCCCCCCCATGGCGCACAAACGCGTCCGCCAACCCGTTGAGGTACCTGCAGGGGGTAAGGAAGAGGGGGAGGCAGCAGCGGGAGGTCCACGGGGAGAAGGGGAGGGAGAGTGCAGGGAGGGATTGAAAGGGGTCGGGGATAAATGTTGCAGGGATATGGTGGTGTGAGAGGGTGAGGTGAGGGAGCAGCGAAGAGGACCAACTGACATGAGCCACACGTGCAGGGCCGGCAGGGAGGGCGAGCAGAGAGGGAGAGGGGGTGTGGGTCAACAAGTGATATGCGAGCAGGCGCGTACATGAGGGGGTGGAACTCGGCGGTGGAGGGGAAGCAGATGGTCTTGTGCACGGAGCCGAGGGCGGGGTCGCCCTGTAAGTCCGCCATGTACACGTCCGTGAACCCTGCCCTCTTGCACGCCTCGTACTCCTAGTGGAGTTGCGGGTGGTGAAGAAACGAGGGGTTCACTGGAATGAGAAGACGGAGGATAATGTAACAGGTAATGCTTCAACTGGAGCGTAACATGGACACCACCACGTGAGCTGGTTACCCTGCGAGCTGGTTACCATGGGAGCTGGTTACCAGGTGCAGCATCTCCAGCGTGGACGCCTTGGAGTCGTGCGGGAAGAGGTACCCATCGAGGCGCGTGAACTTGCAGTCAATGGCCTCGCGCGCCACGGTGTCCTCAATGCACGCGATGGCCTGGCGGTGCGACTCCGCCACGAGCGCCGTGTTGTCGCGCCCGAAGCTCTTCTCGAGGTTCATGTAGAAGTCGTCGTTCCACGCCATTATGTGCGCCGTCGTCCGCCCCGTCTGCCCCGACCCTGCGCCGCCCCGCACCCCAAGCGCACACGTGAACGGATTCCAAACCAACCTATGAAGCTAATTGTGAGTGTTGCGGCAAAACGGGAGGGGGCGGAGCCTCACCAATGCAGCGGCGCTCCAGCAGCACGGTGGACTTGCCCTTGCGCTGCAGCTGGTACGCGATGCTCAGCCCCGCGATCCCGCCACCGATCACCGCCACGTCAGCGTGCACATGCGACTCGAGCTTGGGGAAGCGCGGCTTGAGGTCCAGTTGCCCCCACACAGTGCGCCTCAGCCCCGGCAGCGGCTCCGCCTCCTGCTGCTCGCGCTCCGAGTGCGCTGCGGGGCGCATGCCCGCCATGGCTGCAACGGCCCGATGAAACTGGAAGAAGGGCTGAGGGAGAGCGACGGGTGGGTGGACCCTACTAGTGGCCGCGCGGCTTGGGTCCTGGACAGTGGTAGCCGGTTGTTGAGCGCACTCTGATGGCGACTGGATGGACGGGATTGCGGGTTGCAGATGCGAAATGCCGCGCAGGAGATGCAAATGAGTTTCTATCAGTAGCGCAGATGAGGCGGTGTTTGTGGAAGTGAAAGAACTGCGCGCGAGCCAGGAGCGGCAGGCGGGAAGCAGCGCTGCGGGTAGGACGGCGTGGATGGCGGCCGACATCAACCGCACGGAGCTAGAAACAAGCGTCGAGCTGATCGCGCATGTGAAGGTCTACGAGAGACAGAAACGACGGGAGGAGTTAGTGGCAAGCGCGCAGCAGATCGCACATCTGAACGCGGGGGATGAGCAGCGATGAGGGTCACTGAGAGTGGTGGTAGGTGTGCCATTGCGGCGCGGCGTGGAGACGCGGCGGAGAAGTAACACTTCGGAGCAAGCTCGCTAGGGAGACCAGGAGGGAACGCGAGGGAGGTGGATGGTTGAGCTGCTTGATCAAGGCGCCTAGCATAGCGGTGGGAAGGACGTACTATGTCGACGTGCATGCGCAATGAGGCGCGATTATGATATGACATTTGGCGGAGAAGGGAGCAAACACAACAGCAAAGTGAAGATTGCGTACGCGACATTGTATGCGGAGGCTCCCCATGTGAAACTAAAATGATGACACTTCTACACCGTATTCCACTAATGTGAATGCCCATCTAGGAGCATTCCATGGAGGTGCCTGCATTCATCCCGACCGAATGCCGTGTGCATGAACTGGCAAAACCTGGGCGGAAAGGAAACCATGGTGGCGGAGGGTGCACTTGGGGGAAAGGTCTGGTTGGCTGGTTCTGTTCGTGTCACCCAACACCAATGGTGACGTGGTTCCGCGTCTCGCCAACCCAAGCAAGCCTCACGGGGAAACGCACCTGGTGCTGCCATATCATAGGTGATCTGGCGGAGATCCCAATGTTCCCCGCGCACGCCCTTCCTCCCCGAGCCAACCGCCCGCCAAATGCTTTACGTACTGCCTTGAAATTTTGGTTCTGCGTGCCACCTCTCCCATTCTCACCCTGTCTCGAGATCTCCATTTTTTGGTGGGTGTTCCTTTGACCAGCTGCTACCAGGCTGCTTCCTCGCTACGGGGAGGAAGACCTTAGGCGTCGCTACCGCCTCTGTCATCAATAACGCGACCACGAAGTAATTCCGAATCCCACTGTGGCGCTCGCTGTCTCGCACAGGCGACTTCACCGTAACAGATTTACCTCCGTCAGTCACCTGCCATGGCTTCCCGGATTCTCAGCCGCGTCTCGCGGAGACGCCTGTCCGCCGTCGCGGACTCCGCGTTCCCCTCATACGCGCCCACAGGAGCTCTCCGCGCGTTCGGCGGCGTGCGGTGGTTCGCGACGAGCCCCGAGGAGAACGACATCGTCGTGATTGGCGGCGGGCCTGGCGGGTACGTGGCGGCGATTAAAGCGGCGCAGCTGGGCATGAAGGTCACGTGCGTGGAGAAGCGCGGCGCGCTGGGCGGCACGTGCCTGAACGTGGGGTGCATTCCATCCAAGGTGCGGAGCGATAACAGTGCTGGTAGCGGCGAGGGCTGTGACGAGAAGTTATTACTGTTGGAAAAAAAAACATGAAGGGAGGAACTAAACGTCTATTAAATTTGGTGCACTTGGGAGGCAGGCCACGATATACTGTAACGCGCAGATGAATGCAAGTTATCGCCGTTGTCCCCCGTGCCTCCATCATCCGTAATTCCTCTGCTCAAGGGATCTCAGGCTGTCCCGCATTCGGCCCATGCTCTCATGCACCTATGCAATCGTGCGCCCATGCTCCCATGAAGCCACTCAACCATGCTCTCATGCGCTATGCTCCCATGCACCCATGCTCCCATGCACCCATGCTCCCATGCACCCATGCTCCCATGCTACCATGCACCATACCGTGCTTCCATCCACTCGTGCACTCATACCCCTCCCCATGCACCGCAAGGCAAAGCACTTCCTCGCTATCCACCTCACCCACCTTTTCCTTTTCCCTCCCTGACCACCCTCGGCCCCCCATTCCTCCCCCTCCCTCCCCCTTCCCCTCCTTGCCCATCCCTTCTCCCCCCCTTCCCTCCCAGGCCCTACTGGAGTCATCGCACATGTACCACGAGGCGAAGCATTCCTTTGCAGCGCACGGCATCAAGGTGGCGGGCGTGGAGGTGGACCTGCCCGCCATGATGGCGCAGAAGAGCGGCGCTGTCGCCGGGCTCACCAAGGGCATCGAGGGGCTCTTCAAGAAGAACAAGGTCAACTACGTGAAAGGCCACGGCAAAATCGTGGGGCCGCACGAGGTAGCTGTGTCGCTGCTGGACTCCCCCGGCGAGACCAAGAGCATCGGCGCCAAGAACATCATCATCGCCACCGGGTCAGACGTGCGGCCGCTGCCAGGTTTGCAGATAGACGAGAAGAAGATTGTGTCGTCCACGGGCGCGCTCAGCCTGGACGCCGTGCCCAAGAAGCTGGTGGTGGTGGGCGGGGGGGTGATAGGGCTGGAGCTGGGGTCGGTGTGGGGGCGGCTGGGCGCGGAGGTGACGGTGGTGGAGTTCATGGACGGCATTGGCGGGTACATGGACAACGAGGTGCGGCGTGCCTTCCAGCGCACGCTGCAGAAGCAGGGCTTTAAGTTCATGCTCTCCACCAAAGTCGTCTCTGCGGACGCATCAGGCAACGGCGTGGTGCTGGAGGTGGAGCCCGCCAAGGGAGGCGAGAGAACCAAGCTGGAGGCGGATGTGGTGCTGGTGTCGACAGGGCGCGTGCCGTACACGGAGGGGCTGGGGTTGGAGGAGGTGGGCGTGCAGAAGGACAAGGCGGGGCGCGTTGTGGTGGACGACAAGTTCCGGTCGTCCGTGCCGAGCGTGTTTGCCATCGGGGACGCCATTCCGGGGCCCATGCTGGCGCACAAGGCGGAGGAGGATGGGATTGCGTGTGTGGAGAATTTGGCCGGCAAGCACGGGCATGTGAACTATGCGACGGTGCCAGGGATCATTTACACGCACCCGGAGGTGGCCATGGTGGGTAAAACGGAGGAGGAGGTGAAGGAGTCGGGTGTAGAGTACCGCGTGGGGAAGTTCCCCTTCATGGCGAACAGCCGTGCACGCACGATCGGGGATTCGGAGGGGATGGTGAAGATCATAGCGGAGAAGGCAAGTGACAAGGTGGTGGGCGTGCACATAGTGGGGCCGAGTGCGGGCGAGCTGATCATGGAGTGCGTGCTGGCCATGGAGTATGGCGCCAGCAGTGAGGACATCGCCCGCACGTGCCACGGCCACCCCACTCTCAGTGAGGCCGTCAAGGAGGCTGCGCTGGCCACGCATGGCAAGCCCATCCATATGTGAGGTGCTGCGCCTGCGCGTGGGTGTGTGTCTTGTGGGGGGGGGGGGGCGTGTTGAGGCATGTGCACACAGACAGCCGTTGCTCGTGTGTGATCTGCCCTCAAGCTGGCAGTCCTTGTAGCAGAGTGTATTACAGGCGCTACTAGTTTGTGGGTTCATTCCTACAGGTGCACTCCGTACATACACGTTCACCACCGCACAACCGTTGATTTCGCGTTCCAATTTCTGTCTAGGTAGGACATACTGCCGTACCAATTTGTTGCTTCTTCAGCATCAACCTGCAGCCTTGGTATTGTCATGTGACATTCAGAGAGTTTGCGGTACCAAACCCGGTATCAACATATGGGCCAAACATAAATTTAGAAGTGCAGCAAGCTCTGCTGCTGGGAGCTAACAATGTCAGCCTACCTATCATGTTAAGTTAGCGTTATCACAACAACGCAGTTAGCAATACACCTAACTAGCGTAGCAGCCGTTAACTCTTTGTGAGATGAGAAACTTATCAGTCTTCACCAACGGTTAGCATGTGAGAGCGGGCGACACAGCAGCAGCACCACCAGTGCCAGCACGAGCGCCATGGGCATGCACCCACGCCTCCACCTTGTCTGCTGCACTCGGCCCTGCCGCCACCTGCCATGCACCATGCCGCGCTGCCCATGCAGGCCGTGCTGCCCGTGTGCCCTGCGCTCCTAGTGCCCCCTGTGCTGCCTGTGCTGCTCGCACCGCTCCCGCCCATGGCACGGGCGTGGAGTGCAGCGACTGGGCGTGCGGCAGTGCTGTTGGGCTGGGCTTCGGCTCCCCTTCCCTGCTGCCCTTCACCGGTCCACCTGTTGGCCGCATTATTGCCCCATTCTTGCCCTCCATTAATTCCTTGCTCGTTCTTGCTCTTCCACCGTCCACCAGTGTGAGCCATTCCTCCACCCTCCGGCTGGCCTGGCTGGGTGCCTCTCTGGGTGCGTCCCTGTTTACCTCCCTGCTCGCTCTCCCTCTCACACCACATTCACTTGAAGAACTATGACAGACTGCTATGGCTGCCGTAGAGTCGGCAAGTGCTGAGCTGGAAGCACCAACAGCTGATCTGGCATGTGCCAATGCATGTGCCGAGTCCCCACTGCCCTCCGTGCCGTCCCTTGCAGCACGAGCAAGCTTGGCGCTTCTCTCCCCTGCTGCACGCTCACCCAAATCGTCACTACTTGCTGCCACCGCCTCCCTCCCCGCCCCTCTCTTCATCCCATGCACCAGCTTCCCAATGTCCAAGCTGGCAAGCTTATCTGCCACGTCAGCAGCCACGGTGGCACCTCGGTACTCCCTAACCGACTCCTGCACGTCGAGGCTGGCAGCAGGCGTGAAGAAGTCTTCGTGCTGCTCCACCGACCACGCCAGCTCCGAGTCCCACAGCAGCCACCCCGCCCCCGCGCGCGCCTCCGCCACGCACCCCTCCCCTGCTGCGCCCCCCGTGTCCCCGCACGCGCCCACCTTGGCACCCGCGCACTGTGGCTGGGTTGTGGGGGTTTGAGAGCACCCTGCCACACCTGATGGTGTAGCAGCAGGGGGTGCAGTAGCGGAGCGAGTTGCGCGGGCTGGGGAGGCGAGAGGTGAAGTGCACTGCGTCGGTCCACACAACACGTCTGCAGAATGCGCCACGTCAGCATCGCCATCCAACGCCATCGTATCAAGGAATGGGAGAGCGGAGAGGGCAGCGAGGGCAGCGCCGTGAGCGGCGGACTCAAGGGAGGGGGAGGGGGGAGCGGGGACAGCGGACGCGGGGGAGCGCCACGGCACTGCGCGCAGCGCCTGCTGGGGACGACGATGGCCGCGCCGGTGCTTCAATCTTCCTCCCGCTGCCACAGGTGCGCGCGGCTCTGATTCGTCAACCACGTTCGACCCGCTCATTTGTTCGGATATTTCGTTCGAAGAACAACCCGTTTCTAGATGCAGCGACTGCTGCTGCTTATAGTGTGCGACGGCGGAAGCCGTTAGACCCGTTCCAGCGCCAGAACCGGCGGAGGACGCGGAGCACTCCGCTGCAAGACCCTCCGCGCGGAAGGTGCCCGGAAGCTGCGGAGGGATGTGGGGGACGTCCCCGGAGAGGCCGAGCGGCTGCTGCGCGGCGAGGTGGCGCACCACCTTGCGCCAGTACGCGCGCGTCTTGCTGTGCTTCGTGCCCCGCGGACCACCTGCGCACGCGGATGGGGTAAGGGAGGATCGGTTGCGGACGACGGGAACGATCAAACGCGGAAAAACGAGGTCGGAAAACAGTAGAACACACGACCGAGGGGGTTTCGGGTATTGTACGACAAGGGCGCGGTAAGATGACGGTGGTTGCGTGGAAGGGGCTCGGCGCGCACCGTTGTGGAACTTGGCGAGGAGCTCCCAGTCGTGCGCGCGGATGGCGCCGGGGCAGTAGCGCAGCCAGTACCGCACCACCGTGTCCTCCGCGTGCGCCAGCTCGCGACACGCCGTCCACCGGCCGGCACGGTGGCCCCACGCGTCGCGGTGATACTCCTCCGAGATCTGCAGCGGCCCGATGCTGCTGCCCGCGTCGCCGTCCGGGCAGTTCACCCTGGAAAGTGGGGGAGAGGAGGAAGGGGCGAGGGCGGGTTCAAGGGGAAGAGTGCAGAATGACACGATCGGAGAGACACGGAGGGGCGATCTAAGGCGCAACTGCATCCTCTTCCATGGGTGGCGGCGCGCTGCGCTGTCCTACCTGTTGCTGGACTCGATGAACCGCAGCGCGTTTAGCAACGGTCGCAGTTCCCGCTTCGCGACCTCTAGCTCCCTCTGCGGCACGCGCTGGCCACGGTCCCACTGCACGCGGCAGCCCCTAGACGCGCTGCGCAGAGCCGCGCCGCCCACGATGGACCCCTTGTCCCGCTCCGTCTCCGAGCCAAACGCTGTGCCGAGCCACACGCCGTGCCGAGCCATAACGAGGTTCGGCTGCTTGGATGTATCTAGGTTCGTGGCGTTACCGCACCCCATTGGAGGAGCGATTTGCGCTAGCGGGCAAGCACGGAGAGGTTGGTGTGGAGAGGAAGGAACGAGAATTGCAAAGCCGCGGTCTATCAATGGCTGATTCACTTGCGAAATGAGTTTGGCTAACTGGCCGCTACTGCTGGTTCACTCTCAATAAAAAGCTGTTCCTGGTAATCGGCAACACCAATCAACCAGACTCACGCCAATCGAAAAGCTGGAAAACGTTTATGTAAAACCTAAAATGACAGCGGCTCTGCGAACGCGACGGCAGCGGGGAGACCGACGAGTAGGCTCCACTTGGCGCAAAGGGCAGAGCAGGTTCTGTAGGTTTGGCTGGGTAGAGGTTGGTGCGAGCAGAGCAGGTGAGGAAGGAGGGGAGGGTGAAGAGGGGCGAATTACGAGTGTCGGGGAAGTGGTTTGTGAATTGTGGCTGTGGTTGCGGCGCAAGGGGTGACGACGGTGTCGCGTGGCGCTAGAGTAACTTTGAAACTCATTACAAGCCGTTCAACGCACGATATCTGACGGTTCTCGGCGAGATCTGGTGGTCCAGAAATTGCGCAACGCCAGGCACTTTGGTTCGTGCCTCACGGGGCCGAGAACTGCGGTGGCGCAGCGAGGAGTGCAGCTCGACTCGGAATATTCAAGAGGCTTTGGTGCGGACATAGTGTTCTTGAACAGACGAGTTTATCGTATAATAATACTGATAGATACCTGGACACTTCTGATATGTGAGACAGGAAAACAACATAATCCCGAATTCATTCATAATGATAAATCATGTTTATCAATGCTTGCTAGATCATTGACAACAATCCATTATAGCAACAAAATCTATCATGTGCTACCTTATTTTTTAGGGAGGAGTTTTTAGAGCTTAGGGAATGTCGTACCGCAACTCTAGTGTATCAGCCATCTGGTTGGTGGGTTAAAGGAGGGGGGGGGGAACCTGTAATGAATGTGCAATTCATTACTGTAGAACTGTCCTTAGCGAGGACAGCCCCGAGCAGTTCGCGTCAGTGTGGCTCGGCCTACACTTTCGCACCGAACCAGCCCCGAGTCGCCCCGCACCAATTGCGACATTCCCGAGCCACGCACATCGAGGTCCTCGCCTAGCACGGTTTCGACCCTATAAATGCATGCTTCTTTAAACATTCTCGTCATGCTGTATTCGACATCCTTTTTATAAAGTCTTCCGCGCACTCTTCTTAGTACAACTCATAACACTTGGTATCAGAGCCTAAGTTCCTAGGTTCCCCGTTTTTTAGAGTGTATTACCCCTCGGGGGGGGGGGACAGGGAAGGATGCCGTGGTGACAGGAGTAGCGCAGTAGCCGGCCAGGAGAACGGGTAGTTTCTCCTAGCGGCCATGAATTTCTCTGGCGCTCCTGCGGCACCGACGGATCCTTGCCCTCGACGGTCAAGATCGACCGTGGCCTCCCTCCCCCCGGGTGGCGGACAGCTTTTGCTGTCGTCGCAATTATTGCGTGAGTTAACTGTTTGCGTTTTCGTCAATTTCGGAGTTAATGCTGTGTAGCGGCTGACGTCGGCATGATCGCTGTGGCTACACGACCGAAATCGTCGGAAGCGTGTGTGGTGCGAGTTGACATGTGCATGTGGTCGTCAACTGCGCACGAAGATTTCGGAGTTAATGCGTGCGGCAAGTGGCGTCGGGCGACTTCGTCACGTTGCGCATGAGATTTTCGGAGGTCTTCGGCACGTGGCGATCGTGGTCACTGTGCGCGAAGATTTCGGGTAGCAGCACGTGGAAAACGACTGCTGTGCGAGCAGCCAGGCGCATGGTGATTTGCGTCAGAAAACGCAACGTCGCGGAGTGACGGCGTGAGGACTACCCGAAGAAAGCGGGGGTCTACCGTCGTCCAGCCCGGGTGTGGCCGGTGTGGCTACAGGAGGGTGCGTCGTTGGCGTTTTCGGCAGGAGCGGCACAGTGTGGGACGGAAGTCATTTTCAAACCGCCGAAAAGTTCGGAAAAGGCCGCCTACGACTAGACTGTCAACGTTAGGGTCACTTCTGCGCCTGCAACAACGTCGGCCGAAAATTTCGGAGCAACAGCAGCAGCCGACACTGTACTTCAGGCGGCACAGTTTCCCCCTGATCAAGGGAAGTTGTGTCGCAGACGGGGCAGTACACCGACGAGGACAACGGTTTGTCGCAGCGTCTAGACACGCGAATTTCGCCTAGTCTACCGGCTACAATATACGGAGTTGCGACAAATACGGGTCTGGCGAGAGAAACGGATTCCGAGCTTCAGGAGGGGAGAAAACGACCTACTGCGACGACTTTTTGCTGAGGCCGAGTTTTGCGGCTAAGCGGCGGTAGCAGAAGGAGCTCCCTACCGGCCAAAGTCCACCGACGTTTCGCATACCCCACGCCCAGAAGGTCTCGAAGGCAAGTAGTAAGTCCAAAGAGCCACTGGATCCAAAGGTGGGGCCCTGTGTTTAGCCCTGTGCTGGCTAAAAAGCGCGGGTATTGCGCCAGTTTGGCAGCAGGGCGTTCAAGAAAAAAATTCCAGGATGCGGCACTGTTTCGGCCCCGACAAAAACGGACCATCGGCGACAGTTACCCTGCCGAAAATGTCGGGACTGAAGAAATTGTGGCAGCTGTCGGGAACTTCTCCTAATTTACCGGTCTTCCCAGGAGCGGTGTAGCGGCGAAGACGGGGTCTCCGAAGCTGTGGAATTTTAAAAGCGATAAGACGCGGTGGGCAAACGAAGCGGCCGGCCCGACGGTTTGATCCGATAAACCTGATCCGGTTACGATAGCATTCGCGCCTTCACCGATGTCAGAAAAATCGCGGGCAACACGGAGTTATACCTCATCCGACAAAAGCGGACGCTGGGTGAACGGCGGCAAGCGAAATTGTCGGGGGGTGAAGACAAAAAAACAAATGGAGGGAAATTTGTGGGTGCTCCAGCAGATCTCCAGAGTGAAAGGTGGAGCTCGTACACCAATCTACCGCGAATTTCGGAGTCTATTTGGTAGATCCCCGAAAGGGTTTGATATAACGACATGGAGGCGCGGCGAGCGGTGTATCGCCAAGGATACCTGTGTCAGAAATAACTGAGCAGGAATGAATGAACTAGAACAGAGTTTGGTACAAGTAGGAAACCCTAACTTTGTGTACCCCCTAAGGTGTAACCCACTACAGCCTAGACAATATAAACATACAATGTTTGACACACCCCCATAGGCGCAGTGGGAGACAACCACAGGGTCACAAGACCAGTCAAGCAAAGCAAAGCAAAGCAAGCTCAGGGTGGATCTCAAGGATTCCACACAAATTCCGAGCACAAGCAAGCGGTCACAAGACCAGTTCACATGCAGGTTTATAACAAAACAAGAGATACAGTGATCACAACCTAGCAAAAGTAAACAAGTAGGCATATATATATAGTGATCACAGTACAAGCAAGGTCAAGAGGTAAGCAAGTGAGGCCCAGTAGGTACAAGGCCTAGCAGAGTGCAAAAGCGCTGATGGTCACAAGGCTGAAGCGCCTTGGTGAACACATCAGCAGTGTTGGCCTCCGTGGCCACGTAACGCAGACAAAGCTGACCACGCTGCTGCAGCTCTCGAGCAAGGAAGTACCGCAGAGCGATGTGCTTCGTTCTTTGCTCCAGTCTGTGCTCCTCACACAAGGCAATGGCAGCCTTGTTGTCGACGTACAGCACTGGAGGAGAACGAGGCCGCTCTCCGAGGTCGGTCAGCAGGTAGGTCAGCCAGCGTAGCTCCTGAGCAGCCATGGCTGTGGCGTAGATCTCAGCCTCACAACTGGAGCTGAGAACAGAAGAAGAGCGAGTAGAACGCCAAGAAACTGAGCCAGAGCCAAGGCTGAAGGTGTAACCCTGGGACGACCGCTGAGTAGCCTGGTCGTCTGCCCAAGAAGCGTCTGAGTGCCCTGTGAGAACAACCCGGTCTCGCCCTCCAAGCACAAGCCCCATGCCCGACGTACTGCACAAGTAGCGCAACACCCTCTTAGCAGCATCCATGTGCTCCTTCCGGTGACGGCCAGGAGCGACATAGCGTGCTAGGATGCTAAGAGGGTATGCAAGGTCAGGTCGAGTGCAGGTCATCAGGTACATGAGGCAGCCCACAAGCTCTGGATACGGGCCACTCGGCTCTACGGACTCATCCGAAGGCAGAGCTGAGAGCGAGTGACCGGTAGGCAGAGGAGTGGACTGAGGCGAGGAGTACGTGAAGCGGAAGCGCTGGAGAACCTGCTGCACCATGTGTGACTGAGTCAGGGTGATGGTGCGTCGTGCTCTGTCCCGGGTGATCCGCAAGCCAAGATAGCTCGTCAGCTCACCCAGGTCTGTGCACGTGTGTCTCCTCTGCAGCTCCGACTTCACGTGGGCGAGTGCCGCGGTGTCAGCAGTGGCAAAGACCAAGTCGTCGACGTACACGAGGATGTAGAACGGCGGCAGCGAGGTGTCGGTGCGTAGAAACAGCGACGGGTCAGCAGTAGAGGGAGCGAACCCAAGAGCCGCAAGTGTCGTCCTCAGTGTGTCGTGCCACTCACGTGGCGCCTGGCGGAGACCGTAGACCGGCCGCTGAAGCCTCCACTGGGTGCCAGGAGGAACTGACCCAGTGAAGCCAGGGGGGCGGCGCAGCCAGATCTCCTCGTGCAGGGTGCCCTGCAAGAAAGCAGTGCTGAAGTCAAGAGAGTGAAGCTCGTAGTCGCGGTGAGCGGCTATGTGGAGCAGCACCCGAAGAGTAGTCATCTTCGGGGTGGGGGAGAAGGTCTGAAAGAAGTCTACTCCCTCTCGCTGACTGAAGCCTCGAGCCACGTAGCGCGCCTTGAAGACAGGCGGAGAACCCGGCGGCCGCTTCACCCTGAAAATCCACATGCCACTGACGATGTTCGCCCCAGGAGGGGGAACCTCGTCTACGTAGGTGCCTGTGGACTTCCAGGAAGCCATCTCTGCGTCCATGGCTGTCTGCCACTGAGAGGAGTAGGGACCCGCCATCGCCTCAGCGTAAGAGCGTGGGGT